AACGGGTTGAATCCCTCAATACTAACCTGATACGGTCAAGTAAACAGGTTAATCGTGTCAACTCATTTATGATTCGAACCCGTTTCAGGTCAACCCAAACTCGTCTTTCTCGTGTCATGTTCGAGTCATATTGACAAGTCGTATTCTAATTTGTCACTCCTAGATTACAGCACCACCACAAGCAACAGAAGAAGAAAGATTGCTGGTACATGGCTTCTTCTCCTTCTTCTTTCTTCTTCTTTTTCTTTTTTCTTTTTTCTTTTTCTTTTTTTTTTTGAAACACACACTGTTATGCAAATTGAGTGTCCTTCGTGAGTAAATGATCAGTTATTCAATTTACATGATATCACGCAAAACGAGAGAATCTCCTTGCAGATTCATATACAAAGACATTGTATTTGTAATTCATGATATGCACGTAAAACGAAAAAGAAAGGTTTTCCAACTTTCCTCCTTTCTAAACTGATAGTTGCCCATTCATTCTTTATTTTCTTATGTATGCGTGTAAGCATAATTTACTGTGCTTCAATTTCTCATGTAGGCAGTACACACACTTTTCAGATCGATTTTTTTTTTTTTTTCAGATTGATTTTTTTTTTTTTTTTCTTCAGGATCCCAAAAAGACTTTTCCAAAAGCTTCAATGAGAATTTTCGAATTTTGTTTGTTGTTCCATCATGGTAGTATTTAAGTGTTTTATAAAGCAAAAAATGACTATCTTAGAGAACAAAAGTGATCGAAGCGGCCAAGGAACCACATTAAGTGTATCTGACTCCATTCTCAATCGCAATGCCATTCAAGTGCTTGATCCTGACAACAAACATTTTCCATCACATTGGATACGCAAAGCCACATGTGAACTCACCATCTTTGGTCTTGATTAGATTAAATTCTCCACTTCATTGGACATGCAAAGCCACTTGCGACTTCACCAACTTCGTTCTTGATCAGATTAATGAAGAATCCATTGTCTTATTTGCCTTGATATTAAATTCTTCACTTCATTGGACATGCAAAGCCACTTGCGACTTCGCCAACTTCATTCTTGATCAGATTAATGAACAAAAAGATAATTATTCCTAATAAAATATATTTAGAATAATTATTTTATGGATAATTATCACAATATAACCGGCTTGGTCTAGTTATAATTATGTTCTTATCAGAAGAGGATACATGTCATCATCCTATTAATCCAAGAAGCCTATAAATGGGAAAGGAGGAGAGGAACAAAAATTAAGAATTATAGAAATCCAGAATTCCAGAGAGAAATTCAGAGGGGCAGAAACTCAAAAGTCTAGAATTACAGAGTAAAATACAAATCGAAACTCTGTCAATATTCATCCCCAACACCTAATCTTTGAAGAAGAATAATAACAAGCACAACCAAAGTCGTATCATTCTTCCACAAATTCAACAAATTCTCTGAAGATGAAGAACAACGAGCACATCCAATCTAAAGTCGTGTCGTTCTTCCTCAAATTCAACAAAGAATAACAAACACATCAAAACCGTGTCGTTATTTCTCAAATTCAACAAAAAATAACAAGTACATCAAAATCGTACCGTTCTTTTCTTGTGATTCAATAAGTTTGAAGAATCACCAAACAACACTGTTCGAGATCAAACTTCTTCAGCCCTCGATCAAAAATCATCGGCGGTCTTCCTCAACTACAAATACTTGAAGAAGATTGTCAACAACCCGATTCAAGATCAAGCTCCAACAGCCCTTGAATCCAACCAACAAAGAAGATCGAATCAAATAATATTTTCTTTATTTTGTAAAGAATATCTCAAAGGATTGTATTTGAATTTTCATAAATTAATAAATTATTATTTGCTCTATATTTCTATGTCTAATTTGTAGATACGAAATTTGTGTGTACTATTTCATATATGCAAATTAAAGATAGACATATGAAGCAAATAATAAATTATTAATTTATGAAAATTCGAGTACAATCATCTGAGATATTCTTTACAAAATAAAGAAAATATCATCTAATTCGATCGCATTTGTTAGTTGGATCCAAGGGCTGTTGGAGCTTTATCTTGGATCGGGCTATTGACAATCTTAGTATTTGTAGTTGAGGAAGACCGTCGTTGATTTCTGATCAAGGGCTGAAGAAGCTTGATTTCGAACAGTGTTATGTAGTGATTCTTCAAACTTATTAAATCACAAAGAAAGAACGGCACGACTTTGATGTGCTTATTGTTCTTTGTTGAATTTGAGAAAAAACGATACGGTTTTGATGTGCTTGTTGTTCTTTGTTGAATTTGAGGAAGAACGGCACGACTTAGGATTGGATGTGCTTGTTGTTCTTCGTTTTCAGAGAATTTGTTGAATTTGTGGAAGAACGGCACGACTTTGGTTGTGCTTGTTGCTCTTCTCTTCAAGGATTGAGTGTTAGGGATGAATGTTGACGGAGCTTTTGTATTTTACTCTGAATTTCTCTCTAGAATTCCGAATTTCTAGAATTCTCAATTTTTGTCCCTCTTTCTCCTTCTTCCATGCCTCTATTTATAGACTTCTTGGATTAATAGGATGATGATATGTATCCTCTCCTGATAAGGACATAATTATAACTGGGCCGGCCGGTTATATTCTGAAAATTATCCATAAATAATTATTCTAAATATATTTTATTAGGAATAATTATCTTTTTATTTAATCATCTGGGCTGGGCTAATTAAATAATTTAAGTGGACCAAGTTTGAGCCAATTAAATAATTTAATTAAACATGAGACCCATATTTGATGGGTCAATTTGTCAAAACAAAAGTCCATGAAATTTTAGTGTCTACAATTACCTCCCAAAAAATTAGGAGAATTCAAATCCAACTCAAACTAGAACAAGAAAAAAAAATAAAAATATCCAAAAAATGACAAAAAGTTGACACAATTTTTTCATGCATTCAAAACCTGGTTTCATACAATTTTAACAGAATTCATACATGGTTGCATGTGATTTGACGAGATGATATAATCCTCTAGTATCAAGTAAAAATTTCTTGAGAATAAATAATTTTATTCTTTCTTATAATAAGTACAGCAAAAGTAGACATTGTTGCTTGTGGCACATACAGTAAGGTACTAACTAATTCACTATAGTAAACGACCTCCTAAAATTTATTGGGATTGTCCAACGAAAATCCCTAAAAAAAGAAATTTTCTATAAAGATGACAAAAAATGCAGGCTTAAATAATGAAATGTGGTTCAACTTTTGTTTCAAATAAAATTGAATCTGGTTGGATTTGAATCAAACAAGGACGAGCTTTGGCGCAATGGTAAGATTGCTATGTTGTGACATCTTTATATGCGAAGGTGAGATTATGTAAACTTTGCAATGGCAAAATTATTGTGCATTGGATTTGCCCATTTTTTATATATAATTATTGATACAGAAAAAAATACATCCTTAAAAGACCATTTATTAGCACAATTTTTTATTTTTATTTTTATTTTTCTTATGTGTCACCGGTATTGCCCCTTTTATATACAGTCTAATGGTTCTGAAAAAGTACATTCTTAAAAAGCCATTAATTAATAGTATTGGGAGGTAAGATTTTGAGGTCTCGTTTTTGAATCGCACTATTGACTTGAATGATATGTGTGTTGTGGAGTTGATACACGTCATTAAAAAAAAAAAAAAAAAAAAAAAAAAAAATTAAAAGATATTTAATAAATGCTCATAGAGTGCTTATAACCAGAATTTATGCGTATTTCAGTAGGGGCGGTTGCCCCACTGGGCACCACATAGGTTGTGCCTGTTGACTTGTATATTTATATACATTAACAGATAAATATATAATATAATTATTAAAATATGATATAGAAAAAAGTGGATTGAAAAAATATACGGATACCTATATAATAGGTCATATGAATTAAAAATTTGAGACTAAAAATTCAGCTATACATATATTATTTATTTATTTATATATCATATACTTATAAAGACATTAAAAGAAAATGTAACAAATAATAAAATAAATAAATAAATGTTCAGATAATATATATATATTTTTAAATTGACACTATCACAATAATCATGAAAAAAATAAACTAATTATAATCAATAACAATGACATCTTAAGTTTATCAATCATAAAATTAAAAAAAAAAAAAATCAAATAATCAACTATGTTTATAAAAAAATAAATAAAATTTTGTTATCTTTTTCTCATCTTTTATATATAACTTATATATTTGGAGTAAATGCATAAGTATAATTTCTTAAAATTTAAAATTAAAATTATATTATATTAGAATAGCACATAATGCACATGCTTAAATCTTAAAAGTGTTATTAGCTCCTTTTATCAGTGAAAGGTTTATTAACTTTCAAAAACAAAGTTAAATAATATCTATTGTTACAAACAAATAAAAGATACAAAAAAATATTTGCAAATATCTATAAGAAATTAAGAATAAATGTAATTTTTCAAACTTTCACAAATTACGTGTATAAAATATACATATATTTCATTATTTAATAAACAGATCATGTTAGTGTTGATGGTTTTTGACATAATTATTAAACTGACCATTTTCGAGTTGAGCTATTTAATAAAATACTCTTATATGGATGCGACATGATTACCATTCGTGAACAAATTATCACCCTTTATTAACAAAAGAATATTAGGAATAAAAGAATCCATTATATATATAATGTTAATTAATTAAAAGACTAGTGAAATGAATTATTGGAAGCTATGAAGCGGTAAATAATGACCTAGACCTTTAACCAAAAAACAAAAAAAAATAATAATAATAATGACCTAGACAAAAAATGCAGGCTTAAATAATGAAATTTGGGTCCACATTTGTTTCGGCCGATCAAATATTCCTTGCCAAATGTGTCAAATGAGAGGACAACCAGAAAAAAAGCATGTAGTAGTCACATCATGACTCATGCCATCTTGTATATATCGCCAAAATGACATATTTAAGTGCGTAATTGTGCAATGACTGACACATTCTTGAAGTGACAGAGAGATATGGAAGGAGATAAAGGTCCAGTGTGTGTAACAGGTGGAACAGGATATGTTGCATCATGGCTGATCATGAGGCTTCTTCAACTGGGTTACTCCGTCCATGCCACAGCTAGATTGGACCCTGGTAAAGCCTCTTCTTTGTTCAAACTCAGAAACTAATTAACAAGTTTTGACACAACGGTAAGATTATTTTTCGACAAAATTCTTATGAATCTTTCTAACACTCGAATTGAATGTGACTAGAATACAAGAGAGACATCAGTTACCTCACAAACCTACCAGGAGCATCAGAGAGGCTCCGAATCTTCAGTGCAGACCTCAACAGACTAGACAGTTTCGATGCAGCCATTGAAGGGTGCACCGGTGTATTTCACGTCGCTCATCCCATGGATGTCTTTGGAAATGAGCCCGAAGAAACTGTCAGCAGACGATCAGTGCAAGGTACACTAGCCATCTTGAAGGCCTGCCTGAATTCGAAGACAGTGAAGCGAGTTGTACACACTTCAAGTTCAGTGACTTGTATGTTCAACAGGAAGGATCAGGGTGAGACTGAGGAGAGTATATGGACTAATATTGATTTCTACAGGTCTTTAGGGCCATCAACCAGTGCATATGTGTGTTCCAAGACCAAAACTGAAAGGGCAGCTCTGGAATTTGCTGAGAATCACGGATTAGATCTGGTGACTCTGGTGCTTCCTCTGACATTTGGTCCCTTCATTTGTCCCAATCCACCTAGTTCTGTGCATATTGGATTGGCTATGATTTTAGGTAAGTGTGTTTCTCATACTAAAAGCTAAGTGCCTATCTCTTTATGTCACTAGGGTTCTAGGTCAATTTTGATCCAAACTCAACCTAACCGGACATCCTTAGTACGTTTTGAAAACCGTGAACACCTATACGTAAAACATGTTTTTAGGCGCGTGCGGGTGTAGGTTGGACTAAAATTGAACATTTTCGTACTTCAATATTTTTGCAAGTTAATGCATGATGTACCAACCTAATTTTAATTTGTTGTATCTGTGTAGGTAGAGAAAATTACTATAGCATTCTTACGAAAGCCAGTTTTGTGCACGTAGACGACGTCGCTAGTGCACATATCTTCCTCCTTGACTATCCTAATGCCAAAGGGAGGTACATTTGTTCATCAAATGAGATAACACTGCATAAGATGTCTGAGTTTCTTTCAGCCAAATATCCTGAATTTCAGATGCCCACAGCAGAGTACGTCTCATTTATCTAATGTCGTATGTTCTTCAGAATATGTGTGCGTGTGTCAGAACAAGTACTAAACATATTGCTCCTTCTTTTTCTTTTACTTTTTAAAATATTTTTTATAATACTTTTCCATGTTTTCTGCAGTATTTTGGACAAAGTTAAAGGTTATATGCTTCCCAGCCTCTCCTCAAAGAAGCTTTTGGATTCTGGATTCAGGTTTAAGTATGGTCTCGATGAAATGTTTGAGGGAGCAATTCAATGTTTTAGAGAGAGAGGTTTTCTCTAGAAGAATTGTAATTAAGGTTCATGATACTTTTGAACTTCATTTTCTGTCTTGATTTGATGTTGTTTGGCCATCGAGAAAAATCTATTGGCGAAAATATGACAAAGAAAGTAGAATTTCAACTGCATTCATATGTATAAGCTCTTGAAATTTTCCTATACATGTGCATTTTCTTACCTGACAAACATGCGTTGTTGTCGAAGTCATCAACCAATAAAACCTCGATCCGAGGACAAGTAAATTAATGCTCAATTCCAAGAGTATTATTATTCATTTGATGGTAGGAGGGCTTGTGAATATTCCTGCTGCCCTAGATAAAGTTTATTTGTTTCTTTGTATCCATTAGTTGTTTTTACCATCTCAGAACCAAAGAGGTCTGTTACATTTTTTAATTAAAAAAACCAACAAACTGACAAAATATAATGGAACTGCACTCAATATTTAGTTAAATTCAGACCCTCCATACAAAAAATGAACCTAATAGAGTGTATTAATAAATACAAAAGAGATTGAACATTGATTTTTATTATAAATAGTTTATCAAGTGTCAAATTGATTATAAGTATTTAATAATTTCTTGGGAAGAGGTAACTTTTTTTTGTAAGGCATGAAAATATTTGATGTGGGAATGCATTGGCTTTTTTTAAATGAAAAAATAAATCGTATGAAGCATGAATACGAACACAAAACACGAATATGACATGTTATACATATAAACAATACATTTTTGCTCATTTAATCCATATAATGATGAATGAATTCAAAATTTTGAAGCTTTGAATTAAATGTTTGTTATTTTTGCCCTCTAAAATTTAACAGTATTTTATAATTAACCCATTAAAATATTTTGAATGGTATTGAATCAAATTTTTTAATAATCACAAAACACAATTATATTATTTAAAATATAAATAAAAGTGTTTTATTATTTAAATATTTTATCCATGTCAGTTGTATTCATGTCTTCTTACCTTATAAACTAAAAGGATCGGATAGCGTTATATTCCACAACAAAGACACAATTGGGACCATGATTTATAATGTTGCACACCTTTGCATCATCATCATCATTCTTATTTTAATTCCAAGTCATATGAAAAAAAAATTTAAAAAATTCTTTTTAATAATCTCATATTATTTTGAATCACCTTAAACAAAAATGGTATTTTTTGTCTATATGGTACAAACCATCTAAGTTGAATCCCTAATGCCCCGTTTGGTATGCATTTGTTTATGCTATTTTTGTTTTTAGGTTGTTACAGTGTCGATTTTGGCAACAAAATTATGTTTGGTGCGACCTTATTTTATTTTACACCATGCTAAAACGCTTCGTGAACAGTGGCCCATAACCAAAATACAAAAAAATTAATATTTTTTATTTTGACAACTGTTCATGGCTCAAAACCATAACAATAGCTCAACATGGGTCCAAACATTTCACAGCAAAACATTATTCCCTAACGTGCTTTTTATTTTTTTCAAAAACACTCCTGCAGCAAAAACACTATTTCTATTTTTAACCAAAAACAAAACAACTAAAACAAAAAACTTGCAAAGCCGACCCTAACTTTTTTTTTTTCAATGAATACTAATACTAGTAATATACTAATATCTACTAGTAATATTTTTCCTACACTTTGGTGGATGATCCTATTTCTTTTAATCACTTCCCACATTCATTTTCAACCTTCTCATTTTTCTGCGAACAGTGAAGTGATTTAAAGTGTACTGGATAGTGGTGCTAATGGAGAAAAAAGTGTACCGGAGAGGTCTCCTTTTCCTTTGCTTTCAACTTTTAAGTCTCTCTCGCCTCTCAATCCCTCTCTAGGCCTCTCTAGAAAGCTCGTCTGAACCTTTTGCTAGGTAAATTCTTCTTCTTCCTCCTTTATTATTCTTTTTTTTAAAATTTTTTTCCCAGTATTTTTGCTATGGTTCATGTTGTTTGAATGTTGATTGTATTTTGCGTTTGCTTGAATTTCCCAACTAAAAAATGTTGATTATATTTACATCGACTGTAATCTCTTTTTCGCACAACCTAGCATTCCAGAGGCAGATAGAAAGTTTTGAGATGGTATAAAAAAGATTATTACTTTTTCTTTTTTTCCTTTTTTATTGTACAAATTTAGGGATTAAAAATACAAAATGAGGTCCTGTTTAGAAGACATTTGAAAACATAATTCATGCGAGGATGCATAAATTTTGGTTCATTTACACAGTTCAGAGTTGTATTAATTCGGGGTTTACATCTTCATTTGGATTTTAGTATAAAGACAGATAATTTTGTGTTTATAGACTGATAAATTCGGGTTTGCATATAAAAAAAGCAGCAGCATAAACACACACAGACACACACACATATACAATTGTGATTCTGGTTTTTCATACAAAGGCTGTTATATTGGATTCCATATGCTGCTTTTGATTATGAGGTAATTCGGGCTTACTTTTGTTCAGGTGACCTGTTTCTTAGGTTGAGTACAATGTCGTTCTTTGGAGGAAAAGATCCATTTGATGACCCATTCTTCACAAGCCCATTTGGTAGCATCTTTGGTAGGAAGAATCTGTTTGATGACCCATTTTTCCCTCATCCATTTGATGGAAAATCTAGTTCTGAGCGTCAATTGAAGGAAATTGCTATTGAAGAATTAAACTCTGATGATAACACTCAGAAGCATTCAAGTGAAAATCCCATTATTACTTTCCCCAGTGAAAATGCTAGTGGTACTTGGTGTTTCTGCATTTAATTTATCCTATGCGCGTTTGATTTGAATGTATATATAATAATAGTTTATTTGCTTAAAAGTAGAACATTTTGTGGTTCATCCCACAGGGAACCATACCTTCAGCTTCCAAAGAGTTGCATATGGTGGACCGGAAGGAATGTATTACACTTCTTCTATGGCTAGGGCTAGCACTGGTGATGGAGTATGTAACTTGTTCTGATGGAGAAATTTATCAATTAGGGGGCTGGATTTCTTATGATTATGGTTTATGTTTTACCTTTTCTCTTTTAATTTTTATCTTTTGGTTACATAATATTTATGTTGCCTTTGTTTGAGAAATAGGTGGTTCTGTTAGAGACAAAAGAAGAAGATAAGACAATGGGTCAATCACTGCATACTGTTTCTAAAGGGATCAAAGATAAGGTATCTGACTTGGTGTTCTTTTGTAGTCTCCAGAGAAACATGACTATAAACTGATTTGATATTGAAAAGAAATTGAGGAAAGTTTTTATCAAAATGCACTTACTTTTATTCTTAGGGGCCTATCCTACAACACAAAATTCTTCTAAGGATACGGATCGGATAATAAATACTGTGACTGCTTAACATTTTTTAACGTTGAGATAAATTTGAGTGAAATTGTCTCATATAAGAACAATTTTAACTCTTTATAGAGTATGGTTTGTGTTTAAAATGCAATATTTGTTTCTTTTACTAAAAATATTTGCATGTTAAAATGTTAGGATGTCCCCATTCCCCCTATGTTTGTGTGTTATATATTTCCTGGTATTGCTTTAAAATAGAAGAGGGGCTGTTGGTTGGTCAGTCCTGTGGTAAAAGTTCATAGTTCCATGGATGAGAACTTGACTTTGATTTTAAGGAACCACACTGGTAGACAAAGGAACCGAATAAGGGTTGTCATCTACATTGGGAAGGTAGAGAAAAAGTCTTTACTTAGAGCATGACTAGTGTTGCTTATGTAGGGCCTTTCCCTTACCAAGAAACACAATTCAGATGGCAAAGTGGATACACTGCAGACTCTACACAATTTGAATGAAGGTTTGTTTCCATTTGTAGACTTTAGAGTTATTATGTTCAGTGAATGCGTCAACAGAAGAATTGACATCGCAGTGTTTTCTTAGATGAGCTGTCTAGTTTTGATGGAGCTTGGAAAAGTAATGTTCAGAGGTATTTTCCTGGCTGGGATGATAAGTTTAGTTTGCTTGAATATCCAGGTAATTTTTTCTTTTGATCCTAATAAATTGGTATGCCATTCAACTTGCTTTAGATTGCAAATTGACCATTATTTTTATACATGTTTATTTGTTAGGATTCGAAATGATTGTAGATGTTTGAACCTGATGTATATCAAATTCTTGTTGTTTTATGAGAATCAATTGCCATGTGGCAACTGTGCTTGATTAAGGAATAAGTTGATACTTACAATAGATGGACACAATAATAAGGTTCCATTAGCATAATTTTATGGGCTACAATGCACTTTTGTCAATCTCAGTAATAATATTAAGTGAACTGGCATGTGCTTATTGAACCATGTTCACTAAAGATGCTTAAAGTTTCACGAAATAATGAGGTTAATTGATGATCCTCTTGCATGTTGTAGTGCGTATGGTGGTTTTTTGAATTTTTATCCTTTTACTTTTCCATTATCTGCTGCAACGCTATTGGAAAAGCTATGTTGGCTTTCAAGTGGTTGAATCTGAATGTGGTTCCCTTCTTTGCAGCACTGCAACATTTAGATTATTTGGTCTAAATGAAGCTTAGGTGTTAGCTAGAGCACAATGGTGAAACATCATTCATATAATGAATGATAAATAATTGAGACAAATCTTAATTGAGTTGAGTACTTTAGTATATTTTCTCTATGCCAATTTGGAATTCGTAATTTTTTTTTCTTTTCTTTTTTATTATTATTATTTTATTTAATGAAAATCTTGCCAAGAAGGATGAAATGTGGTCCCAAATAATGCTCCATGGACAATATTGTTGAGTTCCATAGTAAAGATCTTCCTTTTATGCGTTAAGCCTTTTCATTTGCCTTTATCATTATAGCTGCAAATATTTTTGAATACCATAGCCAGTTTATTTAAGGTATTACCATGGCAGACCACTTGTTGCCTTCATCAGCCTTAGGCGGTAGTGACAACCTTGCATTGACACTGTAATGCTGCATAATAAAATGATAATCTTTTGGGCATTTTCTTACATTTTTTTCGCTTGATTAGATGGTCCTTAAGCAGTGCAGTCAGTGTGACTTATTGAGAATGGTTTAGCCTCACAAAAGTTTTCTTAGCTGAGGAATTGATTTGGTAAAGAATTATCCAAACTATCTAATATGTAGAAATTACTAAGCAACGGTTTTACATGGTACCATCCGCTGGTAACTAAAGCTGGAGAAACCTTTTTTAACTATTTGGGGTCAACACATGATCATTGCCATATTGTTTTAGGTAGAGTCATTACTTCGGCTAAATTGTAGGTTCTTATAGCTTTGATCCGCTTTATTCTTCTCAGCATTTCTCTTCAACTCGTAGCTTATTCAAAATCAAGTTATGGTAGTATCACAATATCACATATAATTAAAGTTAACTTGACAAATCTCTCTTTTCTTTGGTCCGGAAAAAAAAAATCTTTATTTCTGTGTGTTGCCTAAATTTTAAAGAATTCCTCCATCTGTATCATTTCTCATCTTGTGTTCATTATCAGCTTTCATGACATTGTCGTTTAACCCATGCCAGGGCATTTAATTCTTGATTGTCTTGGTATCATTGATTGCAGAACTCGAGAAGCTCTTTATCCATCCACACTGATAGAAAGTTATGGTTAGCATGGGTAGCAATATCTCTGCTTTCCCAGTGAAAGAGTAATTTCTATGTCCTGGCCAATAAGCTTAAGCGCTCCCTAGTTAGAATTTAGGTTTTTACGTGTGAGGGAGAGAGGGGCCGCTATGTGAACTGTCACAGTTCTCATTATTATTAGAGAGCGACAAAGTTGAATACATTGATATTTGCGTCCGGATTGTTTCCCTTCTCTAACTATGCATATGAGATAGCGTCATGGTTAATAATTGAGCATGGTGATAATTCCCATCTTAAATCTGCTGTGATGTTGTTGCATCTTGTAAGTAGAACTTGGAAATGAACTCTGTGCTTTAATTCTCAATTTGGTATTCTAGCATCCAATGTTAGTATAAGTGTTAATTTGGAAAATAGACCAAGTCCTATGAGGGAGCCATGCATTTATACGTTTCTCTTTCTTGCATTATATTTGTTTATGTTATTGCATTGTTACGGTTAAAATACATTCTCTTATAATGCTAATTTTTTTGTTTGATTGTGTACAATCTCCAACAATACTATTTTTTTTTTTGGTCTGGATGTGTAAAGTTGTATGGAAGTAAAAATTGAAATGCCTTTGCTGCAATGTGATCTCCCATGGCCCATTTCAATCACACTGCTGTATTCCCAGTGCCCGTGTCTGTCTGTTTATTGCATTTGCAAGAAATGACTGGTCACCTATTGTTTTTAGATTGAAACTTGGATGGGACTTCCTAGCAGCTGAGTATTGAAGGGCTGATTCTGCTTTACAGGCGTTCATGATATCTGATGTGATATGGCTCTAAGAATTGCATTTTTGGTGTTGCTAACAATTTCTCCCTAAACATATGCTTGGTTAAAATCACCCTTTTTTTCCAATGTGGGCAGAAGGCAGCAGCAGTGGATGGAATGGCCACCCAACTTGGGGCGGCTGGGCTCTACCATCTGCAGAGCACTTGGGAGACGCCAAAGGAATGAAACGAGATACTGGAGCTAAGACTCTTTCTTCTGGGCAGAGAGCCAAAAAGGTTGTTCGAGTCGATATAGAGTAGATTAAGAGTTATACATTTTAGGGTTTTTCAAGAACTTCATGTGGTAGATTAATAGGACTTGTTGCTTTTCCACTCGGTGATATAGCTTTGGTGCTACTTGTGCCTCTCTGATCTGACTTCTAAATCTTGGTTTGTGAAGGATATATCTGGCTAATTTTTATTTTTTTTGGAGTTACATCTGACTGTGATTACCATCTACCTTTAACATTACATCGGAAAAAACGGACCCTTAATCCAAATCAACTGAGTCAGAATTCATAATGTTAAATGATGTGTTCATTACAGTAATATTTTTTCATTTATGAATCTATACTTTGGCAACCAAAAAAATAAGTTTCTGCAGGTGCGAATCGGGTTGGATACAAGTTGAATGGAAACTCATATCTGACTTGGGGGTGGCAATTGGGCGGGTTACAAATGGGTGAGTCGTGAATGGGTCATAAATGGGTGATTCAACCCGAATTTAACCCGATAACCCAAACCCTTTTTTAAACATAAATAATTCAGTAAGTTCATACCCATCCCAATGATCAGAATTCGGGTCGACCGGAATCCTATTATAATTGCTAAGATGTCAATCAGAGTTGTCTAATGACCTGTTTGGCTGCTAAGAAATAAAAGCAAAGGAGATGGAATACAATCTCGTGGTTCACAATTTTATGACAATTGGTGCAGCTAGTTGTAGTGTCATAGGCAAAATTAAATAGAATCATTTGCTTTCCTGTTCAGATAATGCAAAAAGCTAATGTTAGAATCATTACTTTAATATTTTAACTGTGTTGTGGTCCAATGTTATCTTTTCTAATTTTCAAAGTGAATGGTAAGAGTTTGATGTCATATTTGGTGTGAATAAATGGAATCAAATGAAGTGAAAATGGAATATTTTTGTTTCTAACTTTCCATTCTTTAGTTTGGTAACTAACTTTAAAGTTGAAATGATGATTCTTGTCTATTCTCGGAGAATGTTGATTCTCATTAATTCATTTCACTTTTCAACTAAAGTAATGACCATTCCATTCCCATTTAAAAATAATAATAATAAATAAATGAATAAAAACAAGCATTTAATGAACGTCGGCTACACACATATATACATACATACATATATATGTGTGTGTTTTACAAAAATACATTATTTTTCTATGCAACCAAATATGAGAATGAGAATGGTCATTTCATTCTCTGATTCATTCCATTCCCATTTCATTCTCTAATTCATTCCATTCCCATTTTATTTCATTCAACCACATTAAACTAGCCCCCTGTTCAAATGAGCAAAGTGGATACGTGGGTTTTTTATTTTCTGGGGAAACCAATAAAGGATATGCTATCTATTTTCTCTCTACCCTCTAAAAAAAAAATGGTTATGCTTGGGTGGATTTGCTAATAACCAACTAATTTAATTATTCTTTGCCAACTCATCAATTCGGATTTGGATGAGTTAATGAATTCTAAAACTCACCCTAACACTAACCCAATGAACTATTGAACACCCCCATCAACATACTGGTAAAGTTGACATAAACTTCCTTGAAAAAAAAAAATTCTAACCTCCAGTGGCCCACATGCAGGTCATTATGGGCCCGGTAATTTAGGACTGTTATCGGTGACACGCCACTCAAGAACACATGAGAAGGGTTGCAAGTTGAGCTGGCCCAATCCAGTCCAATCCCAATCTAACCTCAATCCGAGTCGAATTGGGTTGAGCCAACTCGAATTATACTCAACATAAGTTATGATAAAAACAGAGTCCGAATATTTTCGTGCTAGTCGGATCAGGTTAACTGAATTGAGTTTGTTTGTTTATTTGTTTGTTTTTTTTTTTTTTTTTGGTTGGGAAATTTATATATATTTGGTATATATATATATATATATATATATATATATATATATATATATAATATTTGATTATATTATTATTAAAAAACAAAATATTTTTAGGGCAAATCATTTCAGCCTCCCCAACCGCCTCCATCTTCTTTATACTCGTTCTCAACTCTGAACTTGCCCTCTCTCTCTCTCTGCAACTGCAAACTACAAAATCTACAAGAATCAGAAGTTCAAAACCCATATATTTCAGTTTATCTATATCAAAAGTTCAAAACCCATATCGGCATATCATTTCAGTTTGTTCAAAAAATCAAAACCAATATCTTTCAGTTTCCATCTCCCGCTGTTCCAGTTCGGGTTCGCCGTTCGCAAGCTTCAGCAAATCATTTCAGCCTTCCCAATCGCCTCCATCTTCTTTGTACTCGTTCTCAAGCTTCAGCAGTCGATTCCTGAAATCCAAACCCTACAAAAACCTTTACGTTGTTCATAATACGCCATTAACGGAAAGGCTTAGGAGGATGAACAATCCCGGCAACGACGAAGACGCTCATGGAGAGGTCTTTCTGGACGACGAGGATATCATCCATGAAATTAATGTCGACGAAGAAGGTACTTTTCCCTATCTCTCTCTCTCTCTAGCTGTATACGAATGTATTTGTATGCATCAATTGATATAACTCTCGCTAACCTTCTATTTATCTACTGATTGTCGATTCAGATCTTCCTGATGCGGACGAAGATGCAGAATCTGATACTGAATTCGGCGGTGAGATAAGTTGTCCTTCAATTTTAATTTAATTGATTTATATAATGTCAGTCTAATGTATATATACGTATTATTTTGGGACTTTTGAATTTCTTGAAGCAGAAAATATTATCGGAAAGACTGGATTTTTTATTTTTTTTTAAATCATGTAGTTCTTGCCTTCGATAAGTTTTCTCTAAGCCTGTGAATTATTTTGATTATGTGGAATGTATTTCTTGGTGATTGCAGATGAAGCTGACGATTCCATGCACGTATTCACCGGTCACACTGGTAAGGTTTCAGTTTGTTTCTTGTAAAAATTTTGTTGGATGGTATTTTGATTCTGAACTGTCAACTAATTTGTGATGAATATGTTATGGATCCAATTAATATCTTAAGTTTAGGGTTCATTGTTAATTAGATGTTCAGCGAATCACCTACACTGCAGAATTGTTTTGGTTGGAGTTCAATTGAACTTTGATCATCTCTGTCTCTGTTTAACATATTGAATCTTTTGCAATTTTGTAATTGCGGATTCGAGGTAACTATTACAAAATCATGTATTTGGAAGCAGCTCAAAGACTCAAAATGAAATTTAACTTTTGAGTCCTATCTCTAATCTAACCAATCTATGACTCAGAGAAATTGAATTTCTATTTTCACTGTTGAATATGCAACCTTATCCTATCTATGAACACTTTAGATACTATAACAAGTAAAAATATAGGTGTGTATTTCTTCTCTAAGTTCTGTAATGTTAAGAGGGGCAAAGTTGCATCCAACTTGTGGGTGGGGTCTACAGATATGGGCACAAAGAAGCATGAAACTCGGTTTTGTCCACGGATTATTCTACGAAAAATGTCAAATAACAAGTACTTATTTATATTTCCCAACCTTTTCTTTGGTATAGGTGAACTTTACACCGTCACATGCAGCCCAACGGATGCAACATTAGTTGCAACAGGGGGTGGAGATGACAAAGGATTTCTTTGGAGGATTGGTCAAGGAGATTGGGCTTCTGAACTACAAGGTATGCACTTGACCAAAACTTATACATTGTGTACTTCTTTTTTCATGGTTATCCAATAATCTCAACTCAGCAAAGCCTTGTTCTAATTAAACTGTTTTGTATCCTTTTTTTTTTTTTTTAATTAATTAATTTATTTTTCATTTAACCTATATTACGTATATAGCCTACTGGCATAAAGTATGCATAAATATGATCTTACTTGATCACCCCTGCTTCTGCTCACTCTTGAAATTTCTCTGCAGGGCACAAGGACTCAGTGAATAGTTTGGCCTTCAGTACCGATGGACAGTTGCTTGCTTCTGGAAGCTTAGATGGAGTTATTCAAGTATGGGACAGTTCCTCTGGAAATCTCAAGTGCACACTTGAAGGTCCTGGAGAGAGCATTGAGGTGAGATTTTATGAGCATTCTTAGCGATTTTGTTGTATTGTAACTAGTTTGTGAAGATTAAGCATGAATTATGTGATTTCTCAGTGGGTAAGGTGGCATCCAAGGGGACACTTGGTATTGGCTGGTTCGGAGGATTCCACTGTTTGGATGTGGAATGCTGACAGGAGTGCCTATCTTAATATGTTTTCAGGTCATGGTGCTGGTGTGACCTGTGGTGATTTTACCCCTGATGGTACTGCCCTGATTTTTTATCATTTAAAGAATGGGTCTTTTAGCTTTTCTTCCTGGAATTAAGTTATAAACGTGTATTTTCCTCTGTTTTTTTTGCCATATGGTCACTTCAGGTAAAACAATTTGTACTGGTTCCAAAGATGCAACTTTGAGAATTTGGAATCCAAGAAATGGTGAAAACATCCATGTTGTCAGAGGTATGTATTGATCTCGTATAGGGATATTTCTGTTCTGTAATGTGTTTGGGTTTTGAAGTTTCAGTCTGTCATAAATTTATGCTGGTGTAAATATTTTTTGCATGCACTGCAATTTTTTTGGCAACCGAAAATATTCTTCCTATGGATTTTCCTTTTTTGAAAATTCTTTTTACAGAAAAATTTGAACTAAATGGGGAAGATGTCAAGAACCTTGACCTTTCCTCCATCTTACTTTTTATCTGTTAATGGGTGAAATGCCATATATATGAAGCTAATAGTATCATAAATTCTGGTTCCCATGTATGATGGATGGTGCATGGGAACCTTAAATGAACTACAATACAGGGGCTGGTGCCCAAAACAGCGGGTTCCATTATCTTGACCATGCATATTTGCTGGGTGTGTTTTAAACAGAAGCAACAAATATGAAATAGGATTGCCCCTTGTTAGTTGTTAAATGTAACAAGAATATTACAAGCAAGCAAATTACTAGACCAGATATAGTAAAGGTTTGAAGAATCGACCATGTCTCAGCAAGTCAGCCGAATCGAAATGGAATCGGCAGGGCTTGTTACTTAGTCTGGATTGATATATCGGTAGTAAAAATTACACATGACACAGCCCATTCAATAGTGACTCGGCCGATTCGCAAAGGATTAGGGTGATTCTCACTTGACTTGTCCGACTCAATGGAAAACTCAGTTTGGATTGCTTGCAGAGTCTGAGAGAGAGAGAGAGAGAGTCCGTTGCAGCTTCTTGGAGCGTGGAAAGCTTTGACTTCTGTAATTAATTAGTTTATTGGGCTACAAATGTAATTTTCTGTTTCCCCATTATTGGCGTCCTTTGTTTCCCTTTTTTATTTCTTTTCCTTTTTTAGCTGCAGCTCCTCATCTTTTCTAAAAGAAAAATATAATAAAATGCCCATTATCATATAAATTGTATGACTTTTGTTTCCCTGCAAGAGGTAGAAGGCACAAGTAGCAAATTTATATATATCTTTTATGATATTTATGGCACATGTGGGAGATCTTATTTATTCTGTTTTTTCATAAATAGAACCTATGTATCTACGAAGAAAATCTAATTCACTCTTTTGTCTCACAAAAGGTAATAATAGACAAATTTATATAACTTAAAAAGTTTTATTATTATTATTATTATTATTTAGAAAAGTAAAATCTACTAAATCTTTAATAACGCGGCAATTTAAAATTCATTTATAGGTCATTAGTTGTGCCAAATGATCTTAAAGAAATTAACAAAAATATCTGAAGTTCATTAAAAATCAAATTTATTGAATTATTTTGTAAAAAGTTGTGTATCAGTACGCTTTGGATTCAATATATGAGGTCAAAAAAAATTTATCAATTTATCAGTACGCTTTGGAGCCTGAAATTCTGGGATTCATAGCCCCAAGAGTAGGTCCATTTTCTAATCTATGAACTTTGGCCAAGCCCAAGACCCTTAGTGCTGAACCAATAGTTATAAAATTCTATGATTCCCCCAACATTTAGGTCAAACTCTGAATTCTTTTAGGTTCTGACTTCTGCATAGGCATCAACATGATTTGGAATTTAGTAAAATTGTAAATTTTGTAGTATTTTCCCTGAGAACTTATTAAAACCTTGGAAAATATACTTACTGAAAAAAATGAAACCCTTAAGAGAGTACTTGTATTAAAAAGGATACTTCTTCCATCCTCCTACTTTCAGAGCTTTCCATATCGCTGTCTTTGGTGTTGTCTCAATATGACATGTTCATTCAAGTTGTTGATGTTATAGAAAGTACTCTTGGATATTTTTGTTTCTATTGGAAGGGAAATTGTCATTTAGGATTTTTTATGGTATTATGATCAAATAACATTCTATTTTCTTTAGGTCATCCGTATCACACTGAAGAACTGACATGCTTAACAATAAGCTCTGATTCAACTCTTGCTCTTACTGGTTCAGTGGATAGCTCTGTTCACATTGTGAATATAACAACTGGGAAGGTGTGAACCTTGTTGCTTTTGATCAACTATTGTTTTTGTTTCCACATTTTTTAAGAGCATTAGCAGATAGTTTGCATTTTCTCATAAAGAAAACTTGTTGCTTCATTTTTATGTATAAATATTTGAAATTTAAGATGCCTGGGCCCTGATTTTACTCATCTACGAAAAGGATGGATGGAAATTTTGTATTATTTTGCTGTGTTTTCGCCTTTCAGGGACTGCATCGTTTGGCATGTCTGGGAGTTTACTCTCATGCAGACCTGCTCCGCGCCTCATGCAGACCTGTTCGTGCTTAGGCTTTCATGTAAATTTTTATTTAGCAAACCATATTAGCTCATATAGCTCTTCAAATTTGGGGACTTTCCTATGTGTTTCTGGTCTCCCGTATGCCTCTTGGGCTTATAAGGTGATGGCATGTAGTCTGGAGTCCTATGAACCTGGCTACCAACACTAGGAATATTTTCTTTTCCCCAGTAATTAATTGGTATAGAATTTATAGCTAGCCAATTCTAAAATCTTGTCTTCCTTATTTCTATTTACATTTTACTTCTGTTTCTATTTTGGTGATGAAGCAAACACAGTTATATGGGACTCATAATGACATTAGATATGCTAGGATCCATCTTAATAATATTAAATATGCTAGGATTCATCTTTTCGTTGTATTAGTATAACTATAGCATTTGTCACATTTTTTTTTGATAATTAATACAAATTTTGATTTTATATGTGTCTTTGTTTTTCTTGTGTTTGTTTGAAAAGTGGAACTGAGTTGAAGGTTGTGAACGTTCAAATATTTAGGCAATGGCGAAAGTAGACTTGTATATTATATTTCTTTCATGTTAACTAATAGAGTTGTATTGCTTTCATCCACAGGTTGTTGCTTCTCTGAATGCTCACTCAGATTCAATTGAATGTGTTAGCCTTGCAGTAAGGTACTGTCATGTTTTGAAAACTCGCTCTCTCTCACCCAAAATTTCAGCTAGAGTTCTCTTTTGCAAAGTTTGAACCTTTAGATATTTTTTTCCATTTGTTTCCATGTTTGGTTGGCGGTAGGCTGGAGGTTGCGATACTGTCTGTAGGTACAATTGATCTACAAACCTTAAAAATACTTTGTTCTCATCCTCTTGCATGTAACAATTGAAATCTACATCATGCTATGAGGGAAAAAATACATCTATTTTCAAACCAAGTAAGCGAATTTAACTTATGTGTAATTGTTAATCGATCAGTCATTGCTTGCTTGAAATCTTGAACGGGTTCCTTCGTAAATGTGTTATTTTTTTTAATTATTATTATTATTATTATTATGGGCATGTGTTGCATTTGCCAGTAAAAAGATGATAATTCATATTACAATATGGTAATGTAGCTAATATTGCTTTGGCTATATGAATTCTGGTCGAATTCAACCGGAGTGCCTTAACCAAGTCCTAACCTCATCTAGAGTGGACCATTCAAGTCGATTTTGGACCAAATGGTCCAGCACCTTTCATTCACAGATGTAAAATGCAACCCATTTCACCTAATCAATTTATTCTTTTTTTTATCAAACCAGATCGACAATGAGATAATTTGTTCATCTTTACCTTGCGTCCACTTGATCTCATCACGTGGATGTTTTGTAGTTGGCATGCCTTAGGTAACTCTCAAAACCTTGCCGCTTTGTCATGGATCATGGTCTGAATATGTCACTTTTATCCATCAGATTGGGGATAGAGTTGGTGTTGAAAATGTTAAGATATGCAAGGTTATTATTCAATTAACAACCAAAAATTTTAATGTATGAAGAGATAAAGTCAGTTCTCCCCCTTTTGGGTGCATGTAACTTAACATACTATGCTCATGATTCAAAATTTGCATGGCAGCTTTCCTTGGGCTGCAACAGGAAGCATGGATCAAAAACTCGTTATCTGGGATCTGCAGCATTCATCTCCCCGCAACACGTGTGACCATGAGGTCCTCTTTAGTTGTGTTCTGTCATCGTTGTTCACATATATTAACCCCATTTAACTTGCAGACTTTCAATGTTTGGACAAATCAATATAATGTTCTTTACATTTCCATTGCTATCGTAACAAGTAAGCTTATTGTTGGCAGGGTGGAGTGACATGCATGTCATGGCTAGGTGCATCCAAGTACCTGGCTACAGGTGGTGGTGATGGGAAAGTACGGTTATGGGATAGTCTTTCTGGAGATTGTGTAAGAACCTTCAGTGGTCACACTGCTTGCATTCAGTCTCTGGCTGTATCTGCTAACCGGGAATTTCTTGTTTCGGCTTCGGTTGATGGAACTGCCCGCGTATTTGAGATTGCAGAATTTCAATAAACAAAATTTGCCTCCAGATCTGAAGTTAGTTGGAACCTTGTTGGCTGCATAATATTTTTTCTTATAGTACCAAAATAAACTATATTACATTTAGCATTCTGAATTTACTGTATCTTCAAGTTGTCACTGGTGTTTGTATATTAACTTATGCTTAAATGTTCATACTACGGAGCAACTATTTTTTAATTACATCAAAGTTTTTGGTTTTTGTATCAAAATTACAAGTATTCTATGCGTTTTGATTGCCACCGTTTAAGATGGATGATTTTAAAGCAGAGACATTATTACATTTTAGCTTGCTGGACTTGTGATACTTGGACATTTTTCTATATCACCAAAGGTCCAAAACTAACCTCCTGGTGAAAATTTATTGTTTTGGAGTATATCTAGTCTGCAAATAGTATAACCATTAATAAAGCGTAATTATAAGGCGTTTTATTCTCTCTTAAAAAGTTTAAATTCAGCTTTAGTACAAGTAAAATACCAATTCAAAGGTTTTTATTTTTATTTTTATTTATTCATTTGTTTTTCCTGCCTAGGCTAGATGGACCAGCGAATACTAGAGCTGCCAAGTACAAGTTCATTCGTTTCTATCAAATTCAAAACGGAGCTGCCAATTGCTAGAGACAATGATTTGTGTCAAAAGAAACACTGTTTTGAGGTTAAAAAAGTAAATTCTTGCTACCGCTACTCCGAGTCCCCGAAAACTTCTGTAAAAGTAAGAAATATGGACTTATTTATATATATCTAATTTTATATATATATAGGCACACATTGAAAAGGGCATAAGAGTCCTTGCAACAACTTTTAAAGAGAGCAAACCGTAATTCCCGTACGATTCACTGTTGGAGCGCTCAACACGTCCCCACAAATGTAACGAATTTGTCAGACTTGTTCGCCTTCTTTCTCGTCCCCCCGCCTTCAACAAGACAAGCCCCTGATTCTCTCTCTACTTTCTCTCTCTAGAATTCAATTCTTCATCTCTATTCCTCAGCATCAAACTCTAACACTGATCAGATATTGTTGAAAATCTCCATGTCATTTTCCGACTCAGATACCTCTTCTCATGGCGGTGGTGGAGAGTACAAGAACTTCCGCCAAGTCAGCCGCGAAAGTACGTTTTTTTTTCCCTCACTCACTTCATTGTTTTGAATTATGGATCTGATCTCCGCACACACACACACACACACATATATAAACACACACACGCTTGTATATGAATGCAGATTCTCTAAGTTTCATCTATTTTTGATAATGAATTTTTTAATACAAAATGCATAATATATGAATTTTAGTTTGATCGATTTAATTGTTAATTATTGTTTTCTTTCTTTTGTTTCTCCCCACATTGCCGCACGAAGGTAGTTGGTGACATTGTAAAATTTTCATGAATGATTATCACCCATTGTAGGTTCTGAATTTATTATATTTCTAATTTCTTTATAGTGATAATGTTTTAGTGAGATCTGCCACATTCTGTAAGGAATAAGCCATTGTATATTGATGCCCCAAAGTTCTTAGAAATGCGTTAATAGGCATGTTATATTCACGGACGGACCCATAAAATTATGTGAGAAGGGGCCGACCTTTAATAACAAGAAGATAAAAAATCGAAACCATGAGGTGTGGGGGCAATAGTTAAGGTTTTTTTTTTTTTTTTTTTTTTTTTTTTTTTAATTTCAGGCGGTTCAATTTTAAAAATTTATATTTATATTATTCATAAAAACAAAATCAGTAGGTATATAATAGCAACAACAAAAAAATTTCACTAGGTCCGTGCCTGAGCATCTTGTTGCCTAAAGTTTTCGTAGTGGCCTAGAGACTGCAAATGCCAACTACAATAACAGAAGTGTGTCTGTGTGAGAGAGAACCGTATATATTTTTATGGTTGGACAAGAAATTGAAGAAAACTTACGACAGTAACAGAGCTCAATGAAGACAACAATAACAGTAGCCCGAGGGATTTAGCAGAAAGATAGCGTTTTTATATTATTAATTCAAGATGAAAAAGAAAGGAGTGGAATTGAAGAATCAAATAAGACTCCATGTTTTGAACATCTCTTAGTGAAACTTTTAAGAAGTTTGAGTAGCTGAAAAAGGCACAGAGGGAACATTAACTGTCCACTGGTGAAGAGTAATTTTATGCTTGAAAGATGTGGACGATTAGTTGATGAACCAATTGATTTGGTATTCAAGGGAAGATGGACCAAATTTTCAAGATCGGTCAAGATTTCTGGTGACAGATTGGCTGTTGGTGTCGGATATCCAGTGGCTTAGATTAGCCTTGTTAGGGCTCACGTCTGCAGAAATGTTTGAATGTCACTTTTGGAGAGTTTTAAGAATCACATTTATGAAATGAGCGCTTTCATCTAAAGAATTGGATCTTGAATATAGCATTATACACTGAACATAGGAAAATAAAGTATTTGATTTGACGAGGCAAAACCCAAAAACCACAAATGACAAATACACGTGTTAGCTTATGTTGGATCTACAACAACAACCACCACCAAAGCCTTTTTTCCAACTACTTGTGGTCGGCTACAAGACTCCTATTTTTCCATTCTGCTCTATCTTAGGCCATGGTTAAGCTTATGTTAAATCTAATATCCATAATTGTTTAGTTTCATTTTTATATTTGCACTAATTTAAAGCATTCTTCTGTAATGAATTGCTTTCCAATTTCTTGCAGTTGTCAACTTTCAGAACTTAACACATTGATTTGATGCTTACCTAATTTTCTTCTACCATGTACTTGTTGGTTGGATATACTAGGGTTATTGTATGAAATGCTCCGGTCATCCAAGACAGGGGACTCAAAATCAACTTGGAAGGTATGGTTGTTGTAGTTTACACTATTGTTTGGAGGGAACCTACGTTCTTTTTTTTTTTTGTTTTTTTTGCTTGCTTATGGTAGCTTGATTTTTATTTTATTTTTATATGTAAAAGAAGAAGATGCTTATTGCTCTAGGGGAAGTGAATTAATCTTGTTGGCCTGCTTACATATTAACATTATTACTCATAGGATGTCAAGTCTCTGGTGGAAATTAAATATAGACGATCTACTTTGCTGGTCCTTTTGTTGATTGGATCTTTGATTTTTTTATTTTTATTTTTGGGTCTTCCATTAGAAACATTACTGGTTTTTCAGTTATGTTATTGCTAAAGAACAAATTGTACTCTTTTGCCTGAAATATTTTTACAATGGCTATATTTTTCTTACAAGCAAAACAGTCAGTCTCGAGTTAAACAGTGTTAACTAATCTTTTACTCTTAAGCAACCTCCTATCATTCTCCAAAAAATAGTATGCAGGAATTCTTTTTTTGTCCTAAGTTTAGTTTGACAATCTAGCTTTTGCTTTTGCTTTTGCATTTGCTTTTTTTAATTTTTTTTATTTGGTAAGTATTTTACTATCTAGCTTATTGAAAAAATCTTCATCTTTTGTCCCCTTATTTTACGTGCATACACATATGGTCTACTCTAATTTAACTATTTAATTAGCATACAAAATTTCTATAGGGGAGCTGTCTTAGCTTTTGATTAATGTTAGATGACAAAACTTTATGGGTACTCCATGATATGTGTTCGATACCTATTGGATTGTCTAAAATTTGAAAATTAAATTTTATAATTTTGGACACCTGGCCAACAATTCTCAGACACTCAAGCACATTCTAACTTACAATCAATAATTAGTTGCCTCTAATCACATGACGCTATCTTTTGTGTGTTCTAGAGTAATTAAAAAAATATTAACCTGAAGGGTCATTACATCAAGCTTCAACCTAAAGAGAAAATAAGTTAGCTAGAATGAAGTGTTAATAAGGAGACCTTAATTCTTCGTAATTATTTATACATGTATGTACGTGCATGCATGCGTTTGTACAGTCACAACATCATACATACACATTAACATCCATACATACGCTTGTATGTAGACCGATATATGTTTTATAATAAATTATTGCATCTCTGCCTGTCAATTCCTATTTCTTATGGACATGTCAAGTTGCGTGTCTATACCATATCTTGTCCTGTCCATGTCCGGGCAACACCATAGCCTTTAGTTTTGAAGCCTGAAGAGTATTATATCCTTTCTAGGATGTATTCTGAATGGAACTCCTATCTGTAAGAAATTCCATTACCTTTAGAAAATTTTGAGTCTTGAGTTGTTTGACTGAAGAAAGAAGACCAAGTATAGAAGTTCTGGATCGTAGAGACAGGAGAAGAGAAGATGGAATGAACTAATGAGACTGGGCTTGTTGTTAATTCTTTCAAAGCATGTCATACATATCAGTAAGTATTGAAAATAAAGTAAATGACATGGATGAGATATTGCATGAAACTGGATTGGTATTTCCTAGGTAATTTTTTTGTGTATTTGAATGGACACTGGGTGTGTGACCAGGATTATCTGCCAGTTTTTTTTAAGCATGTCATGAGTAATGCTACAAAATTGATAGCAATATGCATGATGGAAATTGGCTTTTCATGATATTATTAATTATTAGCATGAAAAGTGGGTTAAAAATATTGCACAGAAGTATACATTTGTTATTCAAAATTGACTTCAAACCCTGATGATGAAGTCTATCATCCTGAGACATGCCATGTCAATTGTCCTTAGCTTTTGGGTGCTGATTTTCTTTTGTTATTCTTTGTCCATTTAATATTTGAAAATAAAGGTAGTTGCTTTTTCAAAATTTTCTTCACTCATAATTGATCTTGTGCAGGTACTGATCATGGATAAAGTTACTGTGAAAGTCATGTCTCACTCATGCAAGATGGCGGATATTACAGATGAAGGAGTTTCATGTAAGCATCTAAATGCAATAATTATAAATTGAACTGTATTTTGTTTTGTGTATTTCTACATAGTTTCCCTTTGTGTGGTACTTATCACATTTTATTCATTGAGAATACAATGCATTAATTAACATTTTATCACAATGTTACCCTAACATTCATGATCATAAAATTTTATAACAATGCTTAAAATAGTTTTGAATTGATGGTCATAGTTTTGATTGGTATGAAGCCGCTGGTCCCATGCAATCATTTTTGTCAAGAGTGTTCCAGTCTTAGTTCCCATGTGCATTTCTTTGTTGATAGTCAATGAAACAACTTGAGTGAAATATCTTCATAGTTTAGATTTTTATCCTGGTTTCAACATTTACAATTTGAAACTCATTCCGACCAAGAAAACCTTACTACTTTTCAACTTTCCCTGCAGTGGTGGAAGACATTTACCGGAGAAGGCAACCTTTGCCATCTATGGATGCTATATACTTCATTCAACCTTCGAAAGAGAAGTATAATTATCTTTCGATAGTTTGTTGTTCAATATATACATATATATATATATATTAGTTGTGTTTATAGAAATTGCATAAAATGTTTATTTATACTTAATTGTTGGTGCTTCCTCTTTTGCATACTATAAAAAAATATCTTTATGGTTCTATGGACATATAATTGAAGATTGTTTAGTAGCAAAACTGAATTCTTGATACTCCACCTTTGTACATATCTTGATCTTGTTTATTTCTTATACAAGTTTTTTCGGATTTCATATTAGTTTGTTTTAAGTAAGTGGAAGACTCTAAAATGCATACATTATTGCGTAGCAAATCCCAGTTTGGATAAGGTTTCCTTTCGTTGAATGAAGGCACTCGTTTTTGGTTGCTTGTGAGACCGCAGGTTTTTATCTTTTTCTTCAAAATAATCTTTGCCAGAAGGGCCTTTTAACGCCTTTAGGCTTAAGAGGGTTCTCCTTGACTTTTGCAAGTACTTTTGTTAGTGTTTGGCTTTCTCAAATTTTTAATTGAGAAATAATAATTGTTGAGTGGAAAGGAAAATATTTAATGATTTCACATGGGATCATTGTACTTTTATCAACGCTAAAAAGGCTGTAATGTTAGATGAAATGAAAAAGAAAATAGATGATGTTTAGGTGAAATGTTTAGAAGCAGATCACATGATAGTGCAAAAAAGGGAACCGTGGATGCCCATTTCAGAAAAGGAAATAAAATTGTGGAAAGGTTCAATAAAAAATTCTTGAAGAGATATTAAAGATGGAAATTTCAAAAATATTTGTATTATTCTATGGCAATGCTTGCCTTCATGTTTGATTAAGTACCCTATGTTTGCTGCTTAATCAAGTTGGTTGGTGAACATGGAAAGGGCAAAAAAAAACTCCCTTCTTATCATAGGATGGGTCTCTGTTTTGGAAAAAAAAAATGAAAATAGTACTGTAACTTCTGGAGAAGTAAACTCCCACGTTGTAACTGAGTTGGCATAAGGTCTTTGGGCAATGACCAAGAGGTGTCTTGTGTTCAACTCCCATGGGAGTAAACCCGTCCTAAGCTTACCTGATACCCATAGTATGAGAGTGATTATGGATACCTGAAGAGGGTGGGGACACCAAGTGTTACCCCCTCCAAAAAACTAAAAATAAAGTAAAAATTAATTAATTAATAAAAATAAAAAAGGAAAGTACAAAAAGAACAAAAGAGAGCAGTTTGTGACTATGGGATACGCCTTACTATTTTATGATGTAATCACATCCTTAAAAATTCTACATATTTACAGTATAGTTCATATAACGGAAAATGGTGGATCGATTCACAATAAGAATCCCAATTTGACTAGTATAAGTTGTTAGTGATAGCTGTGTTGACCGGTTTGACTACTATGAGTTGTGACAGCTGATGTCGGAAATATGCTTTGGGATGATTGACACAAGTATAGTTACTTGTCTTTTCCAAGAAGAATCACAAGTGTTGGGAAGTCAAGTTCGTGCAATCCCCGCCAATTCTAAGGCAATTCTTTAATATTTGTGTGACATAGATCTTCATCATAGAGAAGGAAGCGATCAACCACAAGTAGCTTATGATCATATGCACGATCATATATTGCATTTGCATATGAAACTTTGTAAGTGTTGTTGTGGATATGGTATGATTGTTAGTGTATACAGAACTTTCCATGTTTTTTCTTTCACGAGTCGATTACCACGACAACGACTCGGCAAGTTGTGTTGTAAATTTTTTGAACTTACATATTATCTAAATCTTTATTGGGAAACTGCATTGTCAATTAACTTCATAATTAACCCACGCGGAGTAGCCGAAATGGCATATAGGCTCTGGGCATGACCTCTAGAGGTCGTGTGTTCAATTCCTGTCAAAAACCTCCTCCTTGGGTTTACCAGATACCTGTGGTTTGAGGATTGCAAGGAATTAGTCTTGCCCCTGAAGAGGGTGCAGACATCCGTTTCATTAAAAAAATAAATAAATAAAATTAACTTTAGAATTTTACTAATTAAAAAATTAACTCCAGAATTCTAGTATTTTAAATAACACAAAATTCTAGGGGTCATTATGACTAGAACCTTTTATGCGATCTATTATCTAGTGAACTGACGAAGAGTAAGGTTTTGGATAAGGTTACCTGAAGAACTGTGTGAGATTGCTTCTAATTAACTGAGATGAGATAGGCTGGTTGACATTTGGAACTTCTTCAGTTGTTGATATTACTGCTTGTTGTTTGGTCCTTTATGCGACTTCGTACAATGAAAAATCTGAGTCAATTAGGTATAACGCTCTGCCTTAGCTATAATATCAAACTCTAATTATTTATCATGCAACACACCCTTTTAGTACTGGAGGGTGTAACCGTCACCTACATGTCACTTTATTGTTTCATTCACATAAGTTGTAATGGTTTGTGGGGTGTATGATTGACATGCATATTGAAAATTGTTTGTTCTTTCATTTCTGGTTGAGTCTCATGATAGTGTGTATCATGTTCATGTTATTTTTATTTATTTATTTTTTTTTGCAGTTTTATTTCCCTTTCTCTTTTTTCCTTGTTTGGCTTTTAGCCTCCATATTGTTATATTTTCTTTTTCTTAGAAAAACATATCTATGGTTTCGTGTTTTTGGATTTTTTACTGAATTTATCCATTCCATGCCGAATCATAGCAAGAAGATGGGGCCTATTTTGACTCTTATCCTTTGCTCATATGCAGTGTTGTCCTGTTTTTGTCTGACATGTCAGGAAGAGAACCTTTATACAAAAAGTATGTGAAAGACTAGTTCCAAGGAAATCTATTTCTTCCTCTGTTTTACTGGATTTCAAACGTCTATCTTTCTGGTTGTTGTGATCTTCTTGCTTTTGTTGGGTTTTGCTTTATTACAGAGCATTTGTATACTTCAGTTCACCTGTCCCAAAGGAATTGGTTACTCGCATCAAGAATGATACAAGTGTCTTGCCCCGCATAGGTGCATTAAGAGAGGTTAAGATTATCATTTTTTGGCAATGATCTTTTGTGTACTATATCAAGTAATTTATGGATTTTTAGTTTAAAATGCTATTCTGTTTGCGATACTCATCTTGTTGCTTGGTAAAATTTCAGATGAATTTGGAGTATTTCGCTATAGATAGTCAGGTATTTGTTGTTACCATTTGATATTCCTTCTTTATTGATGCTTTGTTGATTAATGTGCCTCTTAACAGTTCTGTTTGGTTCAAGCTTTTTTCCATGCAAATTATCATGTTAAAGCTTTATTTCTTACATACAACATAGACGAAGGCACAAATAAGGAAAATAATTAAGATGTACAAAAATTATTTTTATTGTAAATGGAGAATGCTCTTCTTCCCCCATCACTGATATCTTCTTTGCATTGTTTAGAACAGTCTAACCAGTAAAGTATCAACCCACCACCTTTTTTTTTTCTTTCTTTTTTTTTTTTTTATAATCCGGGGAGCTTCTTTTAGCATTTTATTTTATTTTTTATTTTTTAGTCTTAACTAGGAGATTTAGAGCATCTTCGTGAGAAAATATTGATTGTTCTATGGGTTCTACATGAATGTATATGAGTTGGAACATCTCCATGAAATGCAGCTTGATCCTTGTACTTTTTTCACCTTTCTCCTGATGTTTTAACCTCGTTTTCTTAGGATTGACAGTTGGATTTGCTTTGCTGATCTGTTACTTCCCAAACGTTATTTATATGATACAGGTTCATGAAAAAAAAATCCATCTGACACTAGTTGTGTGGTCAGTATGGTATCTGTCAAATATAGAAAACAAGAAGAGATGAGAGCATTGCACCTGCCATGATCCATGGGGGGAGAGGGGGGAACACACACACAAGCAGTGAAAATCTATAAAGTAGAATGAACCCCCTTAAAGCCTTTTTTTTTTTTTTTTTGTGGGCTACCATATTGAATAACATCAACCCTATGTTAGAATATTCCAATATTTGGATAATTAGCATGTAATTAGTGCTTGGGATATTTTTGGTTAGTGTGGTATCTGTCAAATATAGAAAACAAGAAGAGATGGGACCGTTGCCTACCATGATCCATGGGGGGAGAGGGGGTAACACTAGCACAAGCAGTGAAACTCTCTATAAAGTTGAATTAATCCCCTAAAGTTTTTTATTTTTTTATTTTTTTTTTGGTTTGGACTACTATAACGGGCCGGGTGCTTCGCGATCTGACCGAAAAACTTAAACGGCTAGGTGGGGCTAACATCCAACCCATATATACCCATTCACTTTTCCATCCGGATCCAATGTGAGACAAGACTCCCCTTGTAACATTCTCTCCTACCTGAACTCGCAATACCCTCATTATGGTTAAGCCACCCTGCCTACCCGGGTGGGCTCACCCGAACACCTCCAAGCCGGGCGCTTGGCTTGACACCAAATCAAGGATTGGGTCTAACTCTAGTACCAACTATAATGGGCAGGGTACTTCACGATCCAACCCAAAAACTTCAACTGTTAGGTTGGGTTCACATGCATCCCATATATACCCATTCACGTTCCCATTTAGATCTGATGTGGGACAAGACTCCCCTTGTAACAATTACCATGGTGAATAACACCACCCCTATGTTAGAATATTCGAATAATTAGCATGTAATTAGTGTTTGGGTTATTTTTATAATTGTTGCTTATTTAATATAAATAAGGGGTGAAGAGATGTGAGATAATACTCTTGAACCCTTTTCGATTTTTTTTTTTCCTCTCTTTCTATCTTAAACCCTAATCAAGAAATATATATATATATATATATATATATATATATATATATATATATATATGTATCTTAAACCTTAATCTTTCAAATCTATTATCATTTTTTACCTGGTATCAGAGCAAGCGCAGGTCCGGAGGTGTGCTGATGTCAGCTTCCATACAATGATGTAATGCTGATGGATTTTGAAGCTGTCTTACAACCTGTATATACCCTAATTTCCATAGTATTAGTAACTATTTTTATTTTTATTAAATAATAATAATAATAATAACCCCAACTAGTTGGAATTAAGCTTGTTGAGAGAGTTCATATACATAGATATAACTATATCCTCCCATTCCTTCGCCTCCTTTTTTTATTGCAACCCTGATTCTCAGAAATACTTTTTTAAAAAACTGGATGAACTTTTTTTTTGCTAATTCTTATATTTAACACTATCTTTTCTTTCCAAACTGTATACTGAACATCCGCAGATTCACCAAATAATTATGAGGGAACCCGGAATGGCATTGCGTCTACCTTATTCCAAATGTGCGTGTGTAATGGGCAATCAAATATGCAATAAAATGATTCTGCAAAGTGTGAATACATAATTATAAAAAGCCCCATTCCACAAGGGTAGTGTATGGTTCTATGTTTCTCATTGACTCTATAATCTTTGTTAAATATGCATGTTCACAGGGGTAATGACCCTCAAGAATTTTTATTCTATTGGTGAATGCCTCTTAAGAGACGTTTAACACGTCTCGCTGTAACTTGTGAATGTCCAAGTACTAGGAAGAGAATGTTATATGCCCTATATGCTTTATTTGTTTGCTAGGGGCACTACTAGATATCTATTCTTTAGGGCCTTCTTCCTTTCTTGCGGTCTTGCCCAGTGAGGAAATTTTGGATTTATCCAAAAAGTTCAGCATCTCTAACCATTTTAATGTTACATTCGCTATCTGTTTTCATTTTTCTTGATTTTGTTCAGTAATGCACGCTGAATGTTTTGTCTGCTTGATATTTTTAATTGTAGGGATTTATCACTGACCATGATGGAGCATTACATGACCTTTTTGGGGAAGGTGTTGAGAATTCTCGTAAATTTGATCTTTGCTTAAACACAATGGCTTCCAGAATTGCTACTGTTTTTGCTTCATTGAAGGTATAGATTTTAGATTTCACAATGCTATCCCCGAGGGTTAGCTTCTTTTGAAATTCAAATATGTACCATATTTGTTTATCCTACTTACGATTTTAATTACCAATATGAAAAAGGAAAACATTTGTGACTTTTCAGCGTGACCTATTGTTTTGTTTAGGTTTGTTTCGGTTTTCTATAGATTAGACTGTTCTTTTTACTGTTTGGAGAGAGATTATCCTGCTCATACACCTAAAAAAGTCGATACATGCAATGTTCATTTCAGAAACCACACACTACGAGTTACTCTAGTGTCATATTTATTAGTCACCAAATGCATTGAATGTCATGACTAGTTTTTTATTATCTTCAAGTTTTGTGGGATTTGAACAGTCCCAATTGTTGGAACCAGACTATCAAAAGTGGTTAAATAATAATATTCCGATAACACAAATAAAGAAATTACACATAATTCCAAATCTAGGCTTACTTGCTTCATGAAGATAGTTGAAACCTCTCCTAGGTGCAATCGAAATATCGAATGGCAGCACTATCTTCGGATTTCAACTAAGCCAGATTCAACAATCTAAATGTTTGTAAAGTGGAAACCTCTATGAACCCATATATTCATCTCCGTCCAATCATTTGTCCAAAATAAAATATAATTTTAAGAAATTATATTCAAACACATATATCAATATATATACATATATCGTGTAGAAGTTGAACGCGGAATTCCTAGAATTCCCATAATTTTGTTACTAGAAAACTGATCGGAATTCTCAAATTCCGTTGTCTAATGTTCACCAAAACTTCTCCGGAATTCTGAGTTAGACCGTGAGAAACTTTGTCAAAATCTTCTCAGTGATTAAATAATGATTTTAACCATGCAACCCAAGAGTCATGAGTTACAAGCAACCCATCAGTCACCTTGCAATTTGATGGTCCAGATTACTTCATCAACTGACCAAACAACCCAATACACATTTGTGATCCAACAGGCAAGATCATGTAACCATTTACGCAATCCACTAGTCACTTGAGTCAACCGTGAAAATATCAGCTTCCTCAAGTGCGTGCGTGACTCGATCCCGAGACCTCATAGGGGTAAAATAAAAACTCCAAGTCTCCATCTACCAACTAGGCAACTTGTTGCTTTTGTTGTAAAGTAGAGAAATAAATCTTAGAGATATTTTAGGAGATTCTAAATATTTTATATATATGATTTTGAAACACGTTCCAACTCCAATTTCATGTTGCTTTGCTGCATGTGAAACTAAGTTGTTATATAGAAACAAAAAAAATTCTTTTAACATATTAAAAAAATATGCAGTTTATCTAATTCAATAAATCTAAATAATTATATAATTTAAATTGAAAATTTGAAATTCTTGATTTAGAGTTTGCAAAAGTGGAATAGCTACAATAGAATTCAATGGAAAGAAATGAGCAAATGTTCTGTGAGTGGTGATGACTTGTGTGGTTCAGTGCTCATGGGAGCTTCTACTTTGGGGAATTGTCTGTGATTGATTGATTATTACATTAACACCATTTAGATGTGGATTAATCAGTTACAATAAATAAAATGTCTGTTTTATTTTTGAAAAACTACATATGTTTGCATCTCCTCAGGAGTATCCTGTTGTGCGGTATCATGCTCCCAAGGCAGATGCGTCTGCAGTGACTTTTCGTGATTTAGTTCCGACAAAGCTCGCTGCTTCTATCTGGAATTGTATTACAGTGTATAAAACAACAATTCCTAACTTTCCCCAGACTGAAACATGCGAGTTCCTTATCCTGGACAGATCTGTTGATCAGGTTATGCTCGCTTTTCTGTTGACCTTCTTCCTGCATGCTTTGTCAATTTAATTTTTCATTTTATTTTATTTTTGTTGAATATATTAATTTTCATGTTTAGATTGCTCCTGTCATTCATGAATGGACTTATGATGCTATGTGCCACGACCTACTGGACATGGATGGAAATAAATATGTGCATGAGGTACATCTTTTTGTTGGTTCTGTTCGCTGTTTTTCGTAACATGCTTTGGTGGACCCTTTAGTGAAGGTTGATATGTACTCTATGTTAGGTTCCTAGCAAAAGTGGTGGTCAGCCTGAGAAAAAGGATGTCCTTTTGGAAGATCATGATCTTGTCTGGCTTGAGTTGCGCCATGCACATATAGCAGATGTACGTTCCACACACTTGAAATTTGTTTTACTTGTAGATGTTCTAAGTGTGAATGCTCTTTCCCACTAACTGGCATATCAGGCTAGTGAAAGGTTGCATGAAAAGATGACAAACTTCGTGTCAAAGAATAAAGCTGCACAATTGCAACAAAGGTTGGTGCCATTAAACCTTGTACATGCGATCTCATATCTCTCTTTTCCATTTTTCTTTTTCGTTTTGAAGCAATACTTTGTTCTATTTGCAACAGGCTTGATAATTTGATATTATAAGTGCAGAATTTGTTGTTCTTTTAGATCGATCACATTGTTTTATTGTCACCAGTCTTATAGAATCTCAGTGGTCAGTAGTTTAGAATCCGAAGTTCCACAACAACAGAATCAGATTATGATGAGAATTTAGTCATAATTTTGAGTCAGAAAGTTGGTGCAGTTTTAGCCCATAATCAGGTGTGGAATTATATGGATTTTTGTTGAATTGCAAATTTGCAATAGAAGTATACAACCTGTCTATATTAGACATTGCAATATAACATTGAATTCAATATTATAATTCAATAACACGTTCAAGGTTTTAGTGGTGTTTGCTGTCTTTTCATTGCATTTTCTGGCAGGAGCTAGAAGTTGTTGAGAATTTAAAGTATGATTGATGTTGGGACAGTGTAATGGTTCATGATAAGTGACAGAACAGTGTACAACATGCTTAATAAGATCTATCTTGAGATGAGGTGTTATTTAGATATGTGACTTGGAGATGCCTCAAATTGATTCTTCCCCTCAATCTAACAATGTTAGCTTAGGTATGCATGTTGAATGCTGGTTTCTCTGGATGTCGATTTGGCCCCCGAGACTTAGGATATTGGAATACAACTGAACTAATAGAGTAGTATTTAATGTAGTGTGTTAACATTGGAGCAATATTTATGTAATGTGGGAATAAATTGTAAAGAGTCTCAACAGGAATCTCTAGAGAAAGAGCTATGTTTTACTATCCACTTTTGTTGGTTACATGAGTGAGAATAGATGTGTCTGATACATCTCCTAGACCTGCAACCTTGTATGTCTGACAAGGCTGCACACAAACTTCAATTGTAATATGGTGACTTCTGAGTTCTTTTATTACAAGGCAAAAATCACCAAGATTCTTCTTTTGCAAAATTGGAAGATGAGATTTTTAGGATGTAACTGAAAGGTGCAAATGGCACTCTATTATTTTATTTTGAGTCTTTTATCTGTCTAATGCAATATGCATCCCCATTTTTTGCTTTGATTTAACCATTAAGTTAATTTGTTGTGCCCCTATAAGTTGAAAGTGAAAAAAACATGTATTTAGTTCACGTAATAGCTACTCTTTTGTTATATGCTCTCATTTTGAGGTCTGACTTTATGTAGAGATGGTAGTGAATTATCTACGCGGGACTTGCAGAAAATGGTTCAAGCATTACCACAGTACAATGAACAAATGGAAAAGCTCTCTCTCCATGTAGAGGTTGGTTTTCTTTTCTTTCTTTTTATTAATTTCATGTCTTGTTGAACCATATAACTTACAAATTCTCTCCCAGGAGAATCGAAGCAAATTTAGCCATGTACTTTGCAGCATGTGGAATATTCCCTTATCCCATCTTGGGAGTTCAAGGATGTTAAAAATTGCTTGTGCATATATAAAATTGACGATGAGAACCCATCTTTCTTACCAGTTAAAAAAAAATTAAAAAATTATGTGTGTATATATATAGAGGAAGAGGGAGATCATTTTTATCTGCTTGCATAATCCAGAAAGAAGTTACAATATTGTTAAAGTAAATCTCTTCATACCTTTTATATCCAAAAATTGAAATATAAACAGGAATAATAAACTGATTATGTTGAGAAGCATGACAAAGAAAGAGCAATATGATAATGTGGGTAAATTTCTGACACACTGGTTATTTACTTGTTTGCTGCAATACAGATTGCTGGAAAAATTAATGGTATTATCAGAGATATCGGGCTTCGAGAACTTGGGCAACTTGAGCAGGATCTTGTCTTTGGTGATGCAGGAACAAAGGAGGTCCTCAGTTTTTTTAGGGCAAAGCAGGTGATGGCTAAAGGGCTTGTCTGAATTAAATGGAGGCACCATTTTTTAAGTATTGATAATATTATTCTTCATTAAATTTTTTTTTTCATCATGCCAGGATGTAACTACAGAAAATAAGTTGCGTTTGATGATGATTTATGCAGCTGTTAATCCTGAGAAGTTTGAGGGTGACAAAGCTTCAAAGCTTATGCAGGTAGCTACTGGATATCAAATTCTGGTTTCTTGACAGGGATCTTTATGTATTTCTTTCCAGCATACCTTTATTATTTTTTTGAATAAGTAGCCAGCTAGAATTACATAAAAAAAAATTAAAAAAATTATTTACTATAATGCGAAATGCAGATTGGTTATATCTTAAGAATAAGGATTTGAAAATGAAAGGGCAAGTTATTCAATAGGAAGGAGCCGGGATAGGACTACTTAGAAACTTAGAGCAACCAGGAAAGTGAAATTAAGAGAATACTCCTTTTCTCTTTAAAATTTTTGGATGATCTTTGGTACTCACACCTTGATCATTGTGCTTCTGCCCTTGGGCCAAAGTCTACTGCACAAGGCGCCTCAAATTGTAATTCCATTGTTATTTGAATGTAGTTTATGTTGCTTTACTTATATATTCATCTGTTTGGTACTTGAAATTCTCAGCCTATTAAGCAGCTTGAATCAACAATGCAATGAAATTATTCTTTATGTTGATTGCAATATTGAAGGTGACTTTTTTGTCATGCTCTGGGCATGTCTACCTATGTATTTATGATTTTGGTTCTTGTTTTATATCCTTCAACTTTACCTCAAGTTTTCCTTTACTTCAATGATAGTGGTAACAGTAAGCATAAATAGTTTTATCACTTAATCCTGAAATTAAGTTATGCATCTTTGGGTCATTGACAACTCCTAGCATTCTAAGGAATGTTATCCTCAATGAATGAGTTCTTTTTCATGTGTCATTGACAACTCCTAGCATTCTAAGGAATGTTATCCTCAATGAATGAGTTCTTTTTCATGTGTGACAATATGTGTCTTCTTTAAATTAGGCTCCAAAAGTAAGCCAATTATTCCATCCTCACATTTTTGTGTATTTAAACAGGGATAGGTTCATGTCTGAACAGTTAGAATTTTTGCTCGTGTACTTAGAGGAAATTGAGATTTTACCGGTTCTAAAGATAACCAGTTTATATCATATTATCTATGTGATGTTGAATAACTCAAGTAATATGTTATTTGTGTTAGAAGATCATTGAGTATTCAACTTGAAAAGAAAAAAACTGAGTTCTACCTGTTCTTTACATTTGACGGAATGATGTTAGCTGATATTTAAATGAAAGCTTCATTGTTACTACCAATGCCCTTAAAGATCTGCTTTCATCCTTTAATGGTCATATTAAAAATGTGATTTACTGCCCTGCCCTTAGCTTTAGACAACATTTTTTTGTCTTCCAGATGCTCTACCACCCTCATTTGTTCAACTGATGTGAGGTAAGAGAAACCTTTTTAATCTCCCTTTCTCAAGAAAGGGTAGAATATCAGTTACCTGCCCCACTTCTGTCTGCTTTGGACTACAATTGAAAAGGGGGCTCTGATGTCCTGCTCTTTCAAGATCTTTATGAAAGTTTTATGATTTTGATTGAATGATTACTGTGATTCGATGATACATTTTATACCTGTAAGAAATTTTGCTCAATTATTGCTTGATACAATAGATTTTATCATAAATGACTGTTAACAATACAGAAGTTGGATTAATGGATCGTCTGATTGGAAATGATAACAGAATGCATAGTTTGTTTAGGAGGAGTTCTAATATACATATACAAATAGTATACCACTTAATTACCCTATTTCCTCTATGGGGAAGAAAGAAACTTATCATTCGCCTAATTGCTGAAATGGGTGCCTAGTTGTTCTAGAATTTCACTGGTATTTTAAAAATTTAGATGTTTATCAATTTAGGTATTTCGAAACTTCTTTGGCACATCTATCCTCAGAGAAAATTATGTGTACTTATACTATTTTTGTGCCGTTCTCTGATTTAAAAATCCTTGCTTTTAGTAGTTCACACGAGTGTACAGAAGCAGCAGTTGTGGGTACGAAGGGGGTGGGAAGAGCATGGCTTCCCTGTTCCGAAAATTATGTTTCTGAAACATTGTTAGACATTAAAGGTCTAGCAAACCCAAAACCCTTTGTTGCTTAAAAAAAATAAAAAATGAATAAAAATCACCAACCTTTCCTAAAAGAAAATTTAATTAGAAATGGGACCCCTTTCCTTCCCAAATAAGTTTCCTAATGAATGTCACCTAATGAATAGTGTTGAATTGTAAGTTATATATATATATATATATATATATATATATCAATAGAAGTACAAAACTTCGCCAATTTGGGCAGACATCTAGGGAATTCTTTTGGTGGATGATCTGGGATCTTAATCGTTAAAAGTTTAAAAAAAATGAAACATTGTCACCAGAAAGGAAAAAGAAGAGGGAAAAAATACTTATAACACAGGAAAGACGTATTTCAAATACTTTCAATAGACATTGCTCCCTCACCACATGGTATATTCTTCTCTTCTTTTATTTTAATCAGATTTTTTATTAGTTACAGAAGTTTATTATAACATGTAATTGTGTAAATGGTTATCTTAAATTTTTTATTTTGACATGTTTCTTTTTGCTTTTATAATTAATGTAAAAACAAATAGTAGTTGAATTAGATAATTAAAATTTTCAAATTTTAAAATAGTTGGAGCAATTTAAACAATTAATTTGTAGAACTAGACACATTTTTCAATAATCTGTAATGTTAATTGATTAGATAAATCTTTTGCTGTAAAAAAATGCGTAGGAAATTTAAATGTAAATTTTTAATGACAGGGCATTAATTCAAGGATTTTTAAAACATCAAAGATTCTTGTTGATTTTCCCTGAAAATTTTCTTGATCCACCACTGAAGTAGTGTTCCAGACTTTTCGAGGTTCCGAATAGTAAACCTTTTTAATATAATTGATTACTACACTTCTGAAATTTTTAATGCATGTATGAAGTTGAACTTGAATTTGAGGAGAATATTTACGAGGCAGTTACCATTTTCTTTTCGTTTTAGTTGGCAAAATTATCTCCTGAGGATATGAAGGCAGTGAATAACATGAGATTGCTTGAGCGATCAGATGCCAGAAAGACATCAACTGGGAGTTTCTCACTCAAGTTTGATGCTCAGAAGGTAAAGATAAATAGTAATAGAATGTTCAAGATCAGTTCAGGTCCCTGCAACTTAGTTCCAGAACCAAGGTGTGACAGTTGCTAAATTTTTTGTTTAATTATTAGAGGAAACATTCAGCAAGAAAGGATCGAACTGGGGAGGAAGAAACTTGGGCACTATTTCGATTTTATCCCATGATAGAGGTATATTTTAAGATCTTACAACCTTCCTTATATGTGTTGCCTATAATGTCTGAACCTGTTCAATTGTGGCTTTGCTTCCCTAGTATGTTGCTGTAATATTATGGGATTTTTGTTTAGTTTGATATAGTATTGAAATGATTGGTGATATTCTGTTTATGCCATCAAGTTTTTGTGTTCAACTTTAGAGTCACAAGACTCATAGCTTGGCATGCAGTAAAGGTAAATTTGTCATGTATGCCGTGGATGAATTATGCTAGATATAGTTTCTCTTATCTTCTGCATGGTCAATAGACTTGAATAAATCATTTGTTTCTTTTACAGTATATCATTTTGTTCATGATTTGTTTTAGCATGTTTGTATATGGTAACTTAATGTTGCAAGGTATATGCATTATTTAAGATGAAATGTGTATATTTGAGCTAGTTTTATTTATTTATTTATTTATTTATTTATTTTTTATAACTAGTTTAATATAGTTCATTCTTAAAACCAAACATATAAGGCAAGGTTTCATAAGTGAACTAGTTTAGATCTTACTCCAAGACATAAATGTCATCATATCGGAACACTTTTAAGTCAACTTGTAAATGATTTGTACTGATATTCATAGTGGTGTCCCAAAAAGTGGATATCATGATGAGACAGTGTTAATATAAATTGTTGAATGTTCAAAATTTAGGCACTCAAGAATCTTTTCATTTTAGAAGAACTCTATCATGAATATGCTCTTTATAACTCAAACTAGTAGCTACCAACACTTTAGCTGGTCATTTGAAATGCTGTATTGGCCTTTTATTATACTAGTGTAGGAGGGTCACTACCCCATGTGTTTATGGAAGATCATCTATGCTTCTATTAAGTTGTTGCTCCAGTATTACTCATTGCTAGTGCTTGTCTAGGTGTCTCGTCCAGTCTGGCAAGGCAATGCCTAGTTTGTCGTCTAGCAATGTGTGACAGCTGATCAATTAGAAAAAATGTCCTGGATCTGTTTTAATCAAACAATATATTCCACATTTTAGAAGATTTGTCAAAGTTAGACCTTGGCAGATCATGTGAAAATGAATTATCCTTTTGTCAAGTTGAAATAATGAAGTGGAATATACAAGATTACTTTTGCTATGGCAAATTTTCCAACTATGAAGTAGCCAAGGTAAGACGAAGTCATTTTGAGGACTACATTGGTTAGACAATGTCCTCTCACAAAGTAAAATCCCTAATTCAACTCTGTTTCTCTCTTTTCCTAGGGTTTAAGATGTCAATATCAATCTGTGTTCTCACTATTGGGAAAACTGTTTTAGTCTGTGCTAATTAATGGGTACAAATTAGATTGTCATGCTCATATCTAATGTTGTCCTATGGCTAATGTTGTCTTTCAGGAGTTGATTGAACAGCTTACTAAAGGTGAATTGCCAAAGGACGAGTATCAGTGTATGAATGAACCAAGTTCAAGTGTCCAAGGGGGTACCAAGGGACAGAGTGCATCAGCACGGACAACTCAAACTACTGCTCCACATTCAATCAGATCCAGACGGACTGCAACATGGGCTCGGCCTCGTCAGTCTGATGATGGATACTCAAGGTAATGTTATAGCTCCTTATGTGTTAGAGGAGTAAGTATACATTGCAACCACAACCGTTGTATATCCTACCTGATACAACAAAGTAAAAAATCTCAAAGATTTCCAAATAAAAAATACAAAAAAATTAAAGAATCTCAAAGTTATCAGGTTGGCCATTGGTTCACTTGCTTTACCGTGTGGGATCCATTTGCTTCAGTGGAACACTTCCATTGGTTGGTTATATTATAACCGTTGTACTCAATATATTTCCGTGTTATGCTTTGTCCATGACTTGCATATATAGGCTACACAAGCTGCTTTTTTTTCTTCCTAGCTCGTTTGATCCATATGATATTAATCATTTATTCTGTGATCCATCATTTCTTTTCTTTTCTTTTCTTTTTTTCCTGTTAAGTACCCTTTTTTTTTTTTTTTTTTTTGTCAAGTACCTTTTTCTTTTCATTAAATGATGAAAATTGTATAATGTAATTTATTGCATGGTTGTGTTACTCTGACTGCTGGTAGAAGCGTAGAAGTTTGTGTTATGTATATGAAGTTCTTATCTCTCCCACTGCCTTCTGTAGTGATTCGGTTCTGAGGAATGCATCTTCTGATTTCAAAAGGATGGGGCAACGCATATTTGTTTTCATCATCGGCGGGGCAACTCGATCTGAGGTAAATTTCTCATGATTGTCCTTTTTAGGTATGAGTAATATGTGAGCTGCATTTTAGTTTTTAGCAGATGGTTTACTTTTATTTTTTTACTCAGCTACGGGTTTGTCACAAGCTTACGGCAAAACTAAGGAGGGAAGTGGTCCTAGGTACAACGAATTTCGATGATCCACCAAATTTTATCACGGTAGGTTTTCCCCTTTCTTGGTCATTGCTCTTCTTTTTCTTTCTTTCTTTGATAATTATATTCAGTTCAGTCTACGATAGCCATTCAGCTTGGAGGAATGATTATATCTGATTCTCATAACCTTGGTATTTGATAAGCCATCTTATTTGGGATGTTTAGTGCAAAATTATGTCAAGAGATCGACCTCATGGATGAGGTTGTGTATTAAAGAAATAATTGTTGTTGGATGGATGATTGTGAAGCCTCTCTCTCTATTTATATGTATGTGTCAAGATGTAACCTATTCATTAGTCTGGCTGAATATTTTACGAGTAAATTATAGAAGAAAAATATCGGATTCTTACACATTCTATAAGTAGGAAACATGATGAATACATGATAGTTGTCAGCATTGATTTGTCCATTTTACAAAAAAAAAAAAAAAAAAAAATGAGGGCATTGGTTGTTGGTGTGCTTAAGCTCTATTGTTTCATACATAAGAAAAAAGTTTTAAGAGCTTTATTGCATCTTTTTGGTAATTCATTACGAATGTATTTGTCTTTTGGATGAACAACCTCTTAAAGTTTAATTGCTTCTAATTTTCAACTGAAGAAAAGCAAAAATAGATCCTTTTTGCAGTGTATTAAGAATAGAGTAAGCCTGTTAATCATGCGTGTTCTTCTGCATATATTTTTGCAGAAACTGAAACTGCTGTCAGAAAAGGGGCACTAGATGATGGCCTTCTGGGATTTGTGGAATATGTTTTTTGCCATACACCAGCAGGTTGGCCCTCTCGATTTACATATCTGTAATTCTTCTTCCTATTTTGCATGCAATTATCCTTTTGTTACTCTTCCAAAAGTACTTACGGAAGCTATGTTTTGCACAACGAAAGTTGATCGGAGAAATGGCTTCTGAGTGCTCTTACTACTCTCTCAGGGGAAGGAACTTGATTCACTGGGTTAAAATAATTCCGCAAGGTTTCATGTGACAATGTCTTGGCAGTAAATTGAAATGGGAGATCAGTTACAAATAGCAATTGGTCAGTTGAGTTGTGTGCTTCTCTTCAGCCCAGAATTTAGCATTTCTTCAAGCCAAACAGATGGTGGAAATTGTTTTGGGGCATTTTGAATGCGTACATTATGTTATATAAAATTAAGATCAATAAGTTTTATATCACTTGTCCAAAAGATTGGCATTTACTCAATGGGGGAGGGGGATAGGGTTAAATTAGGAAAGAGCTTCTTTATTATCATCTCTAGTATGATATAGAAATTGGAAATGTCTCGGTAATTATGCAAGAGTTGACAGTGGGATAGGATTAAATTCGGAAAGAGTTTCTTTCTTATCATCTCTTGTACCTAAAATGATATAGAAATTGGAAATGTCTCGTAATTATGCGAAAGTTTAAATTTTTGTTTCTCTCATAGAAAGAATTTATAGAATCAAACTACTAACTTGGACAAAATAAGTCTTCTATTGTATAGTGTTTTGAAGAGTAACTCAAAACATGTTTGGTAATGTCTATTTGTTAAAAAAAAAAAAAATGGAAGCAAAAATATAAATACATGTTTGGTAAAAAAAAATGTTGTAGGATTGGTAAAAGTAGAGTACATATAAAACATCAAATTTGTTTCAACTTTTGATCATTATTCACGAAACGTTTTGCTACTGTGCAAAACAAAATAATTTTTCCCAAATACACTTTTTTTCATTGTTCAATACGCGACAAAAACAAAAACACCAAAAATAAACAGGTACCAAACACAGTGGGGCAATTGTTCGGAAAAGCAACCAAATAAAAATTGTTGAATCACAGTGTCATAATTGTGAGGGATAAAATATGAAACATATAATTTGCTGGCACAAATTTTTTTTTCCCATAACATTTTTTTTTTTTTCTTTTTCACAATTTTCTTGCTTCAAATGGTTGATGTAGTTTTAGAATAACTTGGAGAATTAATGTTCCATATTTATTTTTTGCATCCCATGTTCTCGAACCAAGAAAAGCATCTTTTTGATATTGAAATAAAAAAATATAAATCAATCACCAAGGTATAATATAGCCCACACATATAAAAAAGATAATATATATATATATATAAAATAAACCATGATATGACCCGTAAGCCCCACTTATAATTGCTTCCATAGGCCCAGAGGCACATATAAATACCAAGCTGGCCCATAACAGGCCCAGTAGGATAAAATAGGAATTTAAACCTAGGTAACATTAAGAGTTTCTTCCAATGGCGGCTTCTTTGTCCGTTCCCCAAGTAATATATGTGTATATATATATATGATAGCCACATGGAAACACAACTTACCATAATAAAAAATAAAAAATAAAGCTTCGATTCGTCCCTCCGCAAACCCATAAGAAGAAACTTCCATTCGGTTTCGATTCGGCCTGACCTGCAAGTTTCGTCTTCATCATCACCAAGGGCAACCCACAACCTCCCATCACCAGAATCCTCTTTGGTCGCCATCATCCGAAGCCGCAGTTCACAGCCATCGCCGGAATCGCGAGTTCACTCGTCGCTGTCCCTGTTTCCGCCGGAATCCTCTCTTGTCCGAGGATCAGACCTTGCTCGCCGTCCGCCGTTCCAAGCCCTCCACCGACCGGACCCGTCCTTGTCACCGGTTATCTCTCTTGACTCTCACAATCGGCCCTAATATCATTTTCCCCCACCCTAACCTCCTTACTTCTCATCTTCATCTCTCTCTCATTAATATTTTTCTGCCCGAAACATGATAATCCGAACCCATTCATGGAGGCTGAAGAAACGCATTTATCATGTGGAAGATAAAACAATGGATGCTTTTGTCATGATAGCTAAAGTTCACAGAGTTACATATGACAATGCCTTTGACGTAGAAGAGAATGACATCGATATTAAACAATCAGACCCAATTTCGACGGAATCTTTGTTGGATGAAACATTGTTCTCTCAAATCCTGGATCAATTCCTCTCTACAGTTCGAATCAAGACGAGTGAAGTCTTTGGAGACCATAATCGCATTCTATCTATTTGTCGTGCAATGACGAGTATTGACACAATAATTCGCAGTACTACTGCGGTGCCTGTTTTTATCATGGACATCTCGATTGTGATAAAGCCGGATGTGATGCCAATGAGGGCTCTAAGGAATCCGGATGAGACACCAATGAGGAGGGCTCTAAGGGATTCAATGGTAGAGGATGTAGTGCGGACTGTACCGGCAAAAAAATCATCGGTGGCGGCCTTACAGACGGAGATGCTACTTGACGGTTGTTCCTCCATGGATCAATGTGTCATCTGCTTCGAGGAGTTTCGTATTGGATTTGATATGGTTACTCATTTGCCGTGCAATCATATCTACCATAGAGACTGCATTTTTCGTTGGCTAGAGACCAGTTACTTTTGTCCGGTTTGTCACTATGAGTTTCCAACCAATTGATTCGAATCATCCATATCATTTTCTTTGTAATGTAATTGTTCATGACAAATTGTAATTTGTGATAGTTTTCATTTTTTCTTACCTATAAGAGGGAATAAAAATGCTTACTTTTCTAATCTGTCTTTGTCTTGTAATTATATGACGATAATTTAGCTCTCTTAGTAAATAGTATGTAATGAATGTTGCTTCCCTGTGCAAAAATTTTAGTTAGAGTTGAGTTTTTGCGAAGAATTGAAACCGTATACATTTTGCTGTGAGAACACCAATGGCTTAAAGCCAGTTTGGAAACAAAACATAAAAGTTAGTCGTGTGCAAAAAGGAAAAGGCAATCTTCTGGATTCATTAACTCCAGTTCACTCAAAAAACACACACACACAATTTCACTTCCATTTATCTAGTCTAGGTGATACAAACTCCCTTTTTCCACATTCAAGTGGCAGTCTTTTGAACAAAGCTAGCATTGGGGAAGGCAGCCTTCCCATATAAATACATGAATAAACGCCAGAATCCAGAAACCATATAAAGCTGATAGTGTAAATACAGATTCATTGCGTCTCAGATGCACAGATAAAGCAGACTTAATGTACAGCATCAGGCTGTCTTTCGGGCAAAGAAGCTTGGAATTCTGGTAAAGCCTTGCATGACTCGTATATAGCACTTAAAGTGGGGAAGTTGGACTGCAAAAACAGTCACATAATTATTTATCTTATGAAAGTTGAGGGGTTAACTGGTAAATAGAGTAGTTATCCCGAAAGCCATATATTGGAAGAATAATGAGATCATTCTATCACATTGTATTGCAATTCTGGAAAGCAACCATGGACAAAACGCAATCCTATGTAGTTGGATGTTTACTTAATGTCAATTGTTCTTTGTCTTTCAATACTGCATTACAAGATTTTTGTTTCACTAGCAATCTATCTATTTTAAATATTCAAGAATTAGGGGTGCCAGTGAGTCATGTCAAGTTGGATTTGTGTAGGGTTGAAATTAGCATGCTAGGCAAGATAACATGATCAACCCGAACCTCTTTGACTAAAAGTATACAATTTTGAACTGCATCTTACAATCCTATGCTGTGATGATCTAGAAATGTTAAATCAAGTTAGGCAACATTAAAAATTTCTGTAGGGCAAAACCCTTGTGGTCTCCCTATAGGATTGCTAGAAATGTGGGATTGCAAGTTGGCTCCCATCTTCACTGATCCTACTCTTTGGCCTTGAAATAATATTCTCGCCACCTCTTGGAAAAATTAGTGTATATTGCCAAATAATATTAAAAAATGAAGACTTGCTTATCAAAAAGTATTATAAAATGAAAACCAAGATCCACTGAAATGGTGGAATTGAGATATTTGTACAAAATTTGACCTCATTTTGACTAGTTGACCGCTTAATTTAGGTCATACCTCTTTTTTTCCCTTTTGATTGGTTTATCTTGCTATATAAGTAACGTAAGAAAGGACAAACTTCTCTCCCTAAAACTCAACGAATTTATTTCATACCCATTAACCTCTTACCTTTATATTTACATATAGGTATATATTTTATCAAGATATGAGATGAAATTCAATTCCTTGTCCTCTCTCTAGTTCCAGAAACTCTTTCAATGTCCTGTTTACGCTATTATAATACTCTCTAAAGATATTCTACTTATTTTAAAGCTATTTTATTGTCTTCTATTCCTCCTCCTCTATTCTCAACCATCCACTGCAAATGTTAATTTGACCAACTCTTCGCACCAACTAATTAATATCCCATGGAATTCATGAATATATACAATAGACCCTTTCCACATGCATGGACAAATCCTTCTAAACGGATACTCTGAAATCCTAATTATAACTATTTTATGTCTGTCCATATTGTAGACCTTCGTTGTGGACTTGGCACAGCCTTTCATAATTCTTCCACAGCAGCTGTTTCTTAAATGATCTTACTTAGATTAATCTGGTACTAAGGAAATGAAGCACTTAAACTTAGGTGGGAAATTATATGCTTTTGTGTCTAGGCTTTATTTGGAAATGATAAAATGAATGAATGGAAGTCGGAAACAAAGATGCTTTCACCATATGCAGCAAGAAAACAAGAAACAAACAATTTACAGTGAAGCAATAGCTATTAAGCATTATATGGAATTGAGTATTGGTATCTGATATAGAAAAAACATAGTACAGTGCTGTGTGTGTTTGACTGAGGGGAAGGCGGCAATGGGAAGAGGGCATACCATGTCAACATTAAACCTCTTAGTGGCTACAGCGATTTGCGGGGCCAAAAACACATCAGCCTGCAAATGACAACCCCTAGTTAGTCTTGGCTCTTAGATATTTTCTGTTTAAACACCATAATTGTTTTTCTGTTTTCCTCTTCCTCATCAAGCATCGGCTAATATCAGAACAACTCGGAATTCCTAATCAGTGAAGCATCATATATATATGACAATTATTAATTAAATAACACCAAGAAGCACAACAGTGAAACAGTTCCAGAAACAAACCTCTATAATTGCAGTAGCACAATATATATATATATATATATATATATATATATAAATTGTTTGAGTCAATGTGAAAGAGAAAACAAAGTATTAGAGAGATACCATGTAAACTTTGTCACCAGTAGCATATCTGCCAGTGAAATCTTTCAGTAACTTTTCAAGAGCTGTACAAAAGATGTATAAATAGTCAGGAAAAAATGCTTTCTGTTTCAGTTTATTCAAGTCCAGTGCAATAAAACTTTCAGGTCGCATTCAGCTCATTATTATGATTTGAACTCAGTGAGGTATTACAACTACAGCTTGGAAGCAAAAGAACTTTTAATTAATTTTTTTTTAGATAACTAAAATTGTATAAAAAGCGCTCAAAAGGGGAGCGAATCCCAAGAGAAATACACAAGCCCAAAAAGAGCCTCTAAGCCTTCAAAGAGGCCAAAGAATCAACACTCTCCTCTAAAGATCTATAATATCTCCCTGAAACCCAACAAAAAAGAGTGGAAAGCATAGAGAATTTAAGCATAGAAATAGGCATCTCCTTTCCTTCGAAATATCTCCTATTCCTCTCGAGCCAAATACACCACCACACACACAGAGGCGTAGCCCTCCAAGCATCCTGAATAAGAGCCCCCACTGGACAACCTCTCCAAGCCACAATCAACCCTATGGAGGATCTAGGCATAACCCAATGAATCCCAAACAAACCAAGCAACAAATCCCAACAGTCCATTACAGCAGAATGTTCCGGATTGGAGGCCAGCAAAATAGAAATTTATTAATGCAGAGTGTATAGGAAGTATTCCATGTTGAACCTAAGAGATCTATCAACAACGTGACCCACATAACATCTGGTGATTTGATATAGTCATACCATTAGTTTTAGTTGCCAAATATCACTTCAATGACAAAGTAAAACTCACTTGCACAAAGATAATAAATAAACAATAAATATATTTTTCAAGGGTTGCTGCCAGCCTGCCAATAGCAACTAGTGCCTATTATTGAGTCTAGCAGCTTAGAAGGATGCGTCTTCACCTCAACAGAATGATGTGACTGAAGAAACAAGTACCTGTAATGGTATTATGCATATGATACCAATAAGGCTTCAACCCAACAAAGTAGGTTTCAGCGAAAATTATTTAGTATAACTTCGTTACCTACCCAAAAAAATGAACGGGGTGCCAATATAATAAAAATATGAAACTTATCAATAAAATATATACATATATATAACAAAAGTATGAAGGTCTTTACTACATGAATGAAGTTATCTCAAGAGATGGTCAAGGTCATTCAGAATCTTGTCATCAACAAAGTAGATATCATCCAGAGGAAATATAATTGGAGAAAATTAAAACAATTTATCTATCCCATACCAAACATCAAGTCATCAACATATATATATATAAACAAGGGCCAAGACAAGGGCACATTATTTTGAAACTCAATGTTTAATATTGTGTGGTTAATATGAATCTACAACAACTAAATTCTAACAAAAAACCTTCAGGAAAACAAAGGTATCTAAGCAGAAAACTTAACCACCGTGATAAGGCGATGAGACAGAATAGTAAATGAATAAAAAGATAGAAAGAGAACACCTTAGAAATACAAAGATATTTACTTACCATTGAAACCTTTCACTATGCTGTATTGAGCCCATGATAGTCGCTCTTCAGGACCAACTTTTTCCTCAATATACTTCTATATGAAGAGGATATATTCAAAATTTAAGTGCAAGTAACCAACTCAATCCGTAATATATATGTGACTCTAAATCATAAGCAATCTAGACATACCAGCACTGCCAACATATGAAGGGGCTGTATACTGGAACTGACAATACTTGCAGCCTGTGACATAACATACTTCTTAGCTCTTAGCATAGTGGACACGCACTACAAAAAAATCTATTTGAAAATCATCATACATCACAAAAAGACATAGAAATTCAAAAATGAGTGTCTGATTCAACGTATCCACTATTTTTTTTTTTTTTAAATTGACCCATAATGAAGGAATCCCTCTTGTAGCCTACACGCTTCAATATTTAATAGTTTTATTTATTGGCTCCTTTGCAATGGATTCCACAGTCAAAGTCATTGACTGTCATGAGTGCATTTAATCCAGTAATTCTAACTACAAACAACTTTAATTAGCCTTCGTTTCTGAATGTGACACATGGCCCTTTATTTTCTGATTAATTATTTAATGAAAAAGGAGCCTACTAAGTACTAACGTAACACACGCACATTCAAAAGAGGAATCCATGACATTAATCTCAGTGTACATTTTTTAATCCCACATACAACTGCACAATGCCAAAAGAAAAATCTCAGTGTAAATAATGCAGCGAGTCTTTATAGGAATACACTTCAGCATGAAGAATAAACAATGATTTCAGATCTACCTGGAGATTGATAGCTCTTAGACGAGGATCAACGGGCAATAGTGCATTTTGAGGATACTTCTCTTCCAAATACTAACCAGAAAACGAGAACAATAATTTGCGTTCGCTTAGAAATGTAAATAAATATTTGATAGAAAAGGAAATCGTAATAAAACCACACACTGGAAGTCAATCAATAGTACCAACCAGCAAGATTGCATGTGAGTCCGAAACAACCAAATCACTGTCAACTAAGACCGGAACGAAATGAAGTGGATTTAATTTCTCAAATTCTGCAAACTCAGGCACATCATTCATTAATTTTATCAATTAAATATACAATTATGTAATTAATCACCGACTTATTTTTGCATAAATAACATTTTTGAAAGAACAGTGACAGTACGAACCAAGATCTTATACTGAAATTGTGACTAATGTATTCACCTGGAGTAAACTGCTCTCCTTTTGCAAGATGGACTGATTTGTATTCATAATAGAGTCCTAAGCATCCAATTTAAGTAAGTCAAACACACTAATATGTGCAGCACACAAGCTTAAATTACAGAGATTTACATCGATTCGGCCTTAATTGGAGCTCAAAATTCAAAAATTAGGCTAAACATAGTACAATTTTAACCTTTGAGTTGTAATGCGAAGCGTACACGCCACGCACACGAGCTTTGCCAGTGTGAGTACAGAACGAGCTTCGAAGCCGAAGAAGACAATGTTGATGATGAGGAATCGCCAGGATTTCCCTGCAACGCAAATTGATCAGAGAACTACACAAATCGAATCGTGCATTTGGATATTGGATGTTCGGAACCCTAATTTTGTGTGTTCGCGCGTGTGAGAGAGAATACCAGTGTTTCCGAGGCCATGGTAGAGAGAATTGAGTAAAGTTGAAGAGCGATAATTTAAACCAATCTTCACACAGTTAAAACATAAAACGCCATCGTTTTGTCCTGTAAGTGGACAAACTGTCAAATTCGGTTGGTCCACGAGTTCGGATGCAAAGTTGGACTACATCGAGAATGGGTATAGACTTTTGTGTCTTTATTAAAGTTCTAAATTCTTAATATAGTTTATAAAATTTCAATAAATAAAAAGATTTGAGATGGTTTAAAAATAAACAAACGGATGAAGTTATTAAAATGGATAGAATGAAATTAATTTATCAAAGATTTAGTTGTTTATTTCTTACTATAATAATTTCATTAAATATTATAATAGATAGAATGAACAATAAAATGTGGATTATTATCCATTAAATATAAAAAAATTTGCGAATGCAAGGATATTTGCGTGTAATTGAAAATTGGCTAAAGTGTACTACACAGCTGAGATTCTAGTTTTAGATCATTATATTCCACTTATTAATTCGGCATTCTTCATTTTAAATTTTTTTGTGCGGATAAGTGACATTTTTTATTTATTAATTAAACTCAATGACCTCTAGTGAAGTCACATTTATTTATTCTTTTACCACGTTTTGTTTTTTTATTGCTATATAATTCAATTTTAAAGTCACTTGGTTAGTGGTTGGAAAACATACATTCTATCAAAATTTTCAATAAAAATATGAAAAAAAAGAGTAAATTACACCGACATTTCCTGATGTTAGGTCATATTTTAGTTAGATAAATATTTTGGTTTTAACTTTCACTTACACCCCAATTTACTTTTTGGCATTGACACATGCAATTTGACCATTTTACCCTCAAATTTTTTAATACAAAATATATATAATCTTAAATGAAAAAAAAGGCCCCTCAGTGTATATACATATATACGTACTGTTTGTAAATGTCAAAATCTTCATTACCAGCCACAGCTGGCCGCAGTGCTTGAACCATCAAATCCCCGTCTTCGATTTTCATTTTCATTTTCAGCCCCATCATTTCAACTTCACACATCAAAAAACACACAAACCACAAACTCATTTTCATACCAAACCCATTTCATACCCGTCTCTGCAACTTCACACACCAGAAAGCAAAAAAAAGAAAACATTTTGTATGTATATACGACAGTGGTGTTCCTCGTCAACCACCTCATACCCCTTGCCGAAATCCAGTCTTTAATTAAAAAATTGAGAACCATCATAATCTTGACATACCCCTCATCTCCTCGGTGGTGGTAATTGACAAGGAAATAACGGTAATAGCGTTTAAGACAATGGTGGTTGTGATGGAGGTGGCGATTAGTGATGAGTTGGGATTGGACTTGTGTGTGTGATTTTGGAGCTGATTTGCGACGGCAATAATGAATTCACAAATTGGCGCCCGCGCTATGCCTCGCATCGGTGATTGACGACTCGTCAGTACTGTTGCCGCAGACGCCTTGACGAAGCAGGTTACCTCAAGATCTCCGACTTCGGCCTTCTCCACCCTATCGGATTAGCTCGACTGCCCCCCTGCTCCTCTGCCAGAACCATTCGACGGAGCTTGGTTCGTCACCGGCAACGGAGCCCTTTGCTTCATCGGCTTTTTTACTGCCCTCCATGTTTTTAGCAAGCTCTACTGCTACCGATCTGGTGCCGCACGAGGTTGTTGACAATGGATATTCAAGGCCAAACCCCTATCATCGATCTGGCCGACGCTTGTTTGGCTCCCCCGTGTGGCTGTTTGTATGCGTGTATATATCTATATACATATATGCGTGTGTGTATATGTTTGGTTGTTTTATATATCTATATTGATATATATGTGTGTAATTTTAAGGAGTTTGTTTTGGGTGGTGGTGGTGGTCCGATAGTTCTGTTTAAGGTTGAATTAGGGATGATAATAGTTCGAGGAGAAAGAAGAGGAAGGTGTATGTTAGGGTAGTTTGGTTACAAAAATAGTTAACAAGAGATCAAATGGTAGTATAATTATTTAATATCTCAAAAGTATTATGAGTCACAAAAAAAAATTGACATAGTTGACATTTGAAATATAAGTGAAATATTAACTATTAATTTAAATATAAGTGAAATTAAAAATTAAAATGTTAATTTATGTGTAAAATGATGACTGTAATTCACCCAAAAAAAAAAAGAAAAAAGAAAATTGAAACAAATGATACTTTTTACTGTCGCTTCTCCCGCGCTTACCTAATTGGCGCGCAAGGTCCCACAATCCAACATGTTCACTCCTCACGCAGGTGGTCCCCACTCACCACCTCCGAATAGTCGTCGTTTAAACGAGTGCATACACAGTTATACACACACATGGTTTAAGAGAGAAACCCTCGTATGCCGTTCGTTAGGGCTTCGTCTAAACCTCGAACGATTCAGCTTGAAGGATGGCTTTTTGGGGTTAGCGCTCTCTCTAAATACCTATATTTGTATGTAATTTATACATTATATCATATTTTTGTATGTGTAAATTTGTATATTTACGTTTGAGTTATACAGATTATCAGAACTTTGTTTGCTTGCTAAGAAAAAGAACGAGAACGGAAAACAGAAGGAGATTTTTATCATATCGCAATTTCTATCATTGTAGACATGAAATTAAAAATATGTAAAACACTGAATCGTGTCTAAGTCAGCTAATTGTATTGTCCGAATTGAGTTTTATGTTTCCTGAAAATGTTTCGTCAGCAACCAATAACAGGATGCTTTTTTTTTTTTTTTTCCTAGTACTCACACACCCTTGTCTCTTTGGAGACTTGAATCCTGACCTCCCAAAGGCTGATACCGTTAGGCCACTGGCCAGTTGGTGTATGTTTTATTTCTTTTGTTATTTTTATAATCGCTTATTTGCAGATAATCAATGTGCGCGTGTTCTTTTGACTCCGTATGTATTGGTGTTCATCTATTAAGAGTGCTAAGATTCATTTAATATAATTTGTCCATTCAGGAATTGAAGTTAAACCCGGTAAACCGTTCAGTCATTTGTTTGATATAGCGAGAGGAAAACTCCACATTTCCCAGGTGTTTACTTACTGAGAAACTTTGTATTTGCTATATAGTTTCTTTATTGGTTTATTGCTTAATATTATTTATTTATTTATTTATTGCTTGTATTTGAGGTTCTTTGAGTGATTTATTACACCCTTTATGTGTTATATTTCAAATTTGCGGAAATTTTGAGATTTTATGAACTGTGATATTATTGTGTAGTTAATCTGATATATTGTTATTTCTTAGGCGACATTGGGAATCGGTTCCTCGACAAAGAAGAGTTTAGTTCAGTGTAATGTAGGAGATAAGAGCCCTGTTTTTCTATGCGCTTTGTTGCCCAATAAGACTGAGTCTTGCCATTTGGATTTGGAATTTGAGGAGGCTGATGAAGTTCTTTTCTCAGTTATTGGTCCTCGAAGTGTTCACCTCACTGGTTACTATGTGGGAAATAGCCGGCATTCAAATTTAAATGATGATACGTATCTTTTGTTCATTTATAAGATTATTGTCTTTCATCTGACTTTTTATATATTTGATTACTTTCTTGCAATGCTATGCATAACCAACAAAGTGCTACACATCATCAATGAACTGTCATGAATCTTGGGTTCTTATTATGACTCCCACGACCACCATCTTACCTTTTTTCTTAGACCACTATTTTCACTATTTTCACATTTTAAGAGAGTTTTTCCTACCATGTTATGCAGTTGGTTGGGTTAGTAGAGCAAAATACCACCTATAGTTCTTTATTAAATCTTTTTATTTTTGAAGGGTATTTTTGGGAGCTACTAAAATATGTCCCGCACAGTTAAGAAAAGAAAGAGGTTCTTGCAAATGCGAGAGAGTGGGATATAGTGTGGCACCCCATTGTGGTGCTGGGTCTAGGGAGTTGATTTCTTCCAAAGAGACTTTCTTCCTTTCTTGATGTAATAACTCATGCAGAAATTTCAAGGCTCGTGGATGGTTGGACTTGCTATTACAAGTTGGTCCAGCATACATATTACATACTATCATGTATTTGATAGCAGGTTGCAATGAAGTCAAGAACTGCAGTTTACAACGGTTTGGAATTCTTAAGCAAATTAGAGAGATGTTTGTGGTATTCACCAGCTTATTTCAAGGATAGTTAATCCACAAAATTTGTACTTTTCAAGTTTGTATTGAACTACTTCCTTACTAGTTTGCCCCATGGATGTAGTTCTTTGTCGAATAATGTAACCTTTGTTCTTGCTTGTGACATGTTTTGTTTATTTTTCTTCACTTCTTTGATTTCACACTTGCACATGATCTTGGAGGTAAGGTTGCTCCATTTTTGACGTGGAGATCAAGGGTTTGAAACAAGGTAACAACCTCTCTGCATGCGGAGATAAGGCTGTTTATTCCTAACCCTTCCCCAAACCCTGCAATGGCTGGGGCCTCATGCACTTTTGCCCGTAAATTTTTACATGATCTTTAGGGTATTGTGCGTATACATTCCTAACAACCGGTATCATATTTCCATATGTTGAAAAGGAAAGATTCGGTAGCAATACTACCAAATATTATTAGCTGTAAATATAATATTTAGGGGATATTTGTTGTAAATAGAATATTGGTCAAATGCTGTAAATTAGGAAATTATTAATTAGGCCAGCTAGTTATTGTAATCAGTTTTCTGATTTTGTGCGTGTATTATCTCCTATAAAAAGAACTCGTGTAAACTTGTGAATTGGGAGCTAAAATAGAGAAAAGGTTTATTCCATATTTCTTTTCTTTTAAATTTATATGGTATTAGAGCCACCCTAAGAAAAAAAAAAAAAAAAAAAAAAAAAAAAAAAAAAAAAAAAAACCCTAATTTTCTTTTCTGCATAATTTCTTTGCTGATCAGCCATGTCTGACGTTTCCTCCATCGCCTGTCACAACCCAGCCAACCAATCCTGTAACCCAAGCCCCCTATACCGATTCTCACTCGGTTCAGATCACCAATATTCGCCTTAATAGTGACAATTATTTACAGTGGTCCCAGTCCGTTCGAATGTAAAACAGAGGGTGGGGAAAGATCGGATACCTGATGGGAGACAAGAAGGCACCAACATTGGAGGACCCAACGTACGTGACCTGGGATGCAGAAAATTCAATGGTGATGACTTGGCTTGTGAATTCCATGGATGATGATATTAGCTCCAACTATATGTGCAACTCCACGGCCAAGGAGCTCTAGGACAACGTGAATCAGATGTACTCTGATTTGGGAAATTAGTCTCAGATCTACGAATTGACTCTAAAACTTCGTGAGATTTGGCAGGGAGAAGACTCGGTCACCAAGTATTTCAATTCATTGAAGCGTCTTTGGCAGAACATGGATCTGTTCAATGATTATGAATGGAAATCCACTGAAGATGCCAATCACTACAAACAGACCGTGGAGGCTCATCGCATTTACAAATTCCTTGCTGGGCTCAACGTGGAATTTGATGAAGTATGGGGACGGATCATTGGCAGGACTCCACTTCCTCTAATTGGCGAGGTGTTTGTTGAGGTTCGAAGAGAAGAGAGCCGCAAATATGTAATGTTGGGGAAGAAAACTACCAACGGACCTGTTGAGAGTTCTGCCCTTATTGTTGCCGAGACTGCTGCTAATAAAGCAGTTAATTTTCAGCGAAAACCTGAAGAGAAGCCACGGGTCTGGTGCGACTTCTGCAACAAACCGCGCCATACTTGGGAGAACTGCTGGTAAGGCTGCAAATGAACCGAGCAGTTCGTGAACAGCTCTGGCTCGGCTCGTTAAAAGCTCGGTTCGGGCTCGTTCATGAAGTAAACGAGCCGAGCTTGAGCGCATTTTTTAGGCTTGTTTAGTAAACGAACCGAGCTTGAGCAACGCTAAGCTCGGCTCGTTAGGCTCGTGAACAGGCTCGTTTCGTAAAATTATTAATTTTTATTTTATTTTATACTTATATACAATTGTGTGGCCCATTTAATATAAAGTTCGCCAATCTAAATACATATAAAGCCCAATTTCATTTAACTTTAAGCCCAATTTTATATCACCTTAAGCCTAACTCTACTTAACCTAACCCTATCATCATCATTATATATATATATATATATATATATATATATATATATATATATATGTAAATATCTCTCTCTTTATATCACGTTGGATTTTCTGCCCTAATTCAGTACAGTAGCCGCAACAAAATTCGCAGCATCACACCTCTCTTCTTCCTCTCTAGCACCTGGCGACTGTCTCCAACAAATCTCTGCAATATCTGTTATGAAACCCTAAACAAATCTTGCAACATCCCATCCCTTTCAACATCGATACATCATGGCTTCCTCCCTCTTACAGTGAGGGTTTCCAATAGACCTCTCTCTCCAATCTTTCTTTGGATCCTGATGTGTGAATCCCGTTTTAGTGTTGGGGAGATCAGAAGCTAATGCTCTTCAATCCATTATCAAAACACTATCAAATCTGAAGCTTTCGTGTGTTTTTATTTATTTATTTATTTTTATTTTTTATTTTTTGGTTTGAAGGCGAGCTCGAGCCGGAGCTTGCCAAAATATTGGCGAGCCGAGCCTAGTTTGGCCAAGCTCGCCTGAGCCCGAGCACCCTCCTGAAACTGGCGAGCCGGGCCCGAGTAAGGTAAAGCTCAGCTCGGCTTGGCTTGGCTCATTTGCAGCCCTAACTGCTGGAAAATCCACGGAAAACCAGCAAATTGGAAAAGTAACAAGCCTGGTGACAAAAATTGGCGTGCGGTTCCTACTGCCAATGAAGCTGAGACAAGTCCCTTAAGCAAGGAGCAGATGGATCACCTTCTGAAGCTGCTGAAATTTAATTCCTCATCTGGTATTCCTAGTGTTTCTCTTGCACAAACAGGTAATGCACTTAATGCCCTTTCTTGTTGTTTAAATTATACTCCATGGATCATCGATTCTGGAGCCTCTGATCATATGACCAGCCTTTCCAAACTTTTTAGCACTTACTCACCACGTTCTGGCCTTGAAAAAATTAGAATTGCAGATGGTAGTTTCTCACCTATTGCAAGAAAAGGTTTGATAAAATTATTCGAGAATATAGATCTTAAATCTGTTCTCCATGTCCCTAAACTAGCCTGTAACCTTTTGTCTATTAGTAAACTAACCAAAGAATCTAATTGTCGTGTAATTCTTACTGTGAATTTCAGGACTAGAGCTCGGGGAAGAAGATTGGCAGTGCTAAGATAATAGATGGACTTTACTACTTTGATGGGGACTTCTCCAGTAATAAAAAGGCCCAGGGCCTTAGTAGTGTTAGTTCTAACTCTGTTTATGAACAAATAATGTTTTGGCATTTAAGACTAGGACATCCTAGCTTTTTATATCTTAAACATTTGTTTCTTACTTTATTTAAAGGTTTGGATTGTTCATCTTTCTATTGTGAAAGCTGTTGCTTATCTAAGAGTCATCGTACTACTTATTTGCCAAAACTTTATACTTCTTCAAAACCATTTTATTTAATACACAGTGATGTTTGGGGACCTTCAAGAGTCACTACTATCTCTAGGAAAAAATGGTTTGTTACTTTTATAGATGATCATACCTGTTTATGTTGGGTTTATTTGATGAATGAAAAGTCTGAGGTTGAAATTTTTTTTAAGAATTTTTACACAATGGTTGAAACTCAGTTTCAAGCAAAAATTAGCATTTTTTCACACTGATAATGGAACCGAGTATTTTGATGAAATTTTGGGGAGTTTTTTGAAAGAAAATGGTATCCATCATCAGTCTACTTGTGTGGATACCCCTCAACAAAACGGAATTGCTGAAAGAAAAAATAAACATTTATTTGAAGTGGCTCGTGCTATAATGTTTTCAATGAATGTTCCAAAATATCTTTGGGGAGAATGCCAACACGTATTTTAAAATATAGCATGCCATTAGAATGTTTCAAAAGAATTTTTCCATTATCAAGGATATACTCGGATTTACCTTTAAAGGTTTTTGGCTGCATAGCTTTTGTTCATATACCCAATAATACTCGGTCCAAACTTGGTCTTCGAGCTAAAAAATGTGTTTTCATAGGGTATGCTTCTAATCAAAAGGGATATAAGTGCTATAATCCCTAAACAAGAAAATTTTATGTGAGTATGGATGTCTCTTTCTTTGAAAATAAATCCTACTTTCACAAAAATTCTCTTCAAGGGGAGAATGGGGGGTGATGGAAGAATTTTTTTGGGATTTATTTCTTACTCCTTTACCAAATGTGATTTTGACTATTTCACCTCATCCTACTGTTATTCCCGAAATTCAAAGTCAGGAACAATGTGATAAAACCAATGAAAACAATGAAGGGAATCCTAGTCATATAGTGCCAAACATTACTGTATCTGAAACAGGGGAAGAATCACTACAACCGGGCACAAAAGTTCCCAATACTGAGCCTCTGGTTTATACTCGGAGAATACCTCATCAAAAGAGTCAAAGTCAGCCTATTCCTCTTGGAAATGATCAATCTCGACCTTCGGGAACTGGACCTTCAGATATCATAGGTAATTCTGTTCCTAACTCATCTTCAGTTCCTGTTGCTTCTCCTAACCAAGAACCATTAGACCTTGATATTCTTATAGCTGTTAGGAAAGGTATTCGAATCAAATATCCAAATCCAAAATATCCCATTGCCAAATACCTTTCTTATGAAAAACTCTCTCATACTCGTAGGGTTTTTACCTCAAAAATCTCACACTTGTTTGTCTCGAGAAACATTCAGGAAGCTCTTGATGATCCGAATTAGAAGTTAGCAGTGATAGAAGAGATGAATGCTCTTAGAAGAAGTGGTACTTGGGAGATAGTTGATTTACGTAAGGAGAAAAGAACAGTAGGCTGCAAGTGGGTCTTTACTGTGAAATGTAAAGCTGATGGTATCACAGAGAGGTACAAGGCAAGACTAGTAGCAAAAGGGTTCACCCAGACCTGTGGAATTGATTATTAGGAAATTTTTGCTCCTGTAGCCAAGATAAACTCAATCAGAATTTTGTTATCTTTGGCTGTGAATTTCAGTTGGCCATTACACCAGTTAGATGTAAAAAATGCCTTTTTAAATGGAGATCTTGAGGAGGAGGTCTTTATGAATCTATCACCTGGGTTTGAGGGAAAATTGGGACCTAATAAAGTCTGTAGACTGAAAAAATCTTTATATGGTCTCAAACAGTCCCCTAGAGCTTGGTTTGAGAGATTTGGGAGAGCTGTGAAGAATTGTGGCTACTGTCAGAGCCAAGCTGACCATACCATGTTTTACAAACACAGTAAAGAAGGCAAGGTTGCAGTCTTAATTGTCTATATGGATAATATAGTCTTGACTGGTAATGAGAATGAAGAATTGGAGAGACTGAAAAAGAGACTTGCAGCTGACTTTGAGATCAAGGATTTGGGTGCATTAAAATACTTTCTTGGAATAGAGTTTGCTAGATCCAAAGAAGGTATATTTGTGAATCAACGTAAATATGTTCTTGATTTACTTAGTGAGACAGGTCTGCTAGGATGTAAACCAGCCGAGACACCCATTGAGCCCAACCTTAAGCTGCAGCCTTCTAAAGATGAAGATGTTCTGAATAGAAAGCAGTATCAAAGACTTGTTGGAATACTGATCTACTTGTCACATACACGTCCATGTATAGCTTTTGCAGTTAGCCAATTTATGCATTCACCTGGACGAGAACACTTTGATGCAGTCTACAGAATTCTCAGATACCTATAGGGGACCCTTGGAAGAGGTCTACTGTTAAAAAACCGTGGGCATTTGCAAGTTGAAGCCTATACTGATGCGGATTAGGCTGGGAGTGCTATTGATAGACGATCAACTTCTAGCTACTGCACCTTTGTTGGAGGTAACCTTGTCACTTGGCGGAGTAAAAAACAGAATGTGTTAGCAAGAAGCAGCGCAGAGGCTGAGTTTAGATCAGTTGCTCATGGAATTTGTGAGGTGTTATGGATTAAGAGACTATTGGAAGAATTAAATGTCTCTAATTCGTTGCCTATGAAATAGTACTGTGACAATAAAGCTGCTATTTCAATCGCTCACAACCCAGTGCTTCATGACAGAACAAAGCATTTGGAGGTAGACAAACACTTCATCAAGGAAAAGCTCGAAAACAGATTGATTTGTATGCCGTACATTCCTACTACCGAGCAAGTTGTAGATGTGCTTATAAAGAGACTTCCTACAAGACAGTTCGACAGACTAATTGGCAAGCTGGCTGTAGAGGATGTCTTCAAACCAGCTTGAGGGGGAGTGTTGAAAAAGAAAGATTCGATAGCAATACTACCAAATATTATTAGCTGTAAATATAATATTTGGAGGATATTTGCTGTAAATAGAATATTGGTCAAATGCTGTAAATTAGGAAATTATTAATTAGACCAGCTAGTTATTGTAATAAGTTTTCTGATTTTGTGCGTGTATTCTCTCCTATAAAGAGAATCCGTGTAAACTTATGAATTGTGAGCTAAAATAGAGAAAAGGTTTATTTCATATTTCTTTCCTTTCAAATTTATACCATAGTTGGTGTGCAAGATGTTTGATGGATTTCTTGTGGTGCTTCCAGGTTAAGTATTTCGGTGGCATAGGATGTATCTAGTTTCAGGTAGAGAATCTTGAAACAACATTATAATTCAACAGATGTATCGGAGTTGCTTTAGTAGTCATGGTTGGAGTCAAGCATAGAACTTGTGTTGCTACCGTGATTGTAGTAGTGCATTATGTCTACAAGCGGATATTGGATTAGTTTAGTTTGATGAGTTTTCAGATTAGAAAGTGAATCATGGGTTTTCCCACTGAGTATTCTCATGGTGTATTGATGTGGGGGATAATCACCTAGGTGGAGGTGATGGGTTGGCATTGTATGGGTGGTTTTACCATCAAGTTGAAGATTTGTCAAGTTGGTCATTAGAGATAGTAATAATCACGAGTTCAATCCATGGTTCTTTCTTAGTATGTTATTGGTGAATTTTCATCGTTGAGTACCAATATACGGTGGGAGTTGGACTCTCCCTTAAGACATTCTTTTTCTCCCTTGGTGTAGCAGTGTTTTTATATAACCAATATGTGTGTGTGTGTGTGTGCATCAAGGCTCAATGATCATGGGCCTCGCCATTAGGGATGTCAATTTAATTCGCCTTGGGTTTGGGTGCATTCTAATTAGGTTAGTTATGGGAAAAGAGTGAAAACCACCTCTATTATTAACTAAAGCCTTTTTTTTCATGCCAATTTACAATTTTAACTACGAAGTTAAGATTATTATTATTATTTTATATGTAAGAATATTTATGATTATGTTTGTAAAGTATTTTTTTCCTAGTTGTTTGTAAAATATTTGTTTATAGGTAGATTCTTCTAAAACTTTACCATCAATTTATTCAAAGATCGGACTTTTTTATTTAAATAGTATGCATAGTGGGGTGACCCAATCTAGGACCGAGGGCCTATGAGGGGTGGAGCTGGTTTGGGATAGGGTGGCCTGCTTGAACCTGCCCTGTTACATCCCTAGTTGCCATGACATGTGAGAGACTAATGGATTGCAGTGCAGCAATGGCTTTGAGTTTTTTTTATTGAGTTGTAAGATACAGGTTGTAATAGATTTAACCAGATTATCTTATGGAATATGGATGGTCAAAATGGTGAATATTACAATACCAGCATTGTCTTGTTTTTTTCCTCTCGCCGAACCAGTTAAACCCCTGCGTTCTTGATTGCGCTTCTGATTTTCAAACACTTTCTTTGATTACACAATTGCACAGGGTCTTGGGTGTTTTTTACATATTTATCCCTAACAATGTTGGTGACTTGTGACAATTCTATTATGAGGAATATCTTTATCCTTCTGCTTACACTTGTATCAGAAAAATGAGCTAGATCATTGTCCATTTATTCAAGTGTTCTCTTTGTTTTGGTTGCTATGTATCTACTTTTCCTTTACCATGATTGCAAAGAGATTCCTATGGGGAGGATATTGCAAACACTGAGACAGAGGAATCTAATCATCGCAGTGATGAAGACGAATACGACGATAGTTTTATTGATGATAGTGATGCAAAAGTTATCCCACATTCGCCCGTTTCAAGTGATGGAGGTCTGTTCTGCACCTGATACACATCCTTTATCCTATTAAATCCACAATTGTGATTATTAATTAACTCTGTCTTATTAACTTTATAGCCTTCTATTGAAAGAATGTGGAGGAAATTCTATATGTTTTACACATCACATCGTCTAATTACTTGATTTTTGTTTTGTTTGCTATTATAATCCACTTATACTTTGTGCTACTTCAAATATGGTAAGAAGACTTATCAAAAAAATATATATGGTAAGAAGTCCAGTGCCTTTGTTTGGACTTGGGTGACACCCATTGCAAAGCTTGTTCCTGTCTATTGAATCAGAATCTAGATGTTAACAGATTTTACAACTCTATTAGCGAATCATAGTTAGATGATCTGCATAAAATTCAACTCTGCATGATCTTAATGGAAGGTTTTCCTTTCCAATAATTTAGACATGCCTCAACCCGAATGAGATAAGTTTTTTGTTTTTTCTGTTGCATAAATTGATTTTGCGTGGTCCATGTTCATTAGAATAGTGCATTTATTAAGCAATTTCTATTTTGAGGGCTTCTTTTTTTTTTTTTTATCTTTTTTTTTTTTAACTGTCTGAGATACATTGCTTCTGATTCCAGTGGTTGATGAGGAGATGCTGGATAACAAGAAGCCAAAGGACAGGAAAGGCAGCCGTAAACGACTTAAGAAGAAATGCCAGTCTGTTGAGTCAGATGATGACAGTAGTTTTTTACAGAAAAAAATTGGCAATGGTAGTAGGAATGTTCCAGGACCAGAAAGTGAAGGGGAAGACAATTGCCCCATTCCATCTCTATACAAGTGTAAATCAAATGAGACAAATGTGGTATTGAGAGCAGAAGAAAATGCTGACAGGGTAATAGGTGAGACGGGCTACAAGACAGAAAACAATGGCACATGTGCAAAGACTGAAGATGATGGCACTCCTGTCATTGAATCAAAAGGAAAACCTAATGTAGTTATAGATGGTGAGCCAGAAAGGTGAGTGCTTTATAACTGATCAGTCACGACATATTCTCTGCATGAATTGGCTAGTTCCTAATCCCAGTAGTTCCTTTTGGCTCTTCTTGTTTGAAGTTTATGGAGACTGACCATCTCTGAACAAAGAAGTTGATAATCCATAAATTATTAAACTTAAAGAAACAAGCCTTGAAATCACTAGCATATACTCGTATTGGGGAATTGTAGTGATGCATGCGTGGACATCTTTTTGCATAACTGTGTCACTTGGAGAATTTTGCTGATCATTCTTTTCATTGCTTCTGTTCATATCATTTGGTGTATCAAGCAGGGAAAGGGACCCGCAATATAGTTCTATGCAGCCATGTGATGAAGTGAGCTCTGAGAATGACTCAGAGCCAAAGAAGAAAAAACAAGTACACAGTGAGGGAAAAACTCCTGAAATTGGTAGTATTAATGTTAGCAATGCGTTCAATGAGGATAAAATGCAGCACGAAGAGGCAAACACTGAGAGTATCAGCCAGTATCTGCTTGTTAGAAATGAACAAGATGAGAAGCTAGCCACTGATAAGTGAGTATTATAGTCTCTATTTGGATGTTGAATCTAAAATATTGCATGCAAGAGTGCATATACACACATTGTATCTCATTGGTAATTCTGTTATTTGATCATTGTTTTTCTTCGTCTTATATGACATACCGAGCAGAGGATCAAACCTGACATATAATTCCTTGTCCAATTCTACTGAATTGGGCACTGGAATCTGTACAAAGCCTAAGAAGAAAAGGAAAGAACGATCTGAGGGAAAAACTCTGGAGTCCAATAGTTCTAGACATTGCAGTGCCCTTGAAGAGTATAAAACCCATCAAGATGAAGCAAAGGGTAATACCACGGACCATGAGCTTGTGAGAAATAAGAACAAACCGAAGCCAGCCACTAATAAGTGAGTATTATCAGTTCCTGTAAAGCTGTGACATCTAATTGATTCAGCATGATGCGTGCATAAGTACAGACATGGAAACATTGGATATTTTTGATGATTCTGTTTGTGTCCACTTGATACGACATGCTCAAGCAGGGGAACTGACTCGTCATATAATTCCTTGCTGTCTTCTGCTGAAGTGGGCTCTGAAAATGGCACAAAGTGGAAGAAGAGAAGGAAAGATCGGGCCGAGGGGAAATCTCTTGAGGTTAGCAGTGCAAACCATAGTAATATTCTCTATGAAGGCCAAGTAAAGCAGGATGACGCAGAGATTGGTAAGAGGGGCATGGCTCCGCCAGATAGAATTGAACAAGATCAGAAGCCATCCAATGATAAGTGAGATTTTTCTCCTCTCTCCCCTTAAGTTCCGATTAGATCCTCGTTTTTGTTGTGACATCATCAACCACCCACCCTGTCCTTCCTTGCAGAGTGAGGAAATGTATATCTGAAGCGTTAGTTTTACAACCATTCTACTTGAAACCAGATAGAGCGTTTTTACCCTCCCAATGTCCATTTTTATCTCTTCACTTGAAACATATGCAATAGCTCTGACTATTGCAGCCCACTTGTCAATCTTTGTCCATCTGCGGTTCCTATAGTGGGTGCCTGTCTGTACATTCATACATTCTTGTCCTCATCTGCTGAAACAGTCATTTTCTCTGCTACCTTTCATATCGTATATTTAAGATATATTATTTTTTCTCTGATTGTTATAGAAAAATTTAACTCTACATTATGTGCAGGACTATCAAAATTGACTCAGAGCAGTTAGCTGGTGGATACCAGTCTGTGGAGAAGAAAATTAAGAAGAAAAGGAAGAGTAAAACGCTGGAGGAAAATGTGAATGTGGATGTACCTATGTTGTCAACAGGAGAAAAGAACAAGTCCAGCTTGGAATCCGGGGATAAGAATTCAGATGCCAAGTTATCTCAAACAAGAACCTTGTCTAATGGATTAATTATTGAAGAGCTAGAAATGGGTAAACCTGATGGCAAAATGGCTGCTCCAGGGAAAAAGGCAAGTTTGTTTGTTAACCGACTTAATGATCATACTGTTTTGAATGATTATTGGTGTATATAGTCATCCAAGTCAAGATCATGAACCGGAAGATTAACTTGGACCATATTGTAGAGAGGAGCACCCACACGTACATATATGTTAATTTAATACACACTTATTTGTTTCAGGTCAAAGTCAATTACCTTGGTAAGCTAAGGGAGAACGGAAAAGTTATTGACTCGAATATTGGCAAACCGCCCTATAAGTTTCGCCTAGGTATTAACATGACAAAATAAGATATATATATATATATATATATATATAGCCAGGATATTTTACCAAGTCCTTCCATGTTGTTCATGCAGGTACTGAAAAAGTTATAGACGGATGGAATGTTGGTCTTGATGGTAGTTACCTGAATGACTCAAATCAATTCTCTCAAGTTCCATTTTATACTTATTTCTGTTTATTTATATTTCACAAGGTTAGCTGTAATTATAACCTTAACCTTATTTGTGCATAATTCTCAGGTATGCGAGTTGGTGAGAAAAGAAGGCTCTTTATCCCACCATCAATGGGGTATATTATTGAATATCTTGCTAAGAAATATCTTCTGAGGTTTATGTTTTCTTTCTTGGTTTTTAATCTCCCTTGGATGACACTTTCTATTGTTCGTGATTTGCAGATATGGAAGTGAAGGAGCTGGTGAGAATATACCACCAAATTCTTGGCTGGTATATGAAGTTGAATTGGTTGATGTCCGCTGATTCAACTGATTCGTTGTTGTAGATTTAACCTGAAAAAGAGCTCATTTTTGTGCTAGATTGGTGGGGAGATCATTTTATGACAAAATGAGCTATATTGGTTTTTTGTTTTTTGTTTTTTTTCAAGCTACAATATGGCGAGGGGTAGTTGTATGGTAGAAATGAGCTATTAGTTGTATGATAGAAATGAGCTCTCTGTTTTGTGATTCAAAACTGCAACATGGTGATGGGTAATCTTAATTCTTATATGATAGGATGAGCCTCATTTGTGATTCAAAACTTCTTTGCTGTTATTATTATTTTAATTTCCTTGCTTTATTTTATAATAGTGGTAGCGACAGTATAGACAAGAGAATTTTTTTGATTTTTTTAAACCATTTAAAGATATATATTTTCTGTAAGGAGTTATTTCCACTGTTAAAGCAAATTTGCTAATCAGTTCCTTTTGGTCGAGGGGATCAATCACCGGTCAATTAGTGGTTGGGTGATCCTTATAATCTATCCTACCAAAATTTACAGTTTTATTTAATTTTTAGATAATAGTTTTTCGTCTTAGTGATTGAATAGAATGAAAGTTCTTTCCGTTTGATTAAATTGACTGAGTTTTGAAAGGCTTGTTTGGGAGAATAATAATTTATAAAAACGTTTAAGGTCTGCTTAGTTCAATTTTCAGTAAATGGTTTTTCAAAAACTTAAAAAAATAAAAAATATTAAAAACAGTTCTCTAAAAATGGTTCCTAAGAATTCTGAAAATTGAAAATTGTTTTTAAAAAATTGTACTAAATTTTCATAAAGCAGTTCTCAAAAACCGACAAGTTTTTGTATGATTTTCGGAATTTCAATTTTCAAAAAATAAAAAATTGTTCTAAGAATAATACTAAACCAAGCAAGCCAATATATTTTTTTAACTTAGTTTTCGGAGAAGAAAAAAAGAAAAAAAACCAACTAAACAGACCCTTAGGTTAAACACAATATCCTACATATTGGACATTATAACATTTAAGAGAGAATTGTTAAGAACAATTTGTAATTTTTAAACAAACTACTTCAACAATTAGCTCCATTCAAAGGAACCCCTATTTTTTTTCCCTTTTCCCATAAGGTTACAAAAGGATTGGTATAGCCCTTGGTATTGCAATCTCAGGTACACTTATGCCCACTCCTCCCAATATGGAAGGTGACTATTAGTCTATAAGCACCAAATTTCACTAAATGAGTTCCCCTAATAGTCCTCTGATATCCAAAATATAGCCTGTAACGGAAGCATATTCAATAATATATCCAATAATGGAAGCTCCAAGGACAATCTTAAAGCTAATCTTCATGTTACCTCAGATAATTTACATCCGATACAACAAAACGAATATTTTACCACAATAACAACAAAAAGAAGCAAAATAGAGCAGACCATGTTATTTCCTTAACGACTTTGCTCGAGTTTTGGCACTGTTTTAACCATAAAGCTTCTAGCCTCATCCTCTGTAACATCACTGCTTGGGGAAACAGAAAGAGGAACATTAAAATAAGCGATATTGATCAACAACGAGAACATGGTGAACAGTTTCTGAATGGAATTATGAAATTGGAATAACAAAGAAATGTGACAATATCAAACCTGTCTATGGCTTCTGTCTTGGTGATCAACATGATCCCTCTAGATGCAAGAAATTCATTGAAACTGTTGAGGTCTTTCTCGTGGCAGAATTTATAAAGATTGTGCAGGACATCATTGAACTGTTTTGGTTCCTGCAAAGGATAAAGTTTCATATAAAACCAACCATATAGGTATATAATTTATAATACTAACAATTTTTTTGTGCCCAGTTGAAATAAATTCCTAAGACTAACAACGACTTCTATTCTCATTTTACAACATACTGAAACTTTTTTTGTCCAAAGTCAGAGCAACACAAGAGGTCGCGTTCCCACCATCCAAGGTGCTGCCACCCTTCGATGTAGGCGGCATTCAATCCCAAGTCTCTAGTATAACTACCAGATTGACATTTTGACAGTGTCTCACATAGACAACTTCATGACTTCCAGTGGAATTTCATAGGCTTTAAGTTTTAACTGAAAGCAGGGAGTTAAGAGATTATCTCCATGCTTCATTTTGTCCCTAAACGATGAACGCGTGGTGATTTTGACAGAAGTTTCAAGTTTTTGAAGACAGATTATAGGTATAGCTTTTTAACTGCATACTTGAAGGAACTGCATGATCGATTCAGCAGAATTATATGCAAAGTGTTCCCTGTGAGTAAAAATGTCACAAAAAAGCCACCCTAATTGTTCATGATTTTACTGGAATGAGAATGGAAATAATTATGCTCTTGTACTTCTATTTTTTCTAACAGTATTTATAATATAGACACAGAGTTCATCAGATGCGACATGAAACCTAAAAATTCCATAATTAACTATCTAGCACTTAACTCCAGTTATAAATTAAAAAAAGAAAGAAAAAAGAATGTATTCAACAGAAATCATTAAGGGAGCAGGAATAAAGGAAGTAGGCATACTTGCTCAAGAATGCAACCCTTGCGCAGAGCTACTAAACATTCCACTGCTTTATGATATGGATATGTATCTCCTTCAACAGCGCTTTCCACCAATTCAAAAATTTTATTTTTCATATCCTTGACTGCTTTACTAACCCATTTTGGGCTATCCCTGCGAGACATCATGGCTTCAAAATCTTGAACAGGAGTTGAGTCCCCTATTTTCTCGACTTTGAAAGTAGATGCATTTTCTATAGAATTGACAGCTTCATTCCCAATAGCCTCTCCCTCCTCATTTGATCCAGAAGGTTTATCTCTTAATAATCTTCTAGTTGACTTCTTCAGCTGCAAGACTGATCAAGTTTAAACCCAATGTTTAAAGAAATTGATAGCACTATACAATTTTTTTAATTAGAACTGCTTCAGTAAAAATGACCTTCGGATTCTCCTTGAGTTCAAAGTGCATGCGAAATTCATCAATGACAGACTTGCTTTGCAACAGAAGTTCCCGGTCAGGTTCAGTTATCTTCCTGAGAGTGTCATCAAGTGGAGGCACAGCTGCATCTGGCTGCTTTGATTTCAACTCAAGGTGATGATAAAAGCGCTGAAAATGTACAACATCCGCCATTAGAATCAATCTATAGAAACCATGAGGGAAAAAAGAACAATTAAAAAAAAAAAAAAGCAAGTAAAGCAAAAGGGAAAAAAGATAAAAACGAAAAAGCAACACAACAAAATTTAGATCCCGATATGTTCATTCTTCTGATTGTTCAGTCAAAAAAATGGACATCAACTCCATGAGGTCCAACTCCTATTGTGCACCTCTACGTAATCTTCCCGTCTACAATAATCATGGCATGTTCTAATACTGTTTACATCATTTTCCTTCTGTTTGTATTTATCTTCTTCTTTTTACCAAATGAATCACCTTTCCACTACTTAAGCAGTTAAATTGATGGAACTTTTTTCCTTTTTAGCTATTACTTTTTCCATGTTCGTTTCACTTTGAAAGTAAAGGGTCATAGACCATGCTATTGTGCTCAATGAAGAGACAGCTTCATGAGAAGTATTTCTTCTTCATATACATATATATATTATTTTTTAAGGAAATATCCTAAATGAGATATCATGGAACATGGAGCCAGGAGATCCAGACCACAAAATCAGTATTACACCATAGAACCTGACCTGCAATTGTTCCCATCATTGGCATTTCCAAAATTAATGAGAAATTTCCAAACTTTTCAATATTTTACCTCTTAATTTATCATCTGAATAGGTATTGAAGAAAATAAGTTTGGCAATACGTCAGACAACTAATGCATTAAAAAGAAAAACTTACTCCAAAGAAAATCACAACCTGAGGGTTTTCCCCTTAATTTACTAGTTGAAAAGAAACATTGAAACATGTACACATATCAAAAGGGAAATAATATGCTTCCAAAGTAAACTCCATTAGAAGAAAACAGACTCGTATTTGAACATGGAAAGCCATCAGGCTAAAGCTCAGGGGAGGCTTTTATTTCGGTTAGTGCAGGCTGTCATGCTAAAACTACCTTTTGAGCTTGTAGACAATAGGTTTCACTCCTCGCCAACAACTCTGAACACAGCCAGAGAACAAACTTCAGAGTATAGGCCTGCAATGGCAACTCTAGAGGACAGGGACCTCCTATCCCAAGCCTGTTCCGCTAAAGTCTCGGATTAGTCCCATCCCTTATCCCAGATTTCCTCTCCAATTCCATCCCCAGCCCGTTCTGCCTCGCTTACAAGAGAGTTGAGTTCAGATTATTAGATATGTGAGAAGGTGTCGACCTAAGAAGAATGGATACGGACACGATACGACACGGGTACGACACATTAAATTCTCAAAAAGTAGGATACGGACATGGCATGGACACGACTAATATAAATAAAAACTTTCATTTATATATCTATTGAATGAGACAATAATAGAATTTTAATTAATTATAAATTCTATACAAAGTTACATAAGTTAGAAGATGACGCTATTCGAATATAAAAAAGAATATGTTATATTATATACGATATTACTGTCTAGTCTTGTCATTATAGTTATGTTTTTGTTCCTTAGAGGTTGACACTTTGATGTATGTCCATAATGTTATTTCCAGGATAGTTGTGTGTTTGTTTTATATAAGACGAAGAGTGTAGGATGTGTTGGTCAAGTGTAAGTGTTCGAAATAAGTCACCAAGTGTCCGAGATGTGATAACCAAGTGTCCAAGATGTGTCAACTAAGTGTCCAAATAATAAAATTAATTTTTAACTAACAGACACAGCCATGAAGTGTCGGACACATGTCTAGGAGTGTCCATGAAATGTCGGTGTCTAACGCGATCAGTGTTATTAAAGGCCCAAGGCGCACTAAGGCGCTAGAGGTCCTTTGGAGCCTAGGCGCGAGGCGCCTTTACACTAGCATAAAAACATTCATATCTCATAAGTCATATCAATATTCTAAAAATTAATATCAAATATAAAAAAGTAAATCCATCAACTATAGAAGCATCCAACAACCATAAAATAGAGCACAAATTTGTTTTCTTGAAATCAGTGAGGCACGCCTTAGTGAGGCACGCCTAACAAACAGGACGAGGCGCAATCGAGGCGCACACCTAGTAAACATTAGTGAGCCTGGGATGACAACAGGCTCTAGACTTGTGCCTCGAGCGTAGGCGCGTCTTTAACAACACTGGACGCGATATTGGACACAAACACTGACACTGACACGGCACCTCATAAAAGTGTCCGTGCTTCTTACGTGTCAACTGTCAACAGCAAGAACAAGAGGTGTGATGATGATGACAGAAGTTAGTGATGAGTTATGGATGTCAGATACTTTCAACTAGGGAGAAGAAAAAAGAAGAAATAATGCACAAAACAATCATTAGCAGATATGGTGATGACATTCATAGCAAGCTCTGATGATAGAAACGGTCGTGGCAAGGAACATTGGCAGAGGACAGTGGAGATCGTGTGAGGCGACTAAAAATAGAAGGGGAGTAAAAACGCATGGGAAACCCTACAGGGTACTAATAAAAGGGGGAGGAAGGCATTTACATAGGCATCCTTAAATAGGCCCAAAACGGTTGTTTGACATTTAAAGGGTACTAATAACAGGGGGAGGAAGGCATTTATGAAAGGAAGTAAATGTTTCAATACTTGAGAAATGATGATCATAAAGATTGAAAACAATATGTACCTCATCATCCTACAAACTAACATGCAACATCTAGCTTCCTGAGAAAAGGCATGGACTGAACCTGATTGTCAGAATTCAAACACCAAACATGTTCCACGTTGAACACATATTCTGAAAATAAGTAAGTAAATCAATAATTACTGATTCAATGTGTTGTAGAATAAAAGTAGGTTGGGTTCAGACTTTCACCAATGCTTTGATTATGCATGGCATTATTAATTTCTGGCTAAACGTTTAGCCCAATTTGTTTTGTGAACCATTACAACTAACAATTACAAGCCAAACGACATTATAATTGCTCACAATTCCACCAGAAACAACATTCATCCTACATAACAAAAAACCCTAGTTCCTATTGAAAAAGGACACTACTTTGTCTTGTTAATTTTGGACAGCTAAACCTGTGTAGATATGCAAAATCATACGCCGTTACAGTCTTTTGGAGGAAAGAAAGTTGGACCCCTCAAGTCCATCTTGAACACCAACACTTGTATCTTTGATACAGCTTAAATAGTCAAAACAGAATATTTGCAAAATGAAGCAATGCATTCGGGAAAAGAACACTCTAAAGGCAAATAAAATGTCAAACCATGATCAGACTCCTGAATGCCATCTTAAACCCGAAAGAGTACCAAACTAGTAAAGAGAATACTCATAAACAAAAGGGGGGTTAAATTGCTCAGATGAGGATTTGCAGCATAGTGTGTCCATGCCTGGGGGCCAACTTCATTAAACTAGTAATATGATAATTACATAATTAAGTACCTCTAAAACAGGATTTGGCATAAAGTCAGGCTGCAGAGCTTCCTCTTTGCCAGTTGGTGCAAGGTCAAGCATCTTTACCAAGTTATCTGTAGCCTCTTGCTGTTGTTTGTTCGGCTGGCATGATGAAGGGAAATTGCTGAAAGAGGGAAACTGGAACTCTCGAACATCCTCGGCGAAAGGAAGTACATTAAAGTATAATGAATCGGGCTGACCAGCAAAATCCAACAAGATTGTTGAATTAGAAGGCAAATGCTAAATAACAGTTTGAAATAAAGGATGGGGTAAAAGTTCACATTAAGACTTACAATATTATCATTGTCAGATACATTAGGAGTCAGTACCCCTACAACTACATTCCCCTGTCCTTGTCTCCATACGCAGCGGACAATAGCTACTTTTTTCATTTCCTTCATTGCTCTTGCAATGGCAGAAACTGCAATAATGGCCTTTGTATTGCCCGGTTCAGCAATGAAGATGTTGACATCTTTCATATAATAGTGCCTTTGAGTAGATGATGTATAGGGACAAGAAAGACATATTAAAAGATATGAATCATTTTAGTTGATATTAACCAACACCATATTATATGACAGTCTAAGCAGATAAATTTTACCGCATTATGTTTGAGGCATCTGTAAATCCTAGGAGCTTCAAACTCTTCTCTGCTTTAAACTTCACAGCTTCCCATTCAGCAGATGAGATAGGAACTACTTGAGGACCATAACGATAACCTTTAATCCTTTGGTCTGGGGGCACAGTCTTACTTGAATCTTCAACACTTTTATACTCAAAATCCAACTTGATTTCATGAGTGGCAAATTTATCCGTTGGAGGCGCTTTATCAGAATATTTTTTCAGAGTAGGGAACTTCTCTTCAGATGTTTTTTTGTAAACCCATACCTAATAATTAAAGTTAGCAACAAAATATATTGAAATGTTATTTTCTTATTTCAGAGGGAAAAAATAAAATTGGTCCACTAATAGCCACCAAGTTGTAATGGTAAAACAATAAAATAAGTATTAGTTCATATGAAAGAATGAGCATATCTGGCTCCAAAATATAACGTGAATAAAGCTTCTGAACATCAATCGTATACACGCAATTTTATTGTTATGTCATTTATAAGAATGCTCAATTATACAACACCGCAAGGTTCCACCAAATGAAACATGTGGAATCACCCATCACCGATGCTGCCCATTCTGCCACTCACCTCTGGGTGCTAACTGCAGTACGCGGAACTATGTGGCATCATGAGTTTCTTTCTAAGGACATTCATCCATACCTCTACGCTACTAGTACTAACTCTAGGTGAAGGAAAACAAAGCCCAAAATTCTGTACGCTTGTCTAAGTCAACAGTGGAGCCCCAAGGGATTCAAATGAGTTCATTTCTGCTCAACAGTCACCAAGAATGATTCTGCCACCAACTTACAAGATTCATTGAGGGTGTCCTGTCTTGTTACCTAAAAGAACTAAAGAAGCCCCCAAACTACAAAAGAGTTCTGCCTACAACTTTAGACAACCATTGTGTAATCTAATATGTAAATAAGTTGGTATAAAACTGCCTTCACTCTATCCTCTCTGATTAACTAAAGTTCTAAAGCTTAAGGTGGAAAAGAAAAAAGGAAGAAAAAAAAAGAGCCAACCTCAGATTGTAATGCAGGTGAAAAAATAACAGCACATAAAGTTAGATAAGCAACTGTGTGCACTTTGTGCATCCATTTGGGTCACACCAACATATAGCCGCATCACAAAGAATGTCCAGTGTTATAAATCCATTTGCAGCATATCAACAGAAAAAGGCCAATTTTTTTTCCTAGTTAACGAGGCCAATTGATGAACAAACAGAAAGCATCAATGAGCCGTGGTAGCGGAAAGCCCCAATTTTCCCAAAAGAAAGCTTCCCGAGTAATCTTTAATATACCAATATATATCATTTATAACAAAGCTTATGACATCGTCTAAAATCTTATTACTACAAGTAAAAGGAACAAATGCATAAGGTCACATCTTTTTCCTAATGATATAACAAACTAATTAATTTTCCTCCCTGTAAAACCCTTTTTTTTTTTTTTTTTTTTTTTTTTTTTTAATATAGGGACAATACAGTAAAATACAACAATTAAACATATAAGAAAAAGGACAGCACTGTTTGCTGGACTCTCACCTTGATCTTCATTTTGGGGCTTATTTCAAAATCACCCCTATATATTGTGACGGGAGATATATTCCGAGTTCTAAGTGCACCCAATAATGAAGCAGGACTCTCAACATACACGGTCTTTGAACAAGTTTTAGTCGAAAATATACTCAAAAGAAGATCATTCTCCTCCACTGTTCTTTTGTTTGCAACACAACTTTGCTTTCCCCTCGCAACTATAGATTCCAATTTCATGCCATGTTCAGTCATTCCTTTAGCAATGATGTTGACTTGATCTTCCTTTGTTCCTACCATTGGATCTTTAAGAGGACAAAGTGCTTTGGTAATAAGGCAAAGACGTTTCTTTCCCTTGTTAGTTATTCCATACTTTTTAATCAGCATATCCATTCCAACAACAATGGCATCGAGAACTAGCAACAAAGTCAAGGCATCACATATCAAGAAATCAAGAATAGATGCAAATATATAAGCAAGTCACAACCTAAAGACAACTAAACTGAGTTCACTTCGTAAAATAACCAACTTACAAATAATAGTAAGACAAGTCTCCCCCAACCCTTCCAATGAAGCAATTGATAGACTAACACATTTCAGGAAAATAAAATAACCATATATTCAACATACCATATACAATCTTATGCTATGCCACAATTGAAACATAAGCTATTTACCTTATACTAAACCTACATACTTCCACCTACCAAAAGAAAAGGACCTGCATACATCTTGGCAAGTTGGCTTAACGGATGAAATTTGTCAAACATAGAAATCCAGTAAAAAAAGTGAGTTAGTAGTCATGAATCATATTTCACACAATACTCAAAGAAGTATGATTGAGTCTTTTTACAAGCAGAGGAACTACAATTAGAAGAACAGTGACATCTTTGTAAAAAAAAAAAAAACCAATTTCTAGGATGCCAGATAACCTAAGGATGGCACTACTATGAAGCAGAAGACGCATGTTTGAAATAAAACTACCGTGATGTGAATTTCAACAAGCATTGGAGAATATATAATTCCACAAACTAATCTAGCACACTTCATGGATACAATCACCAGCAACAGTTCCTCGAGGAAGCTGATGTAAAGCTTCAACAAGATCCCCATCAACAACTTTGACATTCTGCAGAACCACCACATGTTCATATCCTCCTATTTCCTTAGTCAGCTGGTTATTAGTATCTGAAGATTTCAAGAGTAGCACATTCAACAATATTTCCTGATAATTGGAAAGAAAAAAAGAAAGGCCACAACTTCTCAATATATAAAAATGAATTCTGAACAGCACTGAAAATAAGCAAGGAACAAAAGTACTCTTAACATAAATGACCAAAAGGCAACATTGATGCTCGCCCTAGCAAAAAGTACGATATTATTTCAACTAAACAGGCATCTCTTCGTAGTTAGCTGCTGAAACAAATATTGGGAGGTAGCCACAGAGAGAAAAAAAAAAAATATACAACGGTTAAGTTATTGATTCTTGAATCCCTCTAATTACCAACAGGGTAAATTACTTCAACCTCCCTTGAGGTTTTAACAAACACCCTGAAATGAAACTTTTGAAAACTTTGTGTTCAACCTCAAGTTTGCAGAAATTATAGATTCCCCCTTGTCATTAACGGGCCATTAGGTCCGTTCAAGTTTTTTGTATTGAATGATAAAGTACCATTCTTTGAAATGAAATGTCAAAACTACACCTACTTATCCTTCTAAAAATACTACTATACCTACAATCACCCAGACCTCTTCTTTCTACCATTCCTTCTGTCCTCCTTCTACTCTCTCTCTATGAACACTCAAGTGGGTCTTCTTCTATGTATAGGCTCTTCAGTTCGCCAAGCTCCATTCTTCCCACTCTATTCACGTATATACATATGCTATTCCTATTATAGGTTCTATACAACAACAACAACAAAAACCACCAAACCTTTTCCCAATTACTTGGGGTCCTATTATAGGTTCTATATATTTGATACATACAAATATAAATTTTTAACCAGATCGTTTTGACAAAGAGCTTTACTACCATATATCTATTCTTTCTCAACCTATTCCATATACCACATATATATTATCCCGTCATACAGACTCTCCAATTCACCACTTTACTCCTCGTCACTATTCAGTAGCCACCACCTTATTGCCCCCTTTACTCTTCTCCTACTCTTTTCCTTTCCTTTCAATCTAGAACTCGGTTAGAATAAACTTGAATGGTTGGGTTGCCCGTGACAACATCAATTGTCTGCAGTAAGTTGACAATAGTTGCAATTGGTTGAGTTTATGGTTGGTTAGATGTAAATGGCATTGGCGCTCTAGGTTGAATGGAACGTGGACCACAAAGAATTGAGGACGCTGCAGTGGTGTTCTGCGACAGAGGTTTCATTGGGCATGGTCATTGGCAGTGATGGAGGCTTGTAAATAATGTGATTTGGTTGATGCAGTGCTACTTATTATTTATTAAAGTTAGTAATTATATGTATACATTAAATATAAATTGACACATATATATAATATATTTGATATATATATATATATTTTAAATTAAGAGGGGCGTGAAAAGAAAATTAGGAGGTTCAAAGAGGGCATAACTGTATTTTCCATTTTAATTTTTATTTAGAAACTATTAAATAAGGTGAGGGTAAAATTGCAAATTACACTTATAATTTAACAGTTTTGTTGTCAAACTCTGACAAGAGGTGCCACAGTTATTTTTACAGAAGTTTCATCAGAGAGTTATTTTCTAAAATTTCAGAGGAGACCAGCATAATTTTCCCTTACCAATATCTGCAACCACCATATTGGATGATAATAATGTACAAAAATTCACATATAATCTGTCATTTTTATGTCTTTGCCAAGTTCATTAATGATCACAATGAGAATTAGAGAGTTATATTGCATAAATAACTTTAGACTAAATTAGTCATGATACACATCTTGATACTTCTTTTTGAATATCCTGAAAAAGTTACATTTTATTGTTCAGGACTTGTTAAATCTCCAAGTATTTGAGAAGTATTTCATTATTTAAGACTTGTTAAACATGCATTAGAAGTATAATATACATGGTCGAAGTATAATTTACGTGTTAGAAATAAAAAATATATATATGTACACAATTTTAAATATGTTTACGAAGTATCAAACGCGTATCCACACATTAATGAGAGAGAGATTCCAACATGGATACGATGTGGATACACCCCTTATAGAAGTATCATTGCTCCATATCACTTAGGAAAGCATAAAAGTACCTTCAGTTCCGAACAAAATAACTCCTACTTCATCATATTTGCTGTAAACAAGCTGCATAGATACAACAAAATATTATTAAAATAAACTTTGTAAAAGGGAAGGAATTTGAAAGTGAAAAACTTACCTTCTTTTGTACTAGCATAGAGCACAATTTCTCAACTTCAGGCAAAATATTATGCATTGATGGACCCACATCAAGCAACAAAAGCAATGCTTCCTGTTAATATAAAGCATTGGGAAAGATACATTTTCATAATTATTAATACAGCAGAAAAATGGTGTCCATTTACACGACTACCAAAAAAGGAAGCTATCATCATACTTCTACAGTTTATGATCCTAACGTTTTTATCACTTCTGAATTTTTTCCTACCTAATTTGCCGACACTGTATTTGATTGTGCAACCCCCTTTTGCCATAGAAAATGTCCCCAATTATCTAGTTACATCACACACAATTGTAACTTCAAACAAAAGTAAATTTGCTTTTCATAAAGTTGTGACAAACTAATGAACAACTTGCATTACAGCCCATACATTGCCACAGCAAGCAATTCATATGGATTGTTTGCATAGAACATTTTCATTTTGTCTATCTGTAAATTAAAAAAAAAAAAAAAAAATTATGGTTTTTCTGTCCGTACATATTAATGGACTCTCACATGCTACTCCACAGTTTATACACAAGCATGGCAAATATACACAAAAATTCCGAGTTCTTAAAGCAAATCCTAACAAGTAGAAATGTGAAAACAAATCCTGAACCTCATAGTACATTGACCGGATGTTCATAACTCAATTGATTCCACTAATTTTCGTAGGTAAGATACATGGCGATTTAGGCCCTCAACCGTCCCTATAAAAGGAAGAGGAGATACCATAGTCCATACTCCATAGTGTGTGTTGAAATGAAGCCTATGAATTTGAAATAAAGCCTAAACCCTAAACCCAAAATCTAAAGAGGGTATCAAAATCAATAATCATATATTTATATATATGTATATATATTTGTAGTTCGGATACAAAACGCTAGCCAAGAGTTCTCATTTCAACTGAAGTACAGGTATCAAATTAACTACTATGATGAATTGAAACGAAAATCGGAAATGCTAAATTTGCATAAAAATATGTCGGTTTTTGAATTTCGTCAGAGTTATTGGCCATAATGGATGAATTCATCACTTACATAAAACAGAAACATGATAAACTGGATCAAAATACAACTGTAAATTTACCTTATTTCGAGCCATTTTGGAGAGGGAGAGTCGGAGAGAGAGAAGATGATTCTCGAAGAAGTCTTGAAAGCAAAAAGAGGGCTTTATATTTAAAATTTGTGGACGGTGCTTATACTGATTGGTTCCTCTTCCCGCTCTATGCTACCTCTCCGCCTGTTTGGATACACGGTTTTGAAACGAAAGAAAAGGGAAGGAAAGGAAAAGGGATAAAAGCTTCAAGGTCCAGATCCAATTTTGGACCCTACCCGATAAAGCTATTCAGATGGTTCTCGGTTTAGGTCATGAAGCCCATCCAGTCTGTGCAGGCCAGTCAACGTCCCGGCCCAATCAGATATTCACTGAGTAACTTATTAGGGTATGCTTGATTGCTTGGTTTGCGTTTTTTTATTATTATTATTATTATTTTTCAATTCAAAACAAAATAAGTGTTTTGTTGTATGATATTTTAAATAGTAATCGAAATTTGAAAGCATGTTCAGTAATATCTATTTGTTGTAAAATTCAAAATATAAAAACATTTTTGGTAAAAAAAGTGTTTTAAAAAACATAACGGCCAGTTTAGAAAAGTCATTTTAGAGTTTTTCTTTTTCTTTTTCTTTTTTTTTTTGGTACAGTTACAATGAGAAAACATATAAAAACACCAAATTGGTGTTTTGGCTTTTCTCCACTATTCACAAAACGCTTCGTCACTTTACAAAATAAAATATTTTTTGCCAAATAAGTTTTTTCCATGGTCACTGTTACACTAGCTGACAAATATAATTTCATTACCTAACTTCTTATCATCGATCTTTTCGGTCCCAATTTTTCCTTTTTCTCTCTCTTCTTCTTGTTTTTCCCTCCGAGTCTGGTTGTTCACCAATTCTTCTTATATATCTCCCTCTTGATATACACATACCTAAAGTATTCTAGAGACAAGATTCAAAATTCTTTATTCTCGCTCCTTTTCAAGATCACCTACTTTTCTCTATTCATAAATCTTCCAAGAATATATTCTTCCAATCCCAGATGAAAAATGTGCGAAGATTTTTTTTTTTTGTAAGTAAATATCCATATAAGAGTTGCCATTACAAAACACATTAATCTCTTACTAAAAAAAAAAAAAAAACAACTAACTAACCTAGAGAAGAGAAACGATAAATCTTCTCAAAGTTTCTGTTTGATTTTTCTGATACAAAATCTGAAGGAGAGAAACATTGTAGCTTTTATTTTCTTTTTCTTTTTCTTTTACTTTTTTGTTCTGCATGTTTTGGTTTTGTGCTTCTGGATTTACAAAACATGAAGAAATTTATTTTTTTTTTTAATTTATTTTATTTTATCTTCAATTTTGCGAAATTAGAAAGTGAGACAAAACTAAAATCAAAGATAAATTTGAATACAAAAGAAAAATTGAGAATAGAGGAAGAGAAGAGAGAGAAAAATTGAGAATAGAGGAAGAGAAGAGAGAGAAGGAAAGAGGTAGGAGTTATATTTTTTAAAAATAATTTAATGTGGCTAATGCTATGTTTGGTTAGAGGGAATGATGTTAAGTTCAACCGTTTATTCTTTTATTTGGTTAGACTCTGTTATCATTTTGCAATATCTCATACTTTACAGAAGGAATGTAAAAGATTTTAGTCCTAACACTTCGTTTAAAATAGATGAATCGGAAGGAAAAGAAAAGAAATGAAGTAAAATAAAGAAAATCTAAAGTCATTGAAACGGCGACGTTCTCAAAACGGACTGGATAACACTATAAATATACACAAAGCACACACTTTTAGTTGCAGAGAGAGAGAGAGAGAGAGAGAGAGAGAGACGATAGGGGGGATTGGAGAGAGAGAGCTTGATTCCAGCGACGGCCACAGCTTCAATGGCATCAATGTCTACCAATCACTGCTACATGAATTACTACAAACGCCACAGTGGCTCTCTCCTTCCCCGCATCATAGCTTCTCAGCAGCAGCAGAACAAATCTACAGACAAAATGAATCGAAGGTACGTATTCCCCCTCGTTCTCTCTCTAAACCAATCTATTATCTCTCTCTAAAATTCCTGAAACGAAAGTTACAAATGACTGTGAAGGGAAATAATACTCAGGAGCAGTGAAATTGCAGTGATTGGAGCCATTTTCCAATTCAGGTGTGTACCTTCCTATCCTCTCCTTATCCATTTCGCTAATTCATAGGCTTTATTTTAAATACATATTGAATATATAGGTACTCTTAATCTGCTTTATATTTATCTTTTACAATTTTGCTTTAATTTTTTTTACTGTTAGAAAAATATAGTTCAGAAATTTATTGTTCTTTACAAGCGGGTATAATTATTGGTCAAGGTTATTTATTTTAATAAAATTATAATCTGAATTATGTTGATGTAATGCAGCGGAACAAAACCTGATTACTTGGGGGTACAGAAGAACACTACTAGTCTGGCTCTATGTCCAGCCACTAAGAATTGTATATCAACTTCTGAGAATATAAGTGATCTCACTCACTATGCCCCACCTTGGTAAGAAATTCATTTTTTCAAATAATTAAAATAATGAGTAAAATCAATCTCTTATGAGTCCAATTTGTATGAATATCTAGGTTTATGTATATTTATTTGATACATAAAAGGGCTAGTTCACTGGAGCTCGAGGACTTTTTACTGTTTCGAATTGTGACCTCGAAATCATAATAGAATAACCATTATGTCACAGGCCCACGCTCACCTATATATAAATATGTCATGTGTTCCATGCCTATAGTTTTGGACTAGTAAAAAGGCATTGTGGTCAGTTTTGAGACTTTTGGCTCAAAATCATGATTCTAGACCTTTTCTTTTTTCTTTTTTGACCAAGAGCAATATCAAAACGGGGACTATTTTTTTCTTGTGAAACACATGGAAAATTTCATAGCTGCCCAGCTGATCAATCTCACATGTACCATGAACCTAATTTAATGGAACTATATTTTGTAAAACAGTGGATGATTATTCACCACTTTTGACATTTGAATGGCAGTTAAAGTGTGGGGTTGGTGTATTCTTTCGCAGGAATTACAACCCTGAAGAGGGGCGCGGACGTAAAAAGCCTGTGAGTAGAGAAGTGGCAATGGAGGAGCTTCTTCAAGTGGTAGGAATTGTACATTCAGGTTCATTCAAATATTTCGTATTCATTCACACACTATATGTACATGTATATGACAAAAGGTTAACAATTAAGGCCAAATTTCAAGTCAAATCAACCACAATTTGTGCTTGATTGGATCAATGACACTGGCCTTTCTAAGCACCAAATGAGCTCAAAAATCAACTCATTCTGTCTGTTTGCACTTTGCAGATAAAATCTACAAAACCAGACAAGTTCACGCCGCGGATAGTTGAGAAGAAAGATGATTATGTGCATGTGGAATATGAAAGCCCTATATTGGGGGTAAATGAATCATGCTTCGAACCTAATTTATTTTTGTTACTATTGTGCCTCTAGGGTATAGTGTTCATCCATTAATTTCCTCCTCTTCCAGTTTGTTGACGACGTTGAATTTTGGTTCCCACCGGGCAAGAAATCAATTGTAGAGTACCGGTCAGCATCTCGCCTGGGAAACTTTGATTTTGATATTAACAGGAAAAGGATAAAGGTGAGAGTTTACAGACAGTTTAGTTTGCTTGTGTTTGCATTTCGTATTACACTTGTCATAAAAGTTTTGATTCAATTTAGTGACTAGTTTGACTTGTTTTGGTCATTTGATGCAGGCATTGCGGCTGGCTTTGGAGAAGAAGGGATGGGCATCAGAAGATAACCTATGAGGAGAACAATAATAGATTGCTAACTGTCTATTCCATTCGAAGTATATGAATCAAGAATCAGAGAAAAAGAAAATCAATAATGTCTGTTACCGAATGAATACAAAGGAATTGGCTTATTTTTACAAGATCTACATTTTACGTTGATTGTGATTGGGACTGGGACGGGACACTCACTAAGGGTTCACTAGCCTCCATTCTTGCTCAAGCTTTCTGGGGAAAATAAATCAGAAAATTAAGCAAACATGGCTAACTTTAGATATGCACCAGCATGTTTATGGTAACACAGTGCTATTGAACACATGGCATGACAGAAAAATTAGTTGAATGATGATTCATTCCAAAAACTTCATAACCGTAAGTTTGTTTTCACCAGGATTATGAATTTTCATTTTCGTTTTCCTCCAAATGAAGAGGGTGGGTAAGAGCAAGAGTGTCATGGAAATATTTCCAATCTATACTTTCAAAAGAACCAATCATGGCTACGTTATAACTTAGATTGAGAATTGAAGACATGTCAAACACAAAGTTTCATGTTCACCATAGGATTCCTAATTGCAACACTTCCATCGAGTAGGAAAAGCAGTTGTTCAAACTGGATTCATTGAAAAGCAAAGAGATGATAATTGATGAGCCACGATGACGCAGAAAGATCATCCCAGCATATGTCAAGATTACCATAGATATATATCTGGAATGTCACAAAATCCCAGCAGCAAGGACTGCATTAGGAATGAGAGGGATCAATCTTTCCTGAGCTCCATATACTCACGACGAATTCCATCAGCATTTATTAGGAGTGAGAGGGATCAATCTTTCCTGAGCTCCATATACTCACGACGAATTCCATCAGCATTTAAGACGACTATCTCCAGCTTGTCCCCCTGTAACAACCACCCACATTTTCATCAGGAGTGAATAAGGTGGAAATTCATAGCTGAAGAAGCTATAATTTGAGCCTCCTATTCTCATTTAAATTTAAATATAGGGTTTTATACATTACTACCAGATTAATGAGGATCACCAAATGCTTCAAATATTTCCTCAACAAGAGGGGAGCCAAAGGTGGTCTCCAAAGTTCAAAACAGTAATAAAAAACTACGGTATAATTTGAAACAAACTTTAATTTTATAATTAATCATTATTAATTGAAATAATTTATGTATTTTGTCTTGAGTCGGAACTTTGGTTACAATTTAGTGGGTTAGCAAGAAGTACATATATCTCCTTCCAAAATGCATTCAGTTCAACCAACGTACAACTACAATCGGAACAAATTTAAATATACAACACGAACTAGTCATTGTTCTTAAATGGATCTTGACACGTCAACTTAAAGGGTTAAATGAAATCAATGCATATACATCTAGATTTTACCATATAGACTGCGCTATCATTATATCATATATTGAGAATTAAGCACCAAACACATTTAAAGCTAGTAATCAACCATAAGCTCCTCTGAAAATTAATCCATTGGTATTAAACGGCACAATCTCGTAATACAATATAGAACGTAACATTAACGGTTTTTAAATATATATATATATATATATATATATATATATATATATATATATTAAAGGATTAAAAATTGGACAATTGTTTTTTTAATTAGTCTAAGAATTATCTGAATGTCAGCGCCTTTAACAACTATGTCTGACACATCTAAGAAATGTCAGAAATTCTACATATCCTAATTCCAAACGCATGGTTGATACGTCTTTGATAGCTTGGATATTAATATAGACACACACACACACACAAACACACATACATATATATAACAGGGGGTCTGCATTTGCTGCCATAAATTATGACAAAGGCTCTGCCACTTGAGGTAGACTTTAGGTGGGCACCCCTCCTAAGTGCAATGGAGGTGCATAATTTATTTTACATGGAAATTAATTATGTAATTGTTAAGAGATCAAATTGAAGTTCATATGAAATTTATCAAAGAGTTCAACCATATTTTAAAAGCAAAAGTTAGAATACATGGTATATAAAATTTATCAAAGCGTTTGATCATATTTTCAAACCAAATTTAGAGAGATATTTATTTTATGGGGTGGGAATAGGAGGAGAGGACTCATTGCAAAATATGTTTGTACATGTTGATATATGTATCTACCTACATATAAGGACACATGCATAGATGTTTATCATGCCTGTTGTTGGATCTTTGTATCCAACGATATGGCTGGTTATGGATATTGTGATTCATAAATTTCAAATTTCATGTTACAGTCATAGAAGATATATAGATTTACTAATTATAAAGTAATGTTTGTCATTTTGTACTATGACTTGACATAAAACTAAAATTTCTTTGTTTAAGGATTTATACAAAAATTATATTACAATTTTATAAAATGAGGAGAAATTTGACACACACACTTGGATAATGTTACTTCAGTCCCGAGTAACTTAAAACAGGCACCGCAAAGCTGAGAAAAACTTGTATATATGTCATGAAATAGATAATTCAGAGATGATTTTTGAAGGAAAAAAAAAAAAAAATCGGATTTGTTATTTATCTTGTTCTTTACTTGTTCCTTCTTATGGTTTGAATCTGACCTCCATAGCTCATGGGATTTGAGCTTATTAACTGAAAATTGAAAATTTTGCTCAAAAGTAAAGCTTTTCCTGAAAAGCGAGCATGCATGAGGGTGGGAAGATAAGGGTGAAGAGGAGAAAAGGAGCAAAAGTGAAGGCTATGAAAATTGGACAATATATGTAGAACTATCGATATCTATGCAGTAAACATTCTTATTTCCATTCAAGAACAATTTATAGATCTGCTGGTAAAAATTACTACGCATAGAAAGACATTCTAATACATGTCTTGAATGCGGCTTTGGAATTTCTAGAGTCTAGGCATATATATTTCAATTTTTAAATTCATACGGTAAGACTGAAAACCGAAGAGGCAGACACTTACAGTGTATATATCCCTCTCCGTCGCAGATGCAAAACAGGTCTTCACCAAATCAATTGCTTCTGATTCTGAAAGTGGGGTAACTGCATCCTGCAAAGGTAATTGGGTTTTAAACCAGACACTCAAAAGAGAAATTACTGCAGGAATATCTGTCAGCAAATAATTGACGACAAATCCATACCTTGGCAGGTAACAAGAGAGGGCTTGGAGACTTTAGTTGGTTGTCCAGAAAAGGCATGATTAGTGTGGAACCAGAACCTTGGGAACTGTATCCAACTCTCTCATAGGATCCAACGGCATCATATGTGAAAACACAACCCTTGCCTTGAGTATTTGAAAGATATATGTGATGTTACAATAAAACAGGTGGCTAAAAACTGCATAAAAAAAAGCCTATAACATTTTACCTTCATTATCGAGACCACCTAGAACATTGAAAGAATAATAAGGGAAGAAGCGTTTGTAGTAGAGTGTGTTTGAGAGCAGTTGACCCATTGCAGGGCAGCTCATCTGCTTATTGTGTTGATGCTGATAGATCTGTCAACAAGAAATGATATGAAGTGACTTCCTGCAGATATTTTCATCAACCTCAAGCAGCAAAAACAGTTGAAACCAGAAGTTACGTACGTAATTCATTATTGTTAATATATCATGCACATGGGGCCTCACGTGAATTAACAAAAAAAAAAAAACCCTCATTTCTTCAGAATTGACAGTGAAAGTCGCACTCCAAGTGAGGTAACGGAGAACGTTTAAATATTTGACAACAAAGAGAAAATTACATGCACAAAAAAAAGTTCAAAAGCCAAGTGTTTTTTAAAAACAAGCAGATTACAAGGCGGTAAACCATTCAGCCATCAATATATAAGGAAAAAACAGCTGAGATATGCTTTATGGAGAAAAGTCACAAAAGTGTGTATTAACCCTAAATAATGGTGACAAGATGTTAAAAAAAAATAATTAGCTCCAATTTGGCCCTAACATACTTTTCTTTTTTAGTAATAAACGAGTGACGGAAAACCAGGAATAGTAATTAATGACAACAAAGAGAAAGCAGACTTGGGTGGTATGGTCATGGTAGATCCAAAGATGCATGGGTGAGAATAGGAATAGTTGTTTTCCTAGAAGGTAAGGAACAAAGGGGCTAACCAAAACTTACATGCGATGAAACTATTAAAAATGACGTTAAAAAATTAGGAATGTGTTCCCGTTTTGAACGCTTTTCTAATATATTTTTTACTAATCAAAAAAAAAAAAAATGATGTTAAAAAATTAAACATTAGAGGAAACATGGTGCATAATCAGATAGAATAGAAAAGTAAATTCGTGGTGTATAATCAGATAGAATAGAAAAAGTGAATTCATGTGGCCGATCCCATCAATACAGGATAAAGGCAAGGACGATGATGATACTTTTCTTTTTTAATCCTATTATGTTGCACAATATCTTAAATAAACTATAAAATATAAATCTTCCAAGTTATTAGGTGCCCTACCGGTGTCTTTCAAAACCAAAGTACATAATGCAACATAAATCACAAACCCAAGTGAAGTGAGGTGCATATCTAATAGAAATACTGATAAATACAACTGAAACATTTTAAAGCTTAAGCAATGCAAAACAAATTAGCCAAAAATATAGAGAGAGAAACTGTCACGCTCCCAACTTGAGGTCAAAGGCACTCTTGGCCTTTCACTCATCATTTCAACATTCAATCACATAAATAACCCAACAAACATGAATACCAACCTGTTGCTTCATCAATATCCCAACATAACCACGACTAATAATAATCACAACCCATGTCAACATAAAATAAACCAACTGATATCCAGAACTAAATAAAAATCCAACTATAAAATATCCCACTAAAGATAGTCCTCAGTATGTAAGGTCTCTTTCTAAAGCAAAAAAACAGAATAGCAAAATAAACCATTAGAGCATGTCTCACGAGCCTGTCTCAACCGTGCTACCGAGCAACAATCTCAAACGCAATCACTGGATGATGGTTTCCTTGCTAGGTTAATTGCCCCCTTCTCCATGTCTTCTCTTCTTCTTCAATTATCCCTTCTTCTTTAACTACAATAGTAGAGAATAGTAGGAAATCCTACTTACAATTATTCTCCACTTATATACCAGCCATATTTTCCCCTTATCTGGTTGCTCATTTAATATATTTTAGTTTACTTTGTTCTAACATGTAATAGTGAGCTATTCCCAAATAGTATAATTGTTATTATAATCATCTTATTTTATTTTATTTTTAACTTCTAACCATATCTTACTTTGAAATAAGATATGGTTAGAAGCATACCCCTAAATTATCTTATTATTTTAAGCATACCCCTCACCATATCTTATTCAACATTTAAAAAAAGAAAAAGAAAAAAAAAAGATATTGTTAGAAGCATACCGATAAGTTATCTTATTATTTTGAGCATACCCCCCTCACCATATTTTATTCAACAATTTTTATTTTTTTATTTTTTGTTGAGAGGCATGCTTGTAAAATAATATGTGGCATAATTGTTATTATAATATTATTAGCATCTTATTATATTTTTAACTTCTAACCATATCTTATTTTGAAATAAGATATGGTTAGAAGCATACCCCCAAGTTATCTTATTATTTTAAGCTTACCCCCCACCATATCTTATTCAACAATTTTTTTTTTTTTTTCTTTTCGAAATAAGATATGGTTAGAAGCATACCCCTAAGTTATCATATTCTTTTAAGCATAGCCCTCAGAGCCAAGTAATACTTATACGTGCATTGCTTCATCAGCATATGACTACTGGCAAGATCCTTGGCATATCAAATACCATTATGAATATACATTAATATGATGCTAGAACCCTCAAATAATTTAAAGTTATATTATAGTAATTGTAAATGTTAATGTTCAAGCAGCACATCTAACTCAAAGTAATTAAACAATATTATTTATAGAGGGTAAAATTATAATATGATAGCCCAGATCAGTAATAGTCACTTCAAAAAAGAAAAGAAAATAAAATGTTATGAAAATATCATTAAAAAAAAAAAATTTGAAGGCACAACTTGTTTTGCACATAAGCCTACCAACAAACATTTGCATGATGGAGGGCTTTGTGTACATCTGACTGAAGGGCTCTTGATAGCATAAAATGAAGTGCTTTGGCTCTGCCTTGATGAGCTCGAGCCCTTTTTTGGGCATAGGCACGCCTTCAATAAGTAACCAAAAATAAAAATCTAACGGGTGTGCCACCTTCTTAAGTTGACCGCTGATTTAAGGAATTAGATTCTTGCTAATTTTCACTATGTATTTAAAACAGTCCCCAGAAATTCAAACCACATGGGAAACAAGCGTTAAAAAATTCAATGTAATTAGCAATCTGCAAGCTATGGGTAGGCATCTCTATGTCCGAAGTGGTACTAGTATTCCTTTCCCGCCAAAATGCTTCACATTAGAAACATAGGCATCCCTTGCCAAGCCTTATGGAACCCTTTTCTAGCATGGTTCCAATGGTAAAACATGTAATTCCTCTATGACGAGTGGCATGACCCAAAAACACCAATAGGAAAAAGAAACAAGCTCTACATATCCCAATCCAAGTAACAATGTAATAGCAAAAAATTAGTACTATCTTTCATCAACTTGAAAATACAAGTACACCACCGAAGAGAATCCCCTTCTTCCCTCCCCACCCTAAGTTATCTGAGGTCAAAATAGCCTCCAATGCAGCAGATCATTCACAAAAGACGCCTTGGAAAGAACGTTAACCTTCCAAATATATTTCCAAGGAAAGCCAAACCTCTTTCTACCGTTAAAGACTACACTATAGGACTTCGCTGCAAACTCACAATTTCTTTCTGCAATCCCATTCCAACAGACTTCCAAGGTCCCCTAACCAGGTAAATCTAACATGTTTAACCAAACATGCCTGTCAATAGCAATACCCGGAAAGGAAAAAACTAAAAAAAAAAAAAAAAACGCAAAGGATATCTTCTGTCCCCTCTGTGTCTTGCCAACTCCATAATCATTAAACCGTCTCTGTTCTACATGCATTTTGCTTACAATTTATAGACAAATACTGCTCGTACAACGCAAAATCAAATAATTTTTGAGTCTACAGAAAGCAATTTGTTATTTTTTTTTATAAAATTTATAAAAACAAAATTTTTGCTCCATTGTTTCTCGCCAACTCCAACTCCAGAAATATGCTCTCTGTTCTATATGCATTATGCTTCCAAGGTATTATTATTATTTTTTTTTATGCTTCCAAGTTATATAGACTAATACTGTTTTAAAAAATCCAGATCATATAAATTTTTTTTTTTGATAAGTCAGATCATATAAATTTAAGTCTCTATAAAACAATTTGATTAAGAAGAATTAAGGGGACCAATTTTTTATCAGGACACCTCCCACAGTTCCTGGTACACATACCTCTAACTAGCATATAAAACCAAAACAAAAATGTTAAAGTTCAGCTATCCTTCCATTATATCCACACATATGCCTTTATATGAAGTTTTTTTCTTTTCTTTTTTTTGATAAGTATATGAATTTATCCATAAGTTGCCTCATTTATGGGCAAATCAGGGCGATCGGTCTTGACAACTCTTACATTATAACAATTTTGGGCCCCAAAGAAGCAAGAGGCAAAGGGAAAAAGGCAAGTGCAAGCCTACCCGAAAGCATGCAAGAACTATACACTCGTAGGAAGAAGAAAGGCAATAAGAAGAGAGAAGGCAAGCAGAAAATGATGCAAGATAAAGGAAAGAAAAGAAGCGGCAAGAGAAGTTTTTATCCATTTATATGGAGTTCATTACAAAGCCTCATTTAATGGTGCAAGATAAAGGAAAGAAAAGAAGCGGCAAGAGAAGGTTTTATCCCTTTATATGGTGTTCATTACAAAGCCTCATGACAAAGTAAAATCCTCATTCAATAAATTGTATGGTCTAGAGAAAACTTAATATTCTAATCAGGCCGTTTAACCACAGTTTCTTCCTTGATTTTCAATAAAAAAATTCAGTAACGACCAACAAACTAATAGTTAGGCACTTAGGCAACATACTGGATAGCCGCTCATAATTTCTGCAAATATGTAATTTGCATCGTACTGAAGAAATCAACAGAGCAAAAGATAAGAGATATAATATATTGCAGGTTATTGGATTTAACATAATTCATGTTCATGTGTTTTGTGGGAGAAAGACAAATGGAACCATTATAGTTAAAATTTTCAAACACTCACCAAGTGTCTAGCTGCCAAGACTTTTTGCAAAGCTCTAACATCAGCCTGAAAGCCTGAAGAGGCCATCACACATTTGTCGGCCCTGCAGGATCAACAAAAGAAAACCATAAATATGGTCCCTAAATAGGAAAATTCTGTCCAACAATTGGCTCCAAATAGGGAATTTTTGTCCAACAGACTAACTCTATGTCCAAATAAATATATATGGACTAGAGATGGGAACCTCCCAAAGGGAAAAACCAATAAAGGAAGAATGTCACTTATTGAGACAACACTTGGATCAACAAAGAAATATTACGTAATTATCAAAAAAAAAAAAAAGAAGACAGAAATATTACGCCATAAAAACCTATAAGCTGTGCTATGTGACGGGTTATGCATGCATGAAAGAAAGGGCACTGATGTTTTCTTTTTCCTTTTTATCAATAGATCATATCCATACTGCCATGCAAACCGTTTGTTATAGTCTTATAGACAACAGATTGATGCTAGCAACACAGTTGTATTGTATGCTATGAAGGTTGAGGATTGGTACTTTCTAGTCAAATTAACTAAAATTTGGTATTATCTTGTATTCCTATGAATTGGTAATAAATGGGGTAGCAACCTTTTTCTCTTTTTATAATTTTTGGTCCCAATACTTTGAGTGGCCACACAATGGACAGTAGCCCTCCCATACCCAGAAAACCCCACAACCACCACGAAGGTGGGATTCACAAAGGTCTCTGGTATAATTACCTAGAGGCTTTACCACCTAGGTTAGTTTGTGCACCATTGAACATATCTTGTTCGTTCCTCATTAACAACAGGGCCTAATTTAATTATCCGTAAGACAAAATCAGGTTCAAAAATTAAGGGATGTATGTAACCCAGGGTACATAACTACTTTCATTCACATTTTCTTAAAAAGAGTTTATTACATGTAGCCCATAATATATAACTACTTTCACTCTACATTCTTTTTTAAAATTTTTTTATACTAATTCAACTTTGTATAAATTTCCATATTCACAAGCATCTATTGACAAACTCAAGCATTCTACTTATTAAAAAATATGTTTAGTCAAATGTCAGCTAAAATATTTCAATTATCTTTACTTGATGAGTTAAATATTTTAATCAACATTCATTACAAAGAAAATCTTCCATTTGGTTTCTTTGGTCAATTACTTAGACAATTCTATAAAATTACAACTGCATTCGGCTAAAAAAAAAAACACTAACAAAATGGCTTGTCAAAAATTTGTTAATAGCATTCCAGAAAATTACAAAAAATTGTTTACATTCCAAAAACTAATGTTCACAAACTAGATGATTACAAGACGTTCCAAAACAATCCACAAGTGTTCATTCCAGAAATTATTCCAACCGTGTGAGTAAAATCAAAGTACGCATCTGGGGAAAATTTTACCTAACATAAAAATATTTTGAAATTCACGATGATGTTATCAATACAAAAACAAACATGAATATAGTACACAAATTGCTAATTCATACATTAAGGTACTTACAGTTTACAGATTTTGGAGTAATCGCGAGTGAGAATATTGTAACCCGTTGACATTCGAGTGTCGGCCGCGATAACACAATAATCTGCCCCTGCAATCGCAACGCAAGATCTGCACATGCCCGCACAAAATCAACACACCCGTATATAAATATATATATACATATACATCTATGAGAGAGACTAACCCTCCATTGTTGTCGTAAGGCGACCAGTTTGCTTGCTGCTTCGTCATTTGATCAGAGAACAGTGGAAATAGGGAGAGAATGAAGGTAGGGCAATAAAATGACTTTTATATAGGGTTTAGGAGTTTGGCTTTTCTTTCTATTCAAGAAATTTAAACTTAAAAAAAGAGCTACTATAATTGTCTAGCTTTGTAACCAAATTTTTAAGAAATTGAATGGGAATTTAAAAAGTGTGTTGGGAATAAAATAGAATTTAAATGAAATAAATTGAAAAGGAAATAAAATTTTATACTGTACTATTTAGCCCTGAGACGAGGCTAGTAAAAAGGCAAGATTGGCAAGTTAAAAAACTGAAACAAGTGGTTATTATTTAAGTCACATAAGTTTTTTTTTTTTTAATAGGTGTTGTTTTCAAGTTTCGAACGCATTTTGCTCTCACACTCAGCACTTTCATTTAAATTCAACTATTTATGTAACTCGGGTTATTACTTATTTTTAAAATTCCAAACCCTATCAAATTTATGAGATTTATTTCGCTTACCGTTTTTCTTGTAAAATACTATCAAATCCTAATTCTTTTAAAATTTCAAAGGTCCCAAACAACTTAAATTCTTTTTATAATTTAATTTCAGTGAAATCATACTTTTCACAACCATTTTTCTTGTAAAATACCATCAAATCCTATTTCTTTTTAAATTTCAAAGGTCCCAAAAAACTTAAATTCTTTTTATAATTTAATTTCAATGAAATCATACGTTTACAACGCGATACTACACTCTCTTATCTTTTCAATTTAACTCCACTTTTCAAGAAAGTATATATAACAATAATAATGGTTAATGGCAAAAAAGTAAAATGACACTTATATAAATTTGTAGCACTGTGCAATGCGCAGGGCATAAAAACACTTGGATAGTGTTTTCGGCCAAGTTTTCGGCTTTAATTGTATATTTTTAAAAAAAAAATTACAGTAAAATTAGAAATCTTAAAATAACAAAATGATCTATTTTAAAATTTTATTTTTTAATTTAATTGATTTAAACAAAATAAATATAACTACATCAAAAATTATTGTTAAAGTTTAAAATACTCTTTTTGTCATCTGGCTTATTTTTTTTGTTATTGAGAAGTATGCCAGTTACTTTTTGTTTCCTTCTTTAATAATTAATTAATTTTATTACTTTGAAGAAAACAAAGTAAATTGTCCAAATCGTAAGAAAGATCAGTGCAATTTATCCTTTTATTATTTAAGATTCTTAACTCTATCTAAATATAATTTTTCCTTTTTTTTTTTTAACTTGTAGCAGCAAAATTAGCGTAACATTTAAAATCAATACCACATGTGTAATTATGATATTTTTTTCGACATGCATTTTGTTAAACTTGTATTTCTATAATTCTATTATAACTCTTTCTAATTCTATTCAAATTTCGGGCATACAACCCTGTTTTTTCATCGAGGGGACCTTTTCCTTGCAATTGGTGTCGAGAAGGAGACAACAGTCATTGACCTGGTAATTTTAACACAAAGCACCTTTAATTATATAGTGCATATTTTAATTCTTCTTCTACCAAAAAAAAAATTCCCAATATGGTCCATATCAACAATTTCACTAATAGTTATTTCAATTTATCATAAATAGTCATTTTAAAGAAAGGAATTGTTTCATTTTGTGTCGGAAATATATATATATATATATATATATATATATATATATATATATATAATATAAAATTAAATTGTAAATTAAAATAAAATAATTTTGTAATGATTTTACTTTATAGCATGTTACTTCATCATAATTTTAGTTTGGTCAATACACTTTATTTTCTGTCCAGATTAATGTGAAAATTGAACAATACCTTTAGTCTCCCTATGCCGACCAAAATTCGGTTGGTACTGATTTTTATTACAAATATTTGGACTAGCTCAAATACAAGAATATAAAGAATTTTCTAGTAGTTCTTAGTTTGAGAGAGAGACTTGTTTGATAGAGAGAGGTGTGAGAGAGAGTTAAAGTGAGCCAAGAATTTCCTATTTTGAAAATATAATATTTTTCTTCTTATGGTAGTAACCTTTTTATTATTGGTTGGTATTAGTCATATCAATTAATTTGGAAACTAAAAATTGGGAGAGAGTATTTTTGTAGTAAAAGAAAAGAAGATAGGTGGGTTTAGAATGTATGGATAAATTTTCTTGCTCATTGTTGAACAAAGGACATGACTATATATATATATATAAATAAATAAATTGTAGCAAGTAAGAATTACAATAATAATTAAAAAGTTTTTTTTACTAGATTCACAATTTAAAAATAAATAAAAAATGTTTAATTTTTCTACACAAAAATCACCATTACTAGATATAAATAAATAGCATTAATAGAATTTTGAAAGCTGTCATATTTTGGGAGTCACAAAAATGTTTTGAGTTGGTCTTGGGCTTAGGCCCACTAAATCAACGATCCATTTTACCCTATTAAACTAGGAAGCAGGCATTTTGAAAAAATTAGGAAGCAGGTCCAGTGCCACTGAATTTTAAAAAATTTACATTATTATCTATAATTTTATTAAAATTTTAAAAATATCCCCACTCAATTTTTTAAATTGCCTCCTTCACATTTTTACCTCATTGATTTCTCCACTGAATTTTTTCCAATTTATATTATCACCTAAAGGTAGTAGTTAAAATTTCAAAAATACCCCCACTCAATTTTTTAAAATGCCCCACTTCACTTTTTATTTTTATTTTTTTTAAAAATTGTCTACAATTTTTTTTTTTTTATTCTCCGACGGCGCCCCCTTTCAAAAACAATTTCTGTATCCATCAAGGAAGTAACTAAGTGGACTGTGGTTCACGTTGGAACGATTGACTATGCCATGATTCTTACCAATATCATTAATGACCGTGCACACTAGCTACTAACTAGACCTCAAATTAACCAATGGAATTCATATTTAATGAAATTTATGGCTAAACTTCTAACTAAATCACCTAAACTTGAATGAATTTATCTCAAAATGACTGGGTGAGTTAATGATTAATTATCAGATGTATAATGATATCAGTACATCTTTTTGTACTCGAAATCAAGTGGAGTCGAATTTAATTTGTATGATTGAAGATAGTTACATAAGCTTCTTGACAAACTTAAAATGTGTTGTTACTGCTTACTAACAGGTCAGTGGTCTAGCGGTACCAAACATGTATTTTTTAAAGAGAGGTTAGGAGTTCGAGCATTAGTGAAGACATGTGTGTGTGAGTACCCAACTAGAAAAAAAAATATGTTGTTGTTGCTTGCTACCAAACGAAAACATTACAAAGAAACACAAAATGAAATTATATTGAAGATCGGATTCCAAATTAATCTCACACGTAAAAGTGACTGTTAATTTATTTGGATTATTTATGCGCATAATGCAAACAAAAACATGTAGACATAAAACCACGTGGATGGCTTTAAAGCCCCTAATTTATAACCTCCTAGAAACATTAAAGACTTAACGTACGGTGGTCATTAGGACACTGTTAAAAAGTCAAGAAAAAAATGTATATGTTTTTTCATGTGAATATTTAATGATAAGATAAATATTGATTAATATTGCTACTTTGCTAGTACATTAGATGAGTATTTGCTGAGTAGAATTGAGGAGACAGGCATATCTTGATACACAAAAGGACACATTACCAAACAAATACCCTAAAACTTTGATTTTTTTTTTTTTTTGGGGGGGGGGGGGGGGGGGATGAGTGAATAAAGTGTCGTATTATATGAAATAAAAATTTTAAAAAATAGATGGAACTTGGAGCACAAGCCACCATGCATGTTTCTAAACTAACTAGAGCAATCGGTACAAGGGCTTGTTTGCTAGCTCTTGAGTCAGTTTTGCTAGTCCGTGAATTGGTATGAAGCTAGCAAATTCTGGGACCCACAAGAAAGCTAGCAAAGGACATCGCAACAGGTAACATGTCATTTGCGAGCCAAACAAACGCCCTCAATTCAACGGCTCTTGTCCCTTTTTCTTTTTTGGTTTTGTTTTTTTTTTTTTTTTTCTTTGGCCCACAAGCAACGGCTCTTTTCCATTTTTTTTTTTTGTTTTTGTTTGTCTTTTGGTTTTTTTCTTTACTATTTCTTTTTATATATAATTTATTTTTATTGTAAAAAATAAATTTATGATTTTGATTATTTTATTTTTTATTTTGAAATAAATATTTATGATTTCTATTTCTTAGTCTTTTGAAAAAAAATTTAAAAAAATTTGTCAACAAATATATATGAATTTTTTAAAACAAAATATCTTATTGTTAGAAATGGTTTTTTTTTTTTTTTCTTTACTATTTCCTTTTATATGTAATTTAATTTTATTGTAATTTTTTTTTTTTTTTTTTTATGATTTTGATTTTTTTTCCTTTAAAATTTGTCAACAAATATATAAGAAAAAAAAAATTGTACAGTAATATTTTATTCATCACAAACATACAATATGAAGAAATACATTTTACTCAATATTATCGTTAAACTTCTTCATTGCCAAATTTATTCCACAAATGCTCCATAAGATCCCTCCTGAGATCTCCATTGTTTTCTACATTGCGAATCCGGCCTGTTGAGGCGAGTGGAGAGTGAATGAGACTTCAACTTTCCATGGAGAAACAACGAACTAAGCAGCTGACGATATAATCAAATTTGGATAAAGAACGGACTAAACAGTTAAAAATAAAAACAAGATAAAGGATGGCTGAAATGGAGTTTGAAAGAGATATAATGCGTCAAGATCCATCGAAGGCTCTAACAGAAGCAACAAAGGCATGGATCATTCAACAACAAAATCTAATCTTAAATAAACTAAATGAAGGTGGTGGTCATATGTAATTTATTTATATTTGTGAGAAAATATGCAATGTCTTTTTATTTTATTTATTTAATTGTGAGAAAATATGTAATGTCTTTTTTTATTTTATTTATGTAATTGTGAGATTATATGTAATGTCTTTTTATTTATTTTATTTATGTAATTGTGAGAAAATATGTAATGTATTTTTGATTTATTTAATTATGAGAAAATATATTAATTTAAATGTATTCAAAGAAGTATTCTATTCAAATATATATTAAAAAAAAAAAAATCTAAGTGGTTGAAAAAGTAGTCGTTTT